CTTCTCCAACAGCCATTTGTCACAATCCTTCCCCCAGCGATCCCCCACAAAACCAACACGCGTAATAAGCAGCGTAGGCTGGGATGCTATTCTCGTTCTGCAGCAAATGCACGCTGGGAAACCCAGTGATGGCGCTCAGATCACGACCTGGCTGGTTTGCACGCGCGCTCGGACGCAAGAAATACGAGAGTGCCTCTTTTTTTTGGAGACAGAGGTGGGCCGGTGTTGGGGTGATTGCCCGATCGGTATGGTGAGCACGCACTCACCGTCTCCGCGGGCAGGGAAATGGGAGAGTTGCCAAGGACAGTGAGAGCCAGCCAATGAGACTGAACTGTGAACCGTACAAGAGGGTGTTGAGACGGAATACTCAGATGGGTGTTAGGGCGGTGCCTGTGTAGTGTGGGGGGGGGAGAAGTTTGGGATACGGGATAGGAGACGGGATAAAATGGATGGCCACGGGATTTGAGTATAAACGGCGCTGCTATTATACTCCACACTGGTAAGTACCCTTTGTTTGCTGGAGATGTATAAGACGGGTACTACTAGCACACAAAAGACCAAATGGAATAGGGATAAGGGATAAGAAGCACAGACAGGCACGGATACTACTCGTCGCTTGGCACTCCAGGTGCGTGGTCACTGGTAACATTGCATGCCGATCCATGCTAGCCCAATCTGTCCAACTCACTGCCGGGATCAAGCTAGTAGGGCAAGGAGTGAGTTAGCTTGGCCGAAGTAACATGACAAGCCATGCGCGCGCATCGCAGCGCACTATTGGACTGCTGGTACTATTGGCAGTTGGCCACAATAAAAATCGAGGGTCCCCATCTGCGCCTGTCTGTGTGCCGTACGAGTAATTGCATTACAGTAGTTCGCGGCACCGGGAAAGGGGAAAATCACAGGACTGGTCTCGTGATCCCCGGTCGCATCTTCCGAAACCAGAAGGGGTGGGGGAAGGCGGGGGGGTTTGGGGGGGTTGGACGCGGTCTGGATTGAGGCGGTGAGCGGTGAGCAAAAGTTAGGAAGTTGTTAATTCCGCGTGAATCTGCGAACCCCACTCTCTTTCGACTGTGCGACGGTTAATATGGCGTAGTAAGGAAGTATGGGTTCTAGTGCCCAATTTTTGCCAGCCAGGGAGAAACCCTCCATTCAGGGAGAGGGACACCGAGCGAGGCGACCAGGGCTGGTGCCGCGTCCCGGGTTTGAGGAGTGGACTCGTTTTTGATCGCACTGTAAACTTTCCCAACTCATCATCTTGTGGCGTGCGCATCTACGCGTCTCGGTGGAAATCACTGCACTCCATCAGCCCCCTTTCCCAAATCCCTCCCAATTCTGCAGCGGCAGTCAGTCAGTCTCATCTCACTTCATGTCATTACCGCTCCCAACCCCCCGGAGAGCGAACAAGGGAAGCTGAAAGGACGTGGGGCATTGTTAATAGTTTGACGCCACCACTTAGCTGAGCGCGCTGCTAATCACCCCTCCATTAGGGGCTCCAGTGGGAGGGGGGACGTGGTATAGTGGTATTTTCCGAGATCCCGGGACTGCCAGGGGGGGCCAACGCGTCCACACTGTGCATTAGGGACCCTGTGTACATATATGCATGGAAGCATTCCTCGAACTCCTTTTGCCATGGCTGTAATTGGACGCGCGCATAAGGCAGTTGAGGTGCGAGGGTATATGTAATACCATATAGATGCCGGTATATATCCAACAAATTTGACTCTTTGTCGCTTTCGATGCGACGCGGCCGTATCACGTCGCCCCTACCCTAATAGGATGTGTAATCCGCAAATGCTAGAAGTATCACTTGTAGTGGCAAAGTACCCCATTACCCATCCCGCGCTCGCGCCCCGGCTCGTGGGTCCAAACTCCCCCGACCCGATCGCCTCCCGGAAGCTTCCTGCCACCTCCGCGGCGAACTAACATAGTCCAACAAACATAGCTCGATGCCAGGCCGACCAACCACAACGCCGCGCCGCCCCTTCTCCAAACGGCTTGGCGCGATCTGAAACGTCGTGAAGAGCTGAGCTGGGCGGACGAGCGACGAGAAGCCGCCGCCGCGCGCGCTGTGACGTCGAGGGTCGTACAAGGCTTAGGTAGGAGCTGGTGACCGCTCATCTGGCCCCGCCAATGGGGTGGTCGGCGCTCCGTGGCCGCGGAGGAGGGAACGCGCGCCGCAAGCGCTAGGTGCCCTGCTTTGAGGTCGGGAGTCGACCGACTGCGACTGCGATGGCGTGATTCGAGGGAAGGTGAGCAGTCAGTGAGTACAGAGTCGGTCAGCGAGCTTCACCGACATTTTCTAGGTCAGCGGAGCTGTGCTGTGCTGCTGGACGACGGTACTTGCGGATCGTGATGCTCACTCCCCGATGTATCGCGATCTCATCGAGTTGCCCCTCCCCCCACATCGATTCCAGAGCGTGGGCCAGGGGTTTACTATGGTACGCATGCTATGGAAGGCTGAGGGAGACCTGAGAGACCTTCCATTCCTGGTGAGTTTCGAGAGCTTTTAGAGCCGCACGGAACATGCCACTGACTGCGTCTTCTTCTTTGCTCCAACCGAAGAATTGCGGCGTATCGCTGTAGTGTAGAGCGTTTCGGCACTGTACTCGTAAAGTGCAGTATGGTTTCTGCAGCTCCTGCACGTCGTAGGGCTTGTGTTGGTGGCGGGATGGCGCCCTACAAGGTGTTCTGTGTATCACAAACATTAACGACTGTTGGGTTCTGCAGTGGCTGGTCTTGTGTGATGTACAGTGCAGTACCTAGCCCCCCCATGAGACCCTCCATGAGACCCTACAACTTCCAACATCACATTCCCAACCAACACGATGATACTCCCACTATACCTCAGACAGCTCCGGAAATACATCCCCCCCATAGGTGAAGCGAAGAAAAGCCGAACAACCTCATCCTCCGCTCCCTGTTCCCGTCCCCAACCGACGATCCTCCGCATCCACCTCGCCCCAAACACTCACCTCCTACTGCACGTCACGGAGACCACACGCCCTCTGGTGCCGCGCCCTCCGATTGGCAGACCGCCTCCCTGGTGCGACATTGGGCACCCAGCCGCTGGAACTCCCACGAGCTTTTTACTATAGTATACCGCCCAGCACAGCACATCACATTACCCGGCCCCGACGCGTGATCCCCCGTCGCTCGCGGCCATAGCGCTGCTTCGTATTCCGTTGCGACTACACACGCACTCCTGCCTCGGCCGGCGCGCGTAATATGCACGTCCTGCAGCCCGGCTGCATGAGTGCAGGCCAAGGCAACTGCATGGAACCGGGAACGCAGCTTCCAGCGCTTCGCCAAAAATACCGCAGCCCGGCGGGGGGGCAGGGGCTCGGGGAGTTGGTCGGGCAGCAACAAGAAAGTAGTCAGGTGCGAAAGATCGGCCCCTCGGCCGGGGGGAGGCAACGGTGTTGTGCACTCGGGGGGGGATGGAAGGAGGGGCTTGGCTTTGTCGGGTGTTGGTTGCACTGCGCCTACTGCGGAAGGGTATTTCGGGCCGCGTGGTAATGGGGGCCGGAGGGGGCTGTTTGGCCGCGCGAGCACGGCGTCTGCGTTCCATGGGCGCATAATGGAGGTGCGGCTCGCGGGGGTGCCTTGGGGCGGATGGCCAGATTAGGGAATTCGGTCATCGCTCTTCGGATCGGGGAGAGGAGGGGGCGGTGATAGGTGGGAGCTTGCACCGCGTGATTCGGGGCAGTCAGCCGGATGGTTTGCCTAAGCTGCGCTGTGTTGGCAGACGGAGAGACGGGGTCTGCGGATTCATCGACGGCCTTGCTCCGTGAGGCGGTTGTGCGAGAGGTGGAGCTGAGTACGGCATGCCCGGCGGAGTGCTCGAAGCGGTCTCCCGCCGTAGCCGACGCATGATCGCGCGGCTTCTTGATATTGCGGTGAGATCAAGCATGCATGCGCATCTGCGAGACAAATCTGATCTTAGATCGTTTGTGACAGGTCACACGCCCTGCTGAGCGATGCTGGCATCTTCAGATTAGAATCATGCGGTGTGAGGACGGGGAAGCGGAAGCAGCAATGCGGGAGGCACTCTTTGGGAATAGAGGCGGCGTTGATCTGCATCCGGGATTCCGCGCGGAAAAACAGCACGTTTCTGAGACAGGGAGTTGCACTCGTCCGGATGGGCTCAGCGTCGCTAAATTTGAGAATGAGCGGATGAGGGAAATGTTTTTCCATGAACACGGTGAGTTGCAATTTACTTTGCCTCCAGGCTAGCTGCCAAGTTTCATGCCGGCGCAGCTTTGATATCACCATTTCGGGCCGTTTATCGCCATTTCTCGAGAGCCTGATCGTCATTTTGGGCAAACCTTCATATATTTCTGCTTAGTTATTTGCTGCATTTCTCATCGCTGTCAGCAGCCGTCATTTCGAAACTTTTGTCAGCTCAACTCTCTCCGTGCCGAATTTCCGGTCATCCCACGTCGTTGTTCTCATTTATTTCCCAGCCTGATAGATTCCCCTCGACGCGAAGCCCCCTTGACTTTTGTCCTTGAGGGATGGGTTATTGGATCCCGCTGTTCACGTTTGCCTCTCCCATTGTTTAGCTGTTGTTTTCAGCTTGACTGTGCTGGTCGTATGATCACGGGGCTTACTTCACCGCTCCTATACTCGAGTAGTTGCTCTGAGGACCTGACTCATGATTTCGCCTTGTCTCTAAAACTTTCCGAGAGTTCATTGAACCCCCATCAAGCTTTTCTCATCTGTTCACCGCTTCTCATGAGAATCAACCAATATGAGACCAACAGCACTGAAAGAGTTGAACGAGAGTCGCCTCCTCTCTCTTTCTATGAATCTCTCTGAGTCCAACGTAGTAGAATTACTGAGAAATACAACCATAGCCATGAAAATCAACCAAATAGGAGTCTTCTGCAGTTCCAAGGAGAAAGTGTCATGTGATAACTCTCTCACATACTTATGCTTAGTCATCCACTCTTTCAACCTCATTTTCCAAAGTATGCCAGAATCCCCATCTCCATCCCAATCTCCATGCGTGTAAAGAAATGACTTCTCTCACTTAGAGAACCTGTATACAATGGAAAAACTCCGCTCCCATGGCCTCCAAATCCTCTCCACCATCCACGCCAACCTCTCGCCACAAGAAACGTTATCACGTGATACCACCCCCTTTTCGGATGAACTCCTGGAGCTTCCTCCGCTCCTCCTTGCCTTGCTAAGGCGCCAAACTGCTCTTCTCCTCAAGCCGGTGGGAAGTTATAATGATGCTCTGCTCCTGAAGCGACTGGCGGACCTTGAGCGGACTGCGAGGGGGAAGCTATATGTGTATCCCTTCCATCAGGTCCCGGTGGCGTGGAGGAGACTGGTATGTGAGGTTGGGATTGTGAGAGCTGTGGTGGCTATTCTTGGGATATATGGTGGGGAGGTGGGTTGGGTAGATGAGGTGGTTAAGACGCTGGATATGGTGCTTATTATGAGTGGTGCGCCGGGAGAAGGGAGGAGGGAATGGATTGAGAAGACGTTTGAAATTTTGGAAGAGGTCATTGCGGAGCGGAATGAGTTGGGACATTCTGGGAGAGAGTTTTCGGGGGGGGGAGGGAGAAAGGAGGCCCACGAAACGGACTCCCCTGAACCACCACCCAAACGTTTGAGAATCGCCAATGAAACCTCGGCGCCAGGAGATGTGATAGATCGTTTCCCGTCTTCGTCCTCTTTCACGCCGCCTGTTTCGCACCCAATTCCCCGAATGGAAGTGCCAGACACGTACGTCTTGGGGGCGCTCCTGTCTAATCCAGCTGATGCCGACGTGGGCCCCATCCCCGTGGTATTTACGGGAGGTATGGGTCACTGGCCAGCGATGAGCGAGCGGCCCTGGTCAAGTCCGCAGTATTTGCTGAAGAGAACACTGGGAGGACGGAGACTTGTGCCGGTGGAGGTCGGGAGGAGCTATGTTGATGGCGGATGGGGACAGCGGATTATACCATTTAAGGAGTTCCTGGAGGAATTCGTGATGCGACCTTCGACTGTTGGACGAGAAGAAAGGTCTGAGAAGGAAGATGGCGCAGATCAAGAAGAAGACGAAAGGCGGAAAACAGGCTACCTAGCCCAACACAACCTCTTTTCCCAAATCCCTTCCTTACGCTCCGACATCCTCATTCCTGACGTCTGCTGGCTCGATCCTCCACCTCCTCACTCCTCCTCGCCGATGGCAGCCGTGCATGCTGCGACCGCAAAACTGGACGAGCCGTTGTTGAACGCTTGGTTTGGGCCTGCAGGAACAATTAGCCCACTGCATGTTGATCCGTATCATAATATCCTGGCGCAGGTGGTTGGGAGGAAGTATGTGAGGCTTTATGGGCCGAGGGAGACAGCCGGATTGTCGCCAAGAGGGGAGGAAGGGGGAGTAGATATGGGGAATACGAGTTTGGTTGATGTCGGGGCGTGGGAGGGGTGGGATGAAGTGCCGGAGGAGGAAGAGGAGGACGAGGAGATGGAAACGGAAACGCCGAGTAGAGAGGTGAAGAGGGACAGGTATAGAGAGAGGTTTAAGGCATTTGGGGAGGCGAGATATGTGGATGTGATTCTGGAGGAGGGCGAGTTCTTGTATATACCCGTGGGCTGGTGGCACTATGTGAGGAGCTTGAGTGTTAGCCTCAGCGTGAGCTTCTGGTGGAATTGAACAGACGAATACAATCAGTTATAAATCAGTTATTCTGTTGGGGGAAGGAGGTCACAGGCGAATCAATAGAAGCCCCATATGTAATACTAGAGTTGATACAGTGCAATTACAGAGTAATTCACATTAGAATAGGCTATCACTTAACTACGAACGAGTCAACGAATACGTCAATTGCAATAGTTTGTAAACCGTGTAGGATCGGAGTTAGTATAGACGTTAGAATATTCTGCAGTTGCTCTTCTTGTCATTCCTCGCCGCAGTGATCGATTCACGTCTTTGTTCTCCGTTCCTAATTTCTCATTTCGAGGGGCGAGCAAGCTGCTTTGTCGACTCACGTCAATAATATAAGTTTGGCGTGTCTTTATAAAAGGCCCCCCGTTAGTTTGTTTACCTCTCCTTCCTTTATACACTCACTCTTTCATCACAATCACCACCACCGCCACTAGGTCGATCAAGATCTAAAGCTATCAACCTCTTCGTTCATCACTCTCAATCAACATCTCTCATCCAAAACAAAACTTCAAAGTTTACCTTCCATCTACAAAGGTAAATAACCCCTTTCTTCAAAGTGAAGTTATAAAAACTCAACGTCGGCCAGCCAAAATGACGATCAACCGCACCCGTAAAGAAGACATGTGGGCCCAATCCTCCACCACCACTGCCAACACGGAGAACAGCACTCCAACCAGCCCAGCAAAGAGCTCTCCCGCCACATCTCCAGCGAAGTCCACCGGAGCCAGCAGCATCGGCACAAATGAGGGCACCAACTCCACCAAGGCCTCCATGACTCCAATCTCCCGCGGCAGCCACTCTGGCAACCACAGCCCGGAGGAAGGACTCCCACCAATGCCCAACGTCAGCAGAATGTCCGAGTATGGGGATGATTCTGAATTTGGGGGTGAGGGTTCCAGCATGTTGGGGGGCAACCACCAGCAGCATGCGGACGCGTTGTCGAGGGCCTTGAGCGTCATTTCTCTCCATGGGGACACCACGCCAAGGGCTCTGAAGACTGTGGTGGCTATCACAGCTACCAATTAAGTGGGAAGGGCATGGTAGATTCTGTTGTTTTGATGGGTTTTCTATGGAGGGTAATTTGTGGTAATGATGGGTCTGTTATGGAAGGTTATTTGTGATAATGATTAATTCGTCGGGGGACATCACTTGTTTGTACGGATGAATCTGCCATGGGAGGGTTATTTGTTGTAGTGATGGATTTGTTATGGGAGGTTATTTACGGCAGAAGTGAATTCATCATGGAAGGTCATTTGTCGTAGTTATGGATCCTCAGAATGAATACAACAATATGGCCACTCGCAATAATGCCAATCAAAGCCATTGTATCCTAACGTCTATTTCCGACGCTTCGGAGTCTTCCTCTCTGTCCTTTATAGTAAACTTGCAAATCCCTTAAACTGGTTCGAGGAATCCCAAGTCTTCTTGATCTCCCTTAAACGCTCCACCCTCTCCGCACTGCCAAACAGCTCCTCCAGTGTCTCTCCACCGCGTGAAATGTTGGAATAGACATTCTTTCCCTCCTTCGGGGTAGGCACCTGTAGAGTCTCATCCACAAACTCTCCAGCCGCAGCATCCAGATGGGCATCCTCATACTTTGCCACTACTAACGCGACAATCCCGAACTGACGGTGGGGGTACGCGCTCTCACCTCCTAAAGACTCGAGCTCCTGCGACTTCGCGACATCATATACCTGGAAGACCACCGCGCTCTGCTTCGCACTCGGGTTCACCTTGACGAAAGACGAATAGTCGTTCCAGCATGATCTCACTGCCTTGGCATCCAGATCCTTAAGCATCACGCTTCCGGCTGGCTTGCGTCCGCCAAAGACTGCGAGCTCATCAACACTCTCATTGAGCCTATCCGCTGAAATCATGCAGTTGGCCGATCCAATCCGTTGGGTGAGGCCCAGAGAAAAGAGGGGCGCCAAGTGCTTGGACCCTTCGCATGCAGTGCCTGCATACCAGATGTTTAGGATGAGAGACGGTGAAGCTAGATATGCGATTGCATGTATAGCTATGATCGGCAGGGAGTTTATGCACCACATAAACTCCAAGACCCCAGTGGAAGAGGGACATAGCGCACTAGTGACGTAGAATGATGCGGGATGAGGGGATTGAGGGCAAAGATGTGATGGCTTGATATTTTGAAAGTTGAACATGCGGTTAGCAGAGCATTGGCATGCAGATATCTAAGACTAGGTTCTCGGGATGACTTCACTAACTCACCGACTGTTCGGACAACGGAGCCTAATCTCATGTTAACCCATAAAAGCATTAACCACGTGATGGTACAACATAACTCTCCATGGACCAAGCATAGAGCCTTGAAATATTTTATGTATTCCGTGGTAAAATTCATAATGCTAGATATCATGTACAAGTGTTAAATGTTCAACCCCCACCGCCCAATTCTCCGCTCTTAATCTACAACTTCGCGATCATCTTGTTTCCGATCTGGAGCCACTTCACGGCATCGCCAACAAGCTCGTCCACAACAGCCTTTGCCGACTTCTTCTCGTTAACAACAGCAGCGGCCTTACCCATCAAGAATGGGCGGGCGCTGTCCATAGTCTCATCATCAATGTCATCACCCATCTTCTCGAAGTCGTCCTCGACGGGGATTATACCCTTGCTGGTCAGGTCCTTGATTTCCTGTGCGCGGTTCACCTCCCAGTTGGTGATGTATGCGTTGTTGCGGACGCGCATGGGGCGACCGGTGAAGATGATGGTGCGGATGTTGTCGTCGAAGCCGGAGGTGGTGACGGCGTCCTGGTGAGCCTGCGACGCACCAGCCTCATCGGTGACGATGAAACGGGTACCAACCCAGACGGCGCTGGCGCCGAGCATAAGCGCCGAGGCAACACTCTGGCCGTTGTAGATACCGCCGGCAGCGACAACCTGGACAGGCTTGCCGGTCATGGGGCTGGTCTTGCCCTTGCAGAGCTCGACAACAGAAGGGACGAGGATAGAGGTTGGGACATCACCAGTGTGGCCACCACCCTCACCACCTTGCGCGCAGATGAGATCAACGCCGAGATCGAGGCACTTCTTAACGTGCTTGGGGTGTCCGATCATGTTCATGTACAGAATGCCCGCGCCGTGGAGCTTGTCAACGACGTGCTTGGGTGGGACACCGACGGCTGAGACGAAGAGCTTCGCGCCACTCTCGATAATGATATCGATGAGCTCGTTGAGCTTTCCCTTGGTGTAATCGTAGCTGTTTTAAGAACCGTCAGCACGCTGCTTACTGTGATAACTCTCGCTTATGCATGTGAAGGTGGGCTTACTTGGTCTTGCGGGCACTGCCACCAACCTGGGGGAGGAGCAAGTCGACACCGAATGGTGCGTTCTTGTCCTTGAGGAAAGACTTCAGCTCGGCGATTTGCTCGCGGAGCATGTCTGGGGTGTAGCCAATTCCACCGAGAACACCGAGGCCTCCGGCGTTGGTAACGGCGGCAGCGAGCTCAGGGCCGGCGGCAACGTTCATACCAGCAAGCATAACCGGGTGGTTGATCTTGAGGAGGTCGGTGGTAACCGTGCGGAGTTGTTCTGTTGATGGCCGTCAGTAAGAAAACTTGGGACAACGGTAAACTCTGGGGTAAAGGGCCATGACGTACGAGGAGAAGCCATGGTGAATGCTGGGGTTGGTATGAGCGAGTTGAGAAGAGAAGCGCTGAAGTGATATGGGACGAGGATATCAAAGGATCTCGAGAGAGTTAAACAATATGTAAAAGAAAGAGAGGGGGCGATGGGGATTAGGACGAATATAAGTCTGGGGAAGGGCCAACATGTGGAGAAGGGTCGGCCGCACAGAGCCGAATTTAGGAAATGCCTCGGTATAATTTCTGATTAGTCATGCATTTAGCTAGGCACCAAAACAGTAGTGTGCGTCAACGCGGGGTGGCGCGGAAATTTGTGGATTATCCACTATCAACACTATCAACTGCCCTATTGGGAAGAGATTCGCTGTGTTCTTTCCATCAAAAACAATGTAACAGAGCTGTGTATATAAAAATTATTATATGTATATAATATCCCCGCATCTCGGCAGCGACTGCGTCAATGAAGCTGTTTCGTACAGCCGCCAATTCTGCATGCAGACCAAGCACGCCTCACCTGCGACGCAATAGCAGCTTTCGACGGATCTCGCTCTCGGCGTCACCGACAAGAAGCCGCAGCTCTCTGAGCAGCGTTCCAGCAACGCCATGGTCTCAAGGCGCATCGGACAGAGGAGCAAAGAGCGGGGATGGGGAAGCAACAGCCAAGAGCGCCGCTAAGGCGCCAAAGACGGCTTACATCGCTCTAGGAAGTAATATGGGGGACAGGATCGGGATGATTGAACAGGCCTGCAATTCCCTTACATCACGTGGCATCACCGTGAAGAGGACGAGCAATCTGTGGGAGACAGAGCCCATGTACGTTCTCGATCAAGACAATTTCATCAATGGCGCCTGCGAGGTTAGTAAGAAGCTTTTTTTTTGGTTGTTGCCATGCAATTTGTGTCACGTGGACTGGTCGAGGTCTGTATGAGAATATAGAGCTGACAATACACAGGTGGAAACTACGTTAGAGCCCCTTGAACTCTTAGATGAGCTTCAAGACATTGAAAACTCCATGGGCCGTCACAAGGTTATCGACAAGGGACCCCGTAACATTGATTTGGATATCCTCCTGTACGATAATCAAGTCATACACCACAAGCGGCTCGATGTCCCACACATTGGCATCCCTGAGCGCGAATTCGTTCTCAGGCCTCTCGCTGAGTATGTTTAACCTCTTGCATGGCAGAAAATCGGTTAACCTGCTATATCAGACTTATCCCAGACAAACCCATCCATCCGTCCAAACCCTGGAAAATCACGTTGGACTACCTCAATGCCCTTCCGTCGTCTTCCCAACCCATGTCTACCAGCACGCCCCTTGGCTCTAACCCAGCCTCAACCCTCTACCCCCTCCGCCCACATCGCCAGACCTCCATTATGGCCATCCTAAATCTAACACCCGATTCCTTCTCCGACGGTGGCCTCCACACCAGCGCCTCATTGGACAAAACAATCGACACCTTCATTCGCGGCGGTGCATCCATCATCGACATCGGCGGCCAATCCACCGCTCCCAACACTCCCTCTGTCACCGCCGACCTCGAAACTTCCCGCATCCTCCCCGCCATCGCCGCCATCCGCGCACACCCCCTCGGCGCCAACGTCACAATCAGCATCGACACCTTCCGCGCCCCCGTCGCCTCAGCTGCCATCGCCGCCGGCGCCGACCTCATCAATGATGTTTCAGCAGGCCTCCTCGACCCCGCCATGCTCCCCACCCTCGGCCGACTCGGCTGCACAGTCTGCCTAATGCACATGCGCGGTACACCTTCCACCATGGACTCCCTAGCCGTCTACCCTAACGGCCTCATCCCCACTATCGCTGCCGAGCTGCTCGAACGCGTCGCAGAGGCTGAGGCAGCAGGTGTACGCCGCTGGCGCATCATCCTCGACCCTGGTATTGGGTTCGCGAAGACGCAGGCCCAGAACCTAGAGATTCTACGAAGGCTCGATGAGCTGCGTGACTGGCCTGGCCTGCGCGGCTTCCCGTGGCTGGTTGGCAGCTCACGGAAGCGGTTTGTGGGTCGAATCACGGGCGTGAAGGAGGCGAGGGAGAGAGTGTGGGGGACAGCGGCTACCGTGGTGGCGGCTGTGCAGGGGGGTGCGGACATCGTGCGGGTGCATGATGCAGTGGAGATGGGTCAGGTTGTGAAGATGGCGGATGCGATTTGGAGAGTCTAGAGAAAGAAAAAAATTGTAGTGTATACAGTGCTATAGATTGTGGATATAAAAGCCATGTTTGTATATACATGATTACTTTGCCTTGAAAGGTCCCCAGCCTCTCGCCCCATCCACCATCCGGCCTAAATGCTCAATCACAGACGGCGTCTCCTAGAACTTCCCATAAGTATGAAGAATATAATGATTATGATATCGGGCATAATTTCGTCCATGAAATCCTTACACAGACGCTGCCCCAGTAAATGGTTTCAACCATCCTAGATGTCTCGCCCTTCTCCCCGCCCTCCCTCCGCCCAGCCAACCATGCAACGAACGCCGTGCCGTCGAAAAACACAAAAGGAAATTGCTGGTACTCCATGCAGTGAGTAATGTTTCTAACGTGCCTAAAAAATATTGCGCCGTAAATGGCTGTATGTTCAATCCTTCTCGTCGCGCCCGCCAACGCGCTGCACCAACCTACGACCATGTTAGTTACTGTGAACAGGACAGGAAGTCGCGGGATATTTACCTGAGAATGCTAACTGTAAACGTCAATCCCCATGCCACCAGCGCCACAAACAATATTGCCGCCAACGCCTTCACCTGCCCACACAGATTCGCATCCATATGATGCTCTTTTTCATTGCCTCCAATTTTCGAAAAGCATGCGCCATCGCGGTCGGTGATAGCCTGGAACGCAAGCGAGAGATTCGCAGACTCGAAGATGATAAAGAAGAGATCCAGTAGCACGAGGCGCATTTTGGTTTTCGGCGCACGCAACCCGAGCGGGGCGCCTGTATACTCGTCCCACGTGATGTACCCAATATACGGCAGCGCGATAACATCGACCACGATGGCCATGATGCCCGAGGGTGATTGTTCGAACGGGCTCGTACGCGTAAGATGGAAGATGGAACTGGAGAGGCCGAGCGCAATAGTCGAGGTTGCGAGGACGGTGAGGCGGAAGGCGAGCGGAACAAGGGGATGCATCAGGATGATGCGTTGCATGCGCTCGTACCACTGCAGGCGCTTCTTCTTGCTATGGAGCAACCCAAGTGCTTTTTCCGGGTCTGTTCCTGGCGCGTCTCCCCGCCACGGCTGTGCGTATCCGGGTGTTTGCTCGTCGAGGAACGTCGGCTCAACCGTCTCACTCTCCTCGTCCATCCCGGGTCCATACATCGACGCCTTCACGAAGCCCGACCAGCGCTGCGCGTTGCCACCATGGTACTGCAGGATCACCGGGTCGTCGTCGCGCGCGTGGTCCCATTTGCGGCCCCTGACGGGTTCGCGCGTTGTTCCGAAGAGGGTGCGTTCGGGCGCGGATTTGGCGGCTTCGGTGGGATCGTCGAAGTCGACGAAGCCGTCTTTGGAGACGGGTCTCTCGGCTCTGGTTGTAGCATAGGGATGCTGTGGTGCGACCGATGGTGTGGGCTGCGCGAGTAATCGGTCGGTCACTTTAGAGTCGTCGTCTTCATTGTATACCTCGACGGAGTCTATCCATGCTGCTCAGCTGTTAGTATATTGTATGTCAATAAGGCCGATAGTTTCCTACATGGAAGAGATCTAACTGCGCCATGGCCGGTGGGCCGAGTGCTTCGAGATTCGGATGCTTCAGACACCTTCGACATGTATGAGACCTTCGTACGATCAGAATCCGAGCGTTGCCGTTCCGAGTATATCCTAGAGTTATGAGTCGCCGTGGTTGACGGCGCGTAACCGCCGAAGGCACTGGACCCAGGTAACTGCCCCGGCGGCGGCTCGGACATAAGGTGATGGCATTGTAAATTCGGACTGGGTACGAGGGCGTCCTTTTCTGGCAGCGCCATTCTGTCAGACGCTGCCATGTTGATGTTGATGGGGGCTCCGATGATCCACGGACAGCTGCGGCACAGGTCCTCTGGACCGGCCTGAAGCTAAAAGTGAGGGGCTCAGACAAGAAGCCTCATAAACATGGCATCGTCCTCAACAGATATAAGAATAGATAGATAGTAAATGAGTGTAGTTGGCCGTGGTGTTGGTGGTGCCCAACAGAGTTGTAGTCTAGAACTACGAGGCTAATCACTCATCGGCAGTACCTTGTATTGTGCAGCGCGTGCTAATTTTACCCCCGGTTGTCACAAGGCTGTGCATTTTTAACTTTGGGCGATGCCGTCACTGACCCACCCCAGCAATTTGGGATGGAAGGCAAAATGCTCCCAGGGTCAGACATTGGACTGTTCCCACTTCCATCAACATATAACTCTTCTTTGCAGCACGTTTAGAATACCGCGACAATGTTGACTATATGATACGTTGAGAAGTTCATCGATACCCTCGCGACACCACACAAGCCGAACAGGTCGCCGGTGCGATAACGCGCAGTCTAAGTCGACCTCAAAACCTGCGCCTTCACAAAACCCATCACAACGCGATCGAACCTCTGGTTCGCGATGCGCCTCTACTTGCTCCCTATCTCGAACCGACGGACGTTGTTATACTGCAGGCGCCTGAACGTGAGCATCTCCGACCACCCCACCTTTATCGACCGAGGGACAACCAGAGCTGCGAAATTATGGGCAGACTGGGAGACGAAAGACTCAGGGTGGCGCAAGAAGGTCGTTGACTGGGGAAACACCGCGCTCAAAAAGATACCATACGAAGAATGGGGCTTGAAGTCGATACCGCCGTTGTCAGCGCGCCGGAGGGCAGAAGAGCTGGAGGCGGGGCAGGCGACTGTCGAGGTTTCCTTCCCATCAGGAGTCATTCCTATGAATGAGGTTAGCGAGCTGCTCCGGAGGCTCGGGACAGAGAGGGAGTCTCTGCACAAGTCAAGGCTGGTCTACTGTTTTGTTGGAATGCCTATAACTGCGCCGGTAGCTCTTCTCCCAGTGTAAGTCAATCTCTCCCGGACTACTGGAATATCTGCTAACATTCAACAGTATACCCAACCTGCCATTCTTCTATCTTGTCTATAGAGCATGGTCGCATTGGCGCGCCCTATCCGGCTCGAAACACATTCAATTTCTCATCAGCAAAGAACTCATCGCACCCACGGTCTCGCCAATCTTGGATACCTTGTACGCGCCTGGCATCATGAGAGCCACGCGTGGCAGTATTTCTCTCGGAAACAAGCCGCCCAAATCAGCAGATTCCTCAGCACCCCTCCTAAAAGACCAATTACCGCACGAAGTAATGCTGCTTCAAGAGGGTGATAGCACCCTCATCGCCAACGCGCTCGAGATGCCAGAGCTGCACGCCGAGATCGAAAGGGCGATATGGCAGGTTCGGAATGACATTCGAACAAAGCAGGAGGCCAAGGATAAAGAGAATCAGAAAGATGAAGTGAAGGAGGAAGATAAGGATAAGAAGTAGGAATGACTTACTACACGCTGTATGATATGTTAGACCCCTCTCAGCTTACGAAAGGGATGGCCCAATGCCGTACTGTACATTATGATCATCTCAAAATGACTGGAGTTTAGAGTATAGGAATAGAGGGGCCAGTGGTGGATACATAAGGGCCAACGCGTTGATAGACAATATTATATTATGAAGCCACGCTCATGCGCTGAAAGAGATGCTTTATACGCAGATGTAAACTGTATTATAGTAGGGTAGGCATGGCATGGTGAAATTACATGGGTTTCCAAACCCGCATTCCCTCGAGTGTGACAAGAGCATCCCTTGCTCCGCCTTGGACAAGGGGGGATCCTTGGCGATTTTAAGCTTTCTGTGGAACAACTCGAAGCCCAGGCTATTTATAAAGAACAAAAGCAGTTTACGACCTACCACTATAAGCAAACTCGGGTGTATTTCGACACCTATATGGTCCAACCCAATGCGAAGGCCGCGAAATCCAGGACGAACAATCTTGGGCGAGCCAGCAACATCAAGGAGATAGGATCCAGAAGGCCGAGGCGGTGACAGCACAACAGCGACAGCATTTCTCACCCGGTGACAGCATTTCCCTTGGCTTTCGTTTTGGAGTTATCGCAAGCTACTTCCTGAGCTCTAGCACCTCGAGGACATCCAGCGATCATTGGCGCATATCGCACGGAGTTGGGCAGAAACGAATCTCATACGAGATATGTCGTTTAGACTCCCATACGAACAGATTTCCTGCCTTATATAAGATAGTCAGCCTATCGTAAAAAATATACGATGTTTGTTCTGTATTTGTTCTATCTATATTTTAACAGCGCCAACAACACACCTCATACGACAGGCCATCAAGCGGTGTTGCCTTCTCCTTCTCCATTTTAAGCGATAGTATAAAATGAGCACACTGAGTGATTAATGGATTTACTTTTTATAATCATTTGCTACCTCAGTTTCTTCTACATTGGCCCTCGAATTAAATCCATATACAATAATCATCTTTGATGGTCTAACGGTCATGATTTCCGCTTGTCATATAACAAAGCGCGGGAGACCGGGGTTCGACTCCCCGTCAGAGAGAATTGCCTCTCTGAGCTCATGCTCAGACAGATACACTTTTACAAGCATCAGTGGTTTAGTGGTAAAATCCATCGTTGCCATCGATGGGCCCCGTGTTCGATTCACGGCTGATGCACAATGAGCAGTCTCCAATTCGGAGATATATTTTTTTTAAAAGCACAAACGAACTCTACAGCAGTCATATATACAATATTACAGTCTTCACTTCGGAGATATATATATATTTATAAGCACAAACGAACTCTACAGCAATCATATATACAATATTACAGTCTTCACTTCGCTATGAGGGGAAGACCCTCGCATTATCAGAATCGTTCGGGGCCCTACATGCCTACAACACTGTGAGAGATCCCATCGCCTACGACGATGGACTAATCGCGCACGCCCTAGACACCAACGACGATCCAAGCAACCCCTACAATTAATAAAGTCCTAATATGACTGGAATCTAAATGGTGATTCATTAGGCCTCAAAACCTATCTGACACGCCACAACCCAACCCTGAAGAGTGGCCGAAGGGTGGTTCAACTCCACCGTCGAAGCTCCCCGCTGGCAACGCACCTCTTCTGCCTCACGGCGATCAAAAATAGCTACAATTCTTCTTAAATTCATATACGCCCCACATTACCAACAGCTTCATTTACATCACTTCATCTCCCCCGCGACCAACAGCCCACCATCCTTCGTCTCCACGATCTTGAAGCCCTCTGCATTCCCAAGCCCCTGCTCCGCCCTTATATAAGCATCCTCGCTCCTATCGCACAAGATCCCTAAATCCGCATCGCTCAGAATCTCATCGCCCCCCTTATATGTATATACCTGTCCATCCCTCAGCAGCAGTTTCCTCAACTCCGCCGCATCCAAATCCTCCTTATTATCCATCTTCTGCCCCATAGTCCTGAATCCCCCCTTCTTAATAACGAGCTTCTCAAGCCTCCTCTTTGCATCTGCACTCATCAGTAGCTCTTCCTCCACCGTTCCCTTCGTCGCAAGTCGGAACACGACGACCGGCCGCGTCTGCCCAATCCGATGCGCGCGGTCAATAGCTTGCAGATCCTGCTGTGGATTCCAGTCACTATCGAATAGCACGACTGTATCCGCGCTCGCGAGGTTGATGCCCTGTCCACCAGCGCGCGTGCTGAGCAGAAATAGCCGATGTTCGGGATCTTCGTTGAAGTCTTTGATCTGCTGGCGTCGGTCATCTTGTGCTACGCCACCATCGATGCGGCATACATTCCAACTGCGCAGGTCCCGCGCATAGTCCTCGAGGATGTCGAGCTGGGTCTTGAACTGGCTGAAAATCAGGACTTTATGGTTTGCAGCGAATAGAGAATTAAGTAGCCGGTCGAGAAGGAGCATTTTCCCGCTCGAGGAGACGAGTGTTTCGTCTATAGGCATCTTGGAGTCTGCAGACCAGGGGTTGTAGAAGTTGTGGGGTGAGTTGCATACGAGGCGCAGCTGCATCAGCGGATTGCCCAGTTTCTTCGTAGCAATCTCGCGCTTTGCCATCTCGAGAGTTTTGGCGAGCTCGTGGGATTCGTCATCGGAGTCGGAGGAGCTTGCTATGTCAGCTTCTGCCAGCTCCTCAGCCAATTTGGCCTCGAATTCGTCGTCGCTCAGTTTATCCTCATCAGAGGCATCTGCTTCCTTGTAGGATTTGCGCTTGGGTTTTGACTTGGAGGCTGTGGCTGGTGTTGATTGGCGGCTCGATTTTACGCTTTTGGCAGAAGACGCAATACTATCGTCCGAGGTCTTGCGCTTGAGACTGGCTTTCGATGGGGTTCGTGGTGGTAGCGCCTTTTTCTTACCAACCATCATCATCTCAAACGCGTTTAGGCGTGTGGCAGGTTTTTGCTCGAGTTCTGCCTTTGCCTTGCGAGTGCGGATGGAGATGCTAAGGGGAACCTCTTCCTCACTGTCAGATTCGACTTTCGCTGGTGCTGTTGATCTCGTGGCTTTAGTTTTGGTTTTCGCAGACCCCTTCGATGCGTTTCTCGCTCCCGTAATCCGTTCAACGACCTTGTTTTCCAGATATTTTCTGGCATCTTGACTTTTATCTGATAGAATATCATACAACTCGGTCTGCTGTTCCGTCATTGGTGCGTATAAAACGTATTCGCGCTTCCTGGGAAGCATATGCTCCACATCAGCTTTGATACGGCGCAGCAAGAGAGGTTGCAGAACCAGATGAATCTTTTTGACAAGCTCCTGTTTCTTTTGATCGGCAATGAACTCTTCTGTCCCCTCCTCGTCCTGTAAATCACTGAAGTCAAACCATGATTCGAATGCTTCCCAATCCACAAACACGGTTGGGAGGAGAAAGTTGAGCAAGGACCAGAGCTCTTTAAGGTTATTCTGTAGGGGTGTCCCGGAAATCAGCAACCTAGTAGCTGACGTAAACTTCCTTAACTCCTGGAATAGCTGGCTGTTGAAGTTCTTCAATCGATGCCCCTCGTCAATGATGATAAACTCCCAGTTGATATGCGACAAGTAATTCTTATCTCTCAATATAATATCATAACTCGTACACACAACCGGAAACTTTGACGTAGGCCTGCCATTCTCCAGATGTTTGGTGATCTTTGTTGTCCTTAACTCCTCTCGTTTCGCTGGGTCGCCATGATACAGCAAGACCGGGACAGTTGGCGTCCATTTCTGGAACTCCTCTACCCAATTCGATAACGTGCTAAGCGGCGCAACAATGAGATGGGGACCAAGATATTTCTCTTTTTCTCGCAGCAGCGCAATAAGCGATATCGTCTGGATCGTCTTGCCCAGACCCATCTCATCAGCCAGGATGCCACTCATGCCCTGCGCACAAATCTCATACATCCATGTCAAACCTTCGAGCTGGTAATCGCGCATCGTACCGCCGCTCATGATCTTCGGCTGCTGGGCCATTTCCAAGTCATGCTCGCCGAGTGCTTTCCCATCGAAGCCGCTCCCGACTCGACCGAGGACTTGCGTCTTCTTCGTGAGAATATTCGAAAACGCCGCACTCTTGGCCAACAATTCATCTAATTCGCGTGCTTTGGCCTCCGCGGCTTCCTTGCCCAGAACACGACTTTTCTTTGCCGCCAGTCGTTTCTGGCGGGCAAGCTCTGTTCGTTTGTTCTGCAAATGGGCCTTCTTTTCTTCGGCACCAATCTGTTTTAGCTGCTCGTCATTGAGAAGGTTGCTGGTTGCTGGCGGTTCTTCCACTCCGAGGTCGGGTGGGGATGACGGCGCTGTTGTAGGTGTCCGAGACTCCATTGAGTCATCTTCCGTCGACTTTAGGGCCATGGCTAGGCTCTGGCATGCAAATGCTTTATGCCGCTAGAAATTAACAACCCTCACAAGTTTGGATGTATTCTTATATCATATGCACCGCGTTTAGTGCTGGAATGGGCTATCCTTGGTGCAACTATTCCAAACTTAGTCGAACGTTTTTATCGAGGATTCATTCGTAAGCGCGTAGTTCAGCCCCTGGTTTCTGAAGCCTTCTTCGATCGATAAATCACTTCTCATATCACCCACGGGCCTCCTTTCAAAGCTTAACTTTTCGCGCTCCAAAGCAAGTGAGTGCTGGTATTGTCAGACACGTAACACGCGCTCCACAATCTAATCTGTCGTGCTCTCGAACTTAATACGCAAAGGGAAGAATCAATCGTTCAAAGACAACGGATCAGATAAATCGCCAAGCTACGAGATTTAATCCGGCTAAAAATGTTGCTGATATCAAAAAATGCTGATGTCGTCGACGCGTAAAGTGGTTTCTGACGCGCGCCATCCCCGCTCAATTTGTGTCGGACAAGTCGCGAAGTCACGCGCCTTTGACTTACATCCCTGTCCATAACACGTGATATTATGCGCCTTTTCACGTGCACCACCTATCCTACCTAGGACTTACTACATAACCTGACTTTGTCTTCGCTGACGATGTCAATACTCTTGACATGGCTCACGCTGAGGAACCAGATCCCCCGATTGATAAGAAAGTCCCGCACAGTCACTGGCAGCACAAAGCACTCAAACTGGGCCAAGCGCTGCAATAGGGTGGGACTGGGTCATCCAAACGCCCAGGGTCTCTTCTGTTTCTATGAAGGAAAATAATTCAGGTCTATAAGTTGCTAAGGTACTCCCAATATAACAGACGTCCATCGTTTCTAATTCGCACTCATATACACTCTCCCCTCAAAGGGCGCCAACTTCCCCGCCACTGGTGCATCGTAATTACTCAGGACAAGCTTCCACTCCTTGTCCGTGCTCACCTCAAAGTCCTGAACCCCCTGATCAAAATTCAATGCGACCAGCGCCGCCCTCCTTTCTCCCGTCTTCGTGTATACAAACGTCTTTTCATTTCCTGGGTCCAGCAGGTCAAAAATCCCATATACAAGTAGGTCTCGATACTCCTTGCGAAGACGTAGCATGCGTTTCCAAAACGACAACACGCTCTTCTCGTCTGGGACCTGCTTCGCAACGTTGATTTCAGGGTATAGGTCGTGGACACGCATCCACGGCTTGTCACCGGTTGTGAAGCCAGAATGTGCCGTGGAGTCCCACTGCATAGGCATGCGGCCGTGATCACGGCCGAGGATCTGAAGGCCACGAGTTACGATAGGAAGGCGGGAGGGGTCTTCGCCGGAGATTGAAAGAGCGCGAGCTTCATTGTAGTAGTTCAGTGCCTCAATATCTTTGTATTCTTCGATGGGCCACTCCTTAGGGGCGTTGATCATGCCAATTTCCTGGCCTTGGTAAATGAATATTGTACCAGTCATCGTGGTCATCATTATAGCGAGCATCTTTGCGGAGATCTCGCGGAACTCGGGCTCGCTTGAGGCATAACGGTCAATTGAGCGCCCATTATCGTGGTTTTCGAGGAAGGCGGTTGTCCAGCCGTCGGTGCCTTCGATAAATTTCTGCCATTTGGTTATAGCGGCTTTGAGCTCTGGGAGGATGAAAGGTCGGTGATCATATTTGTCCTTGGGACCTCCGTGGTCCATATTCCCTGTATCAATGTGGAAGACCATGTCTAGCTGTTTAGCGCTGGCTGAGACGTATCGCAATACGTGATCGGGATCCGGAGTGAGTGATAATTCGCCGACAGTCATGCAGTCGTATTGACTGATGACCTTATCGTGCATCTCTTTCACAAACTCGTGTATCCTTGGGCCGTTGCAAAACATGTATGCTGCAGGCTGCTCATAGTGGTTGGGGTCGGTGATGATAGCGTCGTGGAACTCTAGGGGTTTGCTGTACTTGTTGACAGTATCGACTCGAAATCCGTCCACCCCTCTGTCTAACCAAAATCTCATGGCGCTATCATAAATTGCATTGCGCGCTGCTTCGCAGTTCCAATTCAAATCTGGTTGCTGTGTAGCATAGAGGTGGAGATAATATTCTTGCGTTGTTTCGTCCCAAGTCCCTAAAAAGTCAGCAAAAATACCCTGGAATGATCTGGATGGTAGGCTCACATGTGCTACCAGCAAAGTAACTCCTCCAGTTGGTAGGAGGTATGCGGTTCCCGGCATCATCGTATCGAGCTGGCTTCCAGAAATACCAATCGCGCTTTGGGTTATCTCGCGATGAACGAGATTCTTTGAACCACTCGTGCTCGTCTGACGTATGGTTTACCACAAGATCGAGTATAAACCGCATGCCACGATCGTGACAAGCCTTCACCAGGATATCGATGTCTTCAACAGTGCCATACGGCTCATAGACTTTTTCGTAATTCGAGATATCATAGCCCATATCATGCTGTGGGCTATCAAACATGGGACAAAGCCACACGACATCGACACCTAGGTCATGGAGATAGTCAATCTTCGAGATGAGGCCCCCAATATCGCCCAAGCCATCTCCGTTGGAATCCTTGAAACTTGCTGGGTATACCTGATACACAGCAGCTTCTTTCCACCATTTGCCAGTTGGCATTTGCATTGTGAGAGAGTGAGATTGAGCGTATGTTGTTCGTTAGAAGTTGAGGTAAAAACAATAAGGAAGGAGAGAGGGAACTTGGTCACAGGATTTAACGGATGCCCAAAGCACCGGATTGCTTTAGTAAATTAGCAGGGCCCATTATTACTCACGAGCTGCAGGCCTCACATGGCAATATTTAAGGTTATGTTCGCATATTCTAGGACATAGTGGAGCGAAAAAGACAATATTATTACCTTTCATGTTGCTTTGGCCGTCGCCGAGTTGGCCCCGAATCAACTCCGAATCAACCCCGCACAAAATCCCCGCACCCCGCACTGTACCTAAATCTTACTGGGAAATTTTGACGAATCATAACCCGATTTATTGCGCCAGCCTTCCACTCCGAATAAGTCCCGCTCCAGTTTAGGTTTAGCTCGCGTTATTTGCGACTAAACGTCAAAGTTTGTCGATCTCAACCGTGCTCTCATCCAACATCTGGGGTTTTGAGGGGTAATTCTAGTACGGGGAATGGCGATGACAGGGACTATAATAATCGTATTATGAAAATTGTCGGTCAGGTGCTGCCATGTGCCAGCCATGCCCAAATGGATATAAACCGCGTGGCATCCTCTTCTTTTATTTGATCTAGACAGCAGCGATCGACAATCAAGATCTTTCATTCACAATGGATTCTGATAATGGCCCCAAGGCTACGGGTGGACCGGCCCATACCGACATCGTCAACATGGAAGACAAAGCTGAGAGAGATGTGGCTCACGAAGAGTTGAAGCCATCATATGGAGCGCAAAATGCTGAGGCTCAGGAAAAGACCATGACTCTCCTGGAGGCCATCAAGCTATATCCTACCGCCATCGGATGGTCTATGGTTCTCTCAACTGCACTCGTTATGGAGGGCTATGATCTTCTACTGCTTAGCAATCTCTACGCTAGCCCTTTATTCAACCAGAAATACGGAGTTCTAGGAAGCAAGGGTTATGCGGTACCAGCCTCCTGGCAGAGCGGTCTCTCAAACGGTGCTCGCTGTGGCGAGATGCTGGGTTTAGCTATCAATGGAATAGTCTCTGAGAGATATGGGTACGTTTTATAACCACGGTGGACTGATCGTTTGTCCTGTAATTAACATCTGGATAGGTACCGAAAGACAATGATCGGCTCGCTCATCATGATGATCTGTACAATTTTTATTCTCTTCTTCGCACCAAACGTCCAGGTCCTTTTGATTGGCGAAATCCTATGTGGTGAGTCTTCCCACTTGCAAACAGCCAGTGAAAGTAGTTCCTTCGAAGTACTAACGTTTGATCAGGTATTCCATGGGGAGTTTTCCAGACACTCACTACTGCCTATGCGTCCGAAGTCAGCCCCGTTGTTCTTCGGCCATACCTAACGACCTACGTCAACTTATGCTGGGTGATGGGTCAATTCATCGCTTCTGGTGTCCTTCGAGCCTCTCTCCAGAGAACAGATGAATGGGCTTATAAAATCCCTTTCGCAGTTCAATGGGTGTGGCCAGTTCCTCTCCTTGTTGGATGCTTTCTCGCACCGGAGTCTCCCTGGTGGGAAGTCAGGAGAGGCAACCGAGAGGGAGCCAAGCGTGCACTTGAGCGACTTACTTCTGCCAGCAACCCCCATTACACCGTCGAAGAAACACTGGATATGATTGAGCAAACCAACGAACTTGAAAAGTCATTGTCCGAAGGTACTAGTTACTGGGATTGCTTCAAGGGGGTCGATCGCCGCCGCACTGAAATCGTCTGTGGCGTCTGGCTGGTGCAGACCCTCTGCGGAACGAATGTCATGGGCTACTCGACGTATTTCCTCAAACAGGCTGGTCTCCCAACTGTTCAGTCATTCAATATGTCTCTTGGACAACAGGCCCTCGGCGTCGTCGGTACTCTTCTCTCTTGGTTCCTCATCTCGCGGGCAGGCCGCCGTACTATTTATCTTACCGGAGTCTCGATTCTATGCGTTATTCTAATGATCGTTGGCTTCATCTCTCTTGCGCCCTCAAGCAATACTTCCGCAACTTGGGCTATTGGCGTCATGCTGCTCGTCTTCACATTCATCTACGATTTTACAGTCGGTCCCGTCTGCTACTCCCTCGTCTCCGAGATATCTTCTACTAGGCTGAAGACCAAAACCATCGTCCTCGCAAGAATCGGTTATAACATCAGCAACACCGTCATCAATGTCCTGACCAACTACCAACTTAATCCGACGGCCTGGGCATGGGGTGCAAAGACAGCCTTCTTTTGGGGCTGTACATGCTTCTGCTGTGTCGTATGGGTCTTCTTCCGCCTGCCTGAGCCTAAGGGCCGCACATATGCAGAGATCGATATACTGTTCCAGAATGGTGTTTCCCCTAGGAAGTTCAAGACGACGGAGGTCGATACCTTCCATACTGGTCATTCCTCGGCACTCGAGAAGTCTGTATCAACCGCATAAGATATCAAATAACAGGGGGACAATATTCTGTAATATAGCACAACATATTTCACAGGCGGAGCGATTACTAAAAAACACTAAAATTAACAATTATTATTACTATCAGTACACTTCCATTTATAATGACCCATATTTAACTATAATTGACTGTTATTCCCCTTGGACGTGCGGGCACTATGCCCGTATTATTACATAGGCCACGGCGCCGTTGCCAGCCCTTAGAACCCACCTGCCAAGCAGATTCAGCGAAGTAATTATGATGTAACTAATAGCATTCTAGAAGACAATTTTTTGTATTCCTAGCTCCATAGCATGTTGTGCCCCTCTTTGCCGAGCGCTATCGTGGCTTCATCTTCGTTATTCTCCTTGCCAGCCATTGTGACCGTCTCTGCGCCCTATGTCGGAAATATTCCAAGAATTTTGAAATGGGGTTTATTAAAGTCGAATGTCGACTAAACCGCCTTTGATGGTGCTGAGGCGGAGGGTAGTTGTTGTCGGCTCACAGGTCGGGGCGGCCATATGGATCCGGCCATGTAGATCAGCAAAGGTGCTGCGGGCCAAAGAAGCCGTGAAACAGGCCGTCAAGCCTGAACAACTCAAAGTGCAGGTTATCGACGTTCGAATATAAGTCGGATGACAACGGCGAATCCTTCGATCGATAATCGTCGGTTTGTAGCGTTTCAAAATATGGAGTCCCCGTCCTCCATCGAGTAAGTATATTCTCTCTTGACGTATTAAAGAGATGCTCTTTTCTCCTGGCGATCTTCGTCTTGCGAAACTCGTGCTCTGTTATTTCGTTCACCTGTCTTTGTTATTTCGTTCACTTGTTTCGAAAGGAGTCGGGCTTCATCCCATCATGAGCATTGACGTAGACGCCTATCGTGTACCACAGCCGAAGTTTGGAGGAAAGCTTATGCAGCTAGTAACGATAAGTATGATAGAGAGACGGCATAGGCCCATGACATTCGTCAGCAAAATTTGCTATAGCACCCACGATCGTTGTACCGAAATATTAGCTCATGGAAGGCTGACGGAATGAATGGTCTTCCATATCGTGACCGGTCCACCCTTCACCTTCGCCAGGGCTGAATTTTTCGGACGGCGAAGCTGGATTCTCCAAGAAAGATGCCAAAGGCAAGGACCACGTTAAGGGATTCAGAAAGTTCGGCAGAACTTGGGAAATCTTTTCTTGGAGGAGAGGCAGAAACCTATCTTCTCCACCGCGCAACTTGGCTACCAAGGACAAAATATATGTCAAATAGTCTTTAGGCCCGAGGTCGGATATTGGAGGCTCTGGCGCAGAAGGAGGTGTATAAGCAATTACGTCGATAAGGACATAGGCTACATCGAATAGCTTTTCTACCTGTGAATGGCCCAGTTAATTATTTGTAATTCTGTGAGGAACGCTAGGTGGCTATACCAGGCCGATCCCGTGAATCTCCATGCTCTGTTGCGGTAGTCTGCAAGTCGAAATCGTGAGATCTCGTGCGATTTGGATCGGGTACTGGAAATTTAATGATTCGTGACTCGATACACTGGACAGAAATCCAAGTTTGTTGGAGAGTTGCCACACAATTAGCCGCAGCCATTGCTGAGTAACAAGCAGGTTCACCATCTGGATATCCGTGATATCAAGAGACGCCGAGGCAGAGTTTCTCACGTGCTCATCAAGGCTCACGAGCCAGTCAACGGAACACGCAGAAAGTGTACCATTCCATAGGCCCAGAAATAATTCGTCAAAGGGACGAAAGAGGTTGACGAGATGCACGAATCCGGAGGCAGCAGTCTCTTTGCCGAGCTCTGCTATATCAGGACTTGACGAGGATAGAAGTAGGGTTAGTGGTCGGTGTTTGCGTATCGAATAAGGTCTATTGAACGTATCAGCACTGGTTTAAACGTCAGCGATCCTATCATGTGTACCGTTCCGTGATTAAAAGCAACCAAAAGAGTTGGTTTGAAGCTAGAGAGCCCTGAGCATTCCCTTCTGGAATGCCAGCCATATAAAGTGTCGTCGCCTCTCGCAGAAAGAACCACGCCTTATTCTGATCCTTAAGTGACCGATATGACCCATAAAGTAGAAACGAGGTTACTACAGCCTGAATTGAGGGTTGTATTAGAGGATTGGCACTTCTTCGAGCTTCAAGTGCTTCATTAATTAAAGCCTGTCCGTAGCCAACATCTGACTGTAATAGACTTCCATCAGGGTTTGATGAGGTATGATGGACACTTCCCGTTTGAATAATAATAAAGGCACAAAATGATACAATAAGGTAATAAGTCTCAGTGGTAGTGCTCATAATATCTCCCGAATAGTCCAGCATCTCACGTTGCAAAATCGGCAGCGTAGAGTAGAAATCGGCGAAAAAGAAATTGCTGCATGCATCAATCGTGTCCGATGATAGCAGACCCGGCGTTCGGTGATATTCTGGCGATCTTGGGGGCCCTGCATTTTTATCTCGCTGGGCTATACTACCGTGTATATTCCCAATTTGAGAAGCTCGTAGCGCTGAGATAACATTCGCGCTCCTTCCTTGTCGCCCTTTTGGCTGGGGCCTGGTAAGGTATGTACATTGCAGAGATGAGTGCGTACAGGCAGAGCATGGCTTGTTGCCATCGCATTTTATCTTCCGACGACTACAGGCGTCACAGGCATGTTTCTGTGGTCGCATATTGAATGGCAGTTTGCCATTGGCAAAGAATAAATTGCGGATTGGATCAGAAGATGCGGAGGTTGGAAAGCTGTAATGAAGTGGATCTCTTGGCGAATAAGGTGGTAGTGGTCACGTTATCACCATCGGGTTGTATGGGGCAAAAACGTCAATGCTAAATGTGCTGTATTCTTTCCACTAATGATGAAGCTTACTCTCAAGAGGTCCTAGGAGACTGTTGTTCTAACTCCAAGATCAAGGATTATCTTTTGTCCACTACATTAGACGCAACAAGCATTCTCAAAAGACTAAATTAGTGCTGGTTGACACTCAACCTAGCTCGGGCGAATGCTGTCCGTAATTAGCTTCGTATTACTTCTGAAATAATGGCGATCACTTTTCTAGTTTTGACTTCTAGTAGTTCCTTCCTAGCCGGAAAGTATTTCACCGTCTCTTTTCAGTATGAATCCTACGGGGAAGCGGGGTATATCCGATCGGTATATCCGATCCGTTCACATTTGCAGTTAGACTATAGCTTTTTTAAACGGCAGCACAATGTCTACTAAAATTATTGACCGTACACAACTCACATCTCTACGTCTATCCCCCTTTTTGCTTTACTACCGATGTTAGTTTTCTAACACTCCCCCGTAGCGCTTCCCCCAACGCAAGGTGTGCCAGTGCAATTAAATCCGCTCGGGTTCGCAACATTGCCGCACAGGTACTCCGCAGCAGGAGCGCCGCTGGTAAGGTGCAACCCAACATTGACCATAGTGATATTTGTGCAGGGCGCCACGGCGCTGCATTGCAGACTCGCCACCCTCGCTGACTTGCTATCGCCGTAGAGGCCGTCGATCTCCACGTTTCGGATCTGGAACTCAGAGTTGGTGCAGTTGCCCACACCCGGAGCACCGGAAAATCGAGTACACTGCGAGATGGCAAAGGCGGCACCCCGGAGGCCGGTTGTGGTCAGGTTTTTAAGCGTCATGCCGGATGCGACTGGGAGGTCGATGCGTTAGTAGTGCTTTCCAAATAGAACGTGGGCCCGAGAAAGAAGGTATAGAAACTTACACCCGAGACCACCGCCGCCTCCATTAGGTGGGTAGCCGTTCTGGTCGGCTGTCCAGGTCTTGATATAGAACTATGATGTTGTGTTAGAAGTTTCATTCCACATGTGTCTAGATATTAGTCGTTGGAACTCACAGCATGAAGTGTGTTGACGTATTCGATGTTCTCGGCCGTAACTCTCTCAATGGTCTCATATTGGCCATTGTACTGCCCAATGCTTCCCATCGCGATGCCCAAGCCGTTGTGGAACTTGCAGTTCTTGATGGTGATATCGGTGCTGTTGGCCTTCATCGACAAACTGTCGTCTCCGTTGTAAACGGTCCAGTTGTTAAACGTAATGTGAGACGACCGGATGGTATCCGCTCCGTCGGTGTTGGCTGTGTGGCAATATAGTCAGTAAATTGTTTCAGCTGCTCTTGATAGGCAAACTCACAGCTCTGTGCCCAGTTTCCAGTGTTGTTAACAAGAATGCTGTCAAGCAGGACATTGTGGGAGTAGATGATAGACATAGTCCTAGAGCAAATAATGTTAGTACAATGACGCTACACTTTCAATTCTTTGTCCCATTGCACCACTAGGGATAGAATTCGGCTAGTTACATACCACATCTGGCTCCTTAGGAATGTGAGACCTTTAACGACCGAGTTGGTGAGGTTACCGAAGGTCACAGCATGTGGCCGGCCGGGATAGTTGGAAGTGTTCGGCTGCTGTCTGATCCATTGGTACCAGTAATCGCCATTACCATCAAACGTTCCTGTCCCATGGCCATTGATGCGAACATTATCACCGCCAATTATCAATGCGGTAGACTGGTTCTGGTACCCGACATCCATCGAGTTTTTGAGCCAGTATTGGATATCAGTACTCCACTAAGTGAGAAAGATGTCAGCAATCTGGTGCTTCAAGGTCGTATCAAGCCCCTTGGGAAGAAATACCAGAAGAGTGCCGTAGATATCAACGTCAACATCCTTGAGCCAGTCAATGTTCATGACCGAGTTGACGTAGTAATTGGTCGGCTCAAAAACGACCCTCCCCTTATGACCACACTTCTTGAACGCCTTCAGAATTGCCGGCGCATCGTCAGTAGCATTGCTGCCGCCGCTTTTGACCACACAACTCTTTCTGTGCTCCTTATCTTTGTTAGCTACTGAGCCGGATACGGCCAGTAGCAGGGTTAGCACAGTTGGGATGGATGACGACCACATTTTCGAAGGCGTGCTGTTCTTGCAAAACTACTGTCGAAGCGAAGTAACTGAGAAGGGTAGGGCTACGGCAAACTTAACTGTGGATGTCTCCTATTTATATTATACGACGTCCCCTGAATAAAAAATAGTATATTGCGGCTCTCCACGCCATTTCCTTGTCCGACCTGACCTGCATAGCGATCTCCTGGGGGTCGCAGGCAGGGACCTGATTTTACACGAATCAAAAAAGACAATTGCATCGCTTCGACAAAGAAGGTGCATCAGCCCTCTCGAGATCGTCAATCTTCGGCGTCGTCTAGACCGAGATGATCGTGCGGGGTCCGGATAGAAGGGGTGGCAGCCCCTGTGGACTGTTGGTCCGAGCTGCGGGGTTGCGGGGGTTGGGGTTGAATTTGGGTTTGGGTTTGCGGGTTACCGCGTTGCGGGGTTGCCGCGTTCCAAGGAAATGCATGGCTGACTTTACATATACTGAGTCCCACCACTAGAAGCCAAGTTTAAACTCGCGGCCTTCCGCCATCGCTTGCACGTTAGCCTTGGCTATGTAAAATGGCGCTCGCACATATTTCATTTATTAAACAGCTCCACTGCAATCCTCTAGCGATGTAACTCGTCGATGTCGGACGAGATACTAACGAAATAAAGGACTCTACCTCGGGAAACCTTTCCCGAGCTCGTATAACCTGAGCAAGAGCCGTTGGAGAATAAAAAGTATCTAGATAAATTGAAAGACGTGGCGCTTCGCTCTGTGTCCGGTCTCCTGACGATTCGAAAGCGCCCTTTCTGGTTATAGGGAATATAGGCAGTGTCTGCTTTATTGTCTGGATATGTTTACCAGGCTTTTAGTTCCGTTTACAATTATTTTCGAAGACTTTAGATATAAATCATTCTGTTTCATTGCCATGAGGCTAGTATAGGACATAATCTTAATTCAATGAGATCATTTTTCCGGCGAGAATTCCATCTCGCACCAATACCCAATGCAACGCGTACACTTTTTGGCCATCCCAGCCGCTCCCTCTTTAAACATCCCCCAGGCTCAACTCCTAAGCCACCTAAGCCGCTCCACCACGTCCTCCAATCTCGCCAATCTGCGCGGCATCGACCCCGATCTCCGGCAACGGCCTGCCCCTCTCCGACGGCTCGCTAATAAACTTAATCATAGCCAAATACCTCAAGAACCGTCCAATATCCTCTCTCCCGATACCATATCCAACACCCTCATCCACACCAGTCCAGCGGTCCGCGTCAGCCTTCAGCACAGCAACTGCATTCCGATCGTCCAGCTCCGGCGCCCTAGTCGTGGCTGGCAGGTCATCCATGCAGAAATGGTACAGCGGCATTAGCGCGTGTTGCTCGAGATCCTTCTCCAGCGTGCCGGCGGACACGAACTTCTCGAGCTCCGACTTCCATTCCGCGTAGCTGACCTCGGGGGTCTTGTAGCCGTAGTACTCGAGGATGGAGAGGTACTCGCTCATGCGTAGGCGGGGGTGAGCCGTGACATGGACGACGTGGACGCCGTTTGGTACGGGGTTGAATGCGGCAGCAACGACGACGCGCGCGACGTGGTTGACGGGCACGGCGTTGACGGTGTTGATGATGTGAGGACGTGCGGACAGCTGAATGCAGCCCTTGAGCATACGCACCAGGAAATCATCGATGTTGCAGACACCAGTCTCGGAGTCACCCAGGATGTAACCTGGGCGGACAACAGAGCCGGAAAGACCGCGCTTTCCTGCCTCGCGGACAAGCTGCTCAGACACCCACTTCGTTTGTCCGTATCCGGTGCCCAGGCCAGTCTTGCTGCCCATCATGTCATCGGACTCAAGTATGGCCCCTTGGCCTGTGCGGGTCATATCGTCGGAGAGCTTGATGTAGGTATCCGTGTCGAGAACACTGGTGGAGCTGACGAAGGAGAACTGCTTGGGCTTGCCTTCGTTGCAGAGCCTCAGCGCATCAACGGTCGAGATGACATTCGCAGCCATCATATCTTGGTATCTCTTCACCCAGTGGACAGTGGCACCGTTGTGGATAACGACATCGACCTCATCTGCTAGAGTCTTCCAGGATGCATCATCAATGCCAAGCTGGGGCTGGGCGAGGTCACCGACAACGCAGCTGAGCCTCGACGCCCACTCATCCCTCCACAGGCCGTAGCCGCGAAGCGAGCGCTGCAGACGATCAAGAGCACCTGCCAAATCCTTAGCACCTCGTACGTGTGCGACGAGCTTGACGCTGCGGCGTGTACGCGTGAGAATATCCTTGACTAGGTAGGAGCCCAAGAAACCAGTAGCTCCTGTGAGGAAGACTGTAATGTTCTCCGAATCAGCAAGTGCTTGTGGATCTGCGGTCTGGAATTTGGCGGGCAAGTTGTTTATCAGCTCCTCCAGGGACCTAGAGTAAGCAAGGTCGGTCTCTTCGGCCGCTGCGACTTTGCCGCTGCGAGCCTCTTCAATCTTCTTGTCCACCTCGGCACTGAACTGAGACAGGGTAGGGAACTTGTAGAGACTGTTAATAGACACCTCCGCGCCCATCTCCTTTCGGACGTTCAACAAGAACTGCTGTGCGAGAAGACTGTGTCCGCCCAGGTCGAAGAAGCCATTGTCGCGTCTGATCGTCTTCGGGTTGAAACCGCGAATGAGATCAGCCCATTTCTGGGCTACTGTCCGTTCAGTCTCTGTAAGAGACTCCCAGTTCTTCAAGTCCTCCTCAGACGCGTCTTCAGTGCGCTCTGCCACATCGGGGAACGGAAGGTTCGGCTTATCAACCTTGCCGTTCGGGTTCAACGGAAGCTTGTTGAGAACGATGTAAATCGTAGGGACTGCGTATGCCGGCAGGCGAGCCTTCAAATGGTCCCACACTTCGGTCGTCATTCTCCTGAACTTCTTGGCGTAGACAATCACGGTTCCCATCTCAGTTCCTTCGTCTTCGATATCCTCCACTCCTGATGCAGCTAACCAACGGCGCCACTCTGCCAACTCTGGCACGATATAGCTGACCAGTGTTGGCTCTTCGTTACGATCCCTTCGAACAAGCGTCTTGCAATCCCGGATCAAGGCGTTCTGGCTCAAGTTGCTGTCGATATCGTTCAGCTCAATACGGAAGCCACGAATCTTGACCTGGTCATCTGCACGACCTGTACACTCAACATCACCCGACTCCATGTACCGTCCGAGATCACCTGTGCGGTAAAGCCTATCTCTAGGCCCCTTGTAATATTGCCTCCACGGCTCATCCTTGCTTATTTTCTTGTCCTCCTCCACCCACTTCTCGTTGTCAACGAACCAGTTCATCAAGAACCTCGTCTCATTCAGAGCTGGATCCCCCAAATAGCCTTCGGCCAGACCGGCCGCGCGGACGTATAGCTCACCAACCTCGCCAACCCCACAAAGCTTATTTCGGTCTTCCCTGTTCACAACCAGGAGCTGGACATTCTCCATGCCTTTTCCAGCTGGGACAGTATCCTTGAGCTTCTCTAAGCAATCCGCATCCTTCGCGCGACTCGGAAGTTCATAGTAGCTGACTGCTCTCTGGGTCTCGGTGGTTCCATACATGTTGATGATGTTGGCATTAATAGCAAGTCGTCTGAGGGCGCGGCAGTCCCTGATCGTCAACACATCACCAACGAAGAAGACACGCTCCAAGGACGGGAACTCTGCCGTTGCACCTCCAACTAGAATCTGACCCATGGCTGGGGTGAGATGAGTAACCGTAGGCTTGTGTTCGCGCATCCACTCGGCGAGCTTCTCGTGCTGGATATCTTCCCTTGACGGGACCAGCAATTGTGCACCCAGGAATAGCGGTGTGAAGATATCGCGCTGAATCGGGTCGTGAGCCAAACCAGAAAGCAGAGTAAACTTGCTCTCCGATGAAAGCTGGAAGCGCTCCGCCATCCAGCCAAAGTATCTAGTCAAACTGTAATGGCGACCAAGGACGCCCTTGGGGCGGCCTTCGCTTCCCGAGGTAAATGATAGTGTCGGGTTCGAATCCGGGCCCACGATCACATCAGGCGGCGTCGACGCATGCTCTCTAACGTTATGGAATACATCCTTGCCGTCGACTTCACCTCCAGACAGAGTTCCATCGTCAAGAAGACGCAGATCAGGAACCACAGTCTTGAGGTTAAGCTGCTCGTCGATATACTTCTGCACCACCGGGGCAAGCGGTCCATTCTCGTCCGTCGCGCTACCAATCTTGATCAGCGCACGCGGCTGCGAGACCTCGAGGTAAATCTGCTGCCTCGCCGGCGGGTATGCCGGGTCCAGGACCGCCATTGTCGCTCCAGCGGTCAAGGTGCCCATCAAACTAATGACGAGGTCGACGGACCGGTGGGCCCAGATCATGACGACGTCGCCATTTGTGACGCCCGCCTCGCGGAGGTAGCGCGCGGTGATATTCGAGGCCTCGTAGATCTGGCGGTAGGTGAAGCGCCTCTCGGGGCTGGTGGATGACTTCGTCTCGAACACGCAGGTTCGGTCTGGGTGTGACTCAGCGGCTGCGCGGAAGCGCTCGTGGATTGAGCCGACATAACCAGACCAGTCGAGGTCGATGGTCGGATCGGGTAATTGATCCATAGGGGCGGTGGTATCCCTATACTATTTTGTTGATTTCGGAGGTTGAGAAGGTGAATATGGTGAGTCAATGAGGAGGGAAAGAATTACAATGTTGAGGTTTCGTTAATAAATTTTGGGCAGGGCTCTCCGACAGCGGGAGGGGTCGAAAGTTGCGACGCTAAAACCCAACGCGGGGTGATGTCACACAGACATCGTCCCACTCATATCGATACACGTCCCCAGTGTACTTGAGCTAAACCACTTATTAACTACACAAATACACAAAATGTGAATATAACCATTATAATTATATTTACAACCTTCAATCAGTCTCTACTTGTCACTAATCCGACTCATATAGGACAATCACTCGCAAGCGTGAGCAACGATCTAGATTAAAGGGCGTGCAGGGGCAGGGATAACCAACTGGTGCCTACGACCCCTCCTCGTTACCCCGCCATACCACATATGAGAAGTTATATATCCTTCTCAACTCTAAATTTTCTGTCTCCGTACCATCTCAAGAACCCTTCTTGACTTCCATCTCATCTCAATATTCACTCTCCAAAATGGCCTGCTGCACCCTCCCCTCCATCCACCCCCACACCCCCCTCGGCACCATCCTCTCCATCTCCGGCACATCCACCTACCTCACCCTCCCCCCCAACACCCCCACCGCCACCCCTCACCCCCGCGCCCTCCTCTACCTCACAGAAGGCTACGGCACTCTCCTCCCCAACTCCCAGCTCCTCGCCGACCACCTCTCCCTCCTCCTCAACTGCCCGGTGATCATGCCCGACCAATTCCGCAACGAGCCCTTTCCCATGGTGAAGCCGCCCGGCTGGGACGACGAAGCCGCGTTCATAAGGCTGCAAACAGATCACCATCCCGGGACTGTGGATCCCATGCTCGAGAAGGTGTTGGAGTGGATGCAGCGCCCTGTGGGTCATGCTGAGGGAGGTCTGGGGGGCGTGGTGAGGGTGGGCGCGATTGGGTATTGTTTTGGTGGGAGGTATGTTATGCGTTTGCTTGCGGAGGGGAAGATCGAGGCGGGCGTGGTGAATCATCCGAGCTTTTTCACGCTGGATGAGGTGTCGGCGTTGGGGCGGCCGGCTGGGGGTAAGGAGGAGGGAGAAGGGGGTGGGAAAGTCAAGGTGTGGAAACCACTCGCTATCTTTGCGGCGGAGGAGGATGATATTCTGCCCGAGGGGAAGAGGAGAGCTACGGAGGATAGGCTGAAGGAAGGTGGGGTGACGTGGGTGTGTACCACATATGCGGGGACTCTCCATGGTTTCAGGTATGCCCCCTTCAGCGCCCCCTTCAGCGCGTGAGAAAGTAACAAAGAACAGCGTGCGCGGAGATCTCAATGATCCGGTTGTCAAATTCGCGAGGGACAGTGCGTTAGACGGGGCAGTCAAGTGGTTCAATGAGTATCTTCCCTCGTCTTAAATTCAGGAGTAAGGCGAGAGTGGGTGACTTAAGACTCAAGCGCTCTGTTCTGGCGCCAGCAACTATGGTGGCATCCGCTCTTTATAATCATAACCAATGCACGCTCGCCAAGAGCGTTACGCATACTTTCCAAAACTCAAGCAACTTTCCAGTTTTCGCACACAAATCCTCAACCCTTGGAAAGTGTCATGTACTTTTCCCCCCCGAACCCCTTTTCGCGTCCTTTGGAAATCCGCTCTCTGGTATTCCTGGGCCCAAAATGACCCTGCGGTCCCAATATATATATATCCTTAAATTTTACCCATCCGTCGTAGCCTATATGGCAGTTTTCTCATCGCCCCAGTATTATTACAGCCAACCTGCAACGATTGTAACCGTCCGTTGTCACGGTTGTCCAGACTATTTTATCAGTCGTTATCGTCGATATTACCGTCTGTCTTGGCTCCGCTATTTCCAAGAGTCTTCGCATCTTGTTGCCGCTGCATCTTAGCCAATACTACACGTCCATCGTAACCGAAACTGCAACCGCTTCCAATTGGAACATATACCCATGTGGCTCTCTCCCTTGAGATAAGGGCTGAATGCTAAATCTGGCACACTGCGGAATAAAAATCTTCCAGGATCAGCACTCTGATGTATCCCACCTGCTGTCCAGATTGCCCCAGAGGCTTATGATGGCCTGTATTCGTTGGGATCTTGCATCAGGAATCCTTCGGGGCCAAACCATTGCTGGTGAGAATGGGACGGTGCGTTGTGATGCTCTGTCCCTGTTGTATACGCACTGATATAATTAGGCTGTATCCACTCTGGACTGTTGTTGCTGTCTACCAGAGTCAAGTCCGAAGGCGTTGATTTATTCGACTTGTCATCTTCGAGGTTGAGAGAGCCAAAAAGGACCTTCATATCACGCAGATCTTCCGTCACCTCGTCCCGCGGCGTTGACGTGCGCTCCTCGACGAAGCTACGGATCGAGCGGATAGTAGGTGGGTAGTTCTCGCCATTCGGGAGCCACCATTCCATGCATGTCGGGTCCTGGAATAGCTCAGAAATGCGCTCGCGGAAGGTAACGGGATAGATGTATCTATCAGAAGTCAGTGTCCATTTTCTCATGAGTGCAGGGTTGTCCTACCCATTCGATTCCACCACCGTGAATTTCCTCCGCAGCCAGTTCATGTGGCGTTGGTCGCGGGGAAGTGCGATGGCTGCGATCCCTAGACTAGCCAGGCACGACAGGATGGCACCCTTGGGGCTTCGTGGCCAGTATTCTACGGCTTCGAACATCTGGCAGATTTGGAATGCGGGAATAGCTACCTCCTCGTCCTTCGTCTGGATTTGGAGAATTTGGGCGGTTTGTACCAGTCGCATCAGGTCCAGCGCATATATATCGAGCTTGCAAATGTTGATGGGCCAGAGGACGCCCTCCTGGATAAGTCCTGGTTCGTAGGGGTTCACAATATCTTCTGGGTCCAGGGGTCGTGCACCAGTGAAATCTGTGACTTTGTATCTCGAATCGTGAAGCGCCGGATCCATGCTGGGTATGAACTCCCGGATCTTTTTTGCGATCGCCTCGTTCTCAAAATTGAATTGCTCAATGCTGATCTCGCCTTTGCTTATTTTCGCAAACAGGACCGACATCTCCATAGCTATGATGTTGATTTTTGAAGACGTCTCATCGATTTTCCATAGAATATTGTCTGGCTCAGTCTGCACTTTGTGGGTGTAGAATTGCAGCTTGACATCAAACCATTCTTGGGAAAGCACGGTTTTGAAGCCGCCTATAAGGCCCGCGAAAATGTCGAATCGGGCATACCAGCCCAGCAGCACCCGGTTGAGGTCCGTCTCCATGGCGGTTTGAGGCGTCAAGAGGCTGGTCAAAATAGAATATGCTGCTTTTTGGTGGCTCAGAAGATTAACCCAGTCTCCTAGATATTCCTACTCATCAGTTAGCCTTGTTTTCTTCTCAGGGACAGAGTGACAGTAATCATTACTTCTATGGTGGCGAGTTGCAAAATGGAATACATCGTATCAACATTTCTCCCTTCGCCTCTCCTCAGTGACTTCAATAGAAGCTGAACAGATTTGTTGTAATATTGTAGGAAGTCCTGTATCTTTCCTTCTGGATTGTGGAGCGTGCGCTGAAACGCGGAAAATCCAACAACAGCATACAACAGCGACTTATTCTGTAGTGCTGCTTCTAAAAATGTCGTGTGAAAGAAATTCCCTGCATCCTTCTTGAAATAATAGTGGTGATGCGTGACATTCGCGACGAAATATTCGAGATAGAACTGTAGATCGCGGGGCAGTCCCGACCAGTCAGGCTTGCCTCCATCAGTGACTGGGGGGAGACGAGAAGGCTTTGCCAGCCTCTGATCAGCTTTATGTAGGTGAGCATTATATCCTATGGATCCTTCAGTGGACGGGGAGGGCGAACTGCCTTTATCTTGGACCAGAGATGGCGTCTCTGAGCTTAAACGGCTTTGATTTTGTTGTTGTAATGTATGGGTTGAATTAGCGAGTGAGTTCATGCCTTGATTTGTATCAAATGGGTCCTCGTCTTCGTCCGGGATGGACTCGAGGCGGTCTACATCAACCTCGTCATCATATTCGTCAGATGGCGGGGTTAGACTTGAGTGGCCAGACTTTGAGCTGCCGGCGCCGCCAGACTTTGATGGTGTTGTTTCCGGATACGAACATTCTCTCGAGCCTTTCTTACATCCTGGACAGTTCAGCTTCCAATTCCTAAGTGGTGAGTCCCTATCAACTTACTCTCGCATGTGGGGCGGCCTTCGTCGCACTACATATGGTCAGCATCAGACCCAGAGAATGGGATGAGTTCATACTTTTACACGTCTATTCCTACAGGTAAAGCATCCTGATCTCGTCCTCCTATGCTTCACATGGTCGGCTCCGGGCGCTGGTCGTCGTTGATGTCGCCCCGGCTTCGCCCCGGTCATCTCCACGCTCTGCATCCAGGAAGATGGTATAGGTCGTCCTACGTGTGGACTGGCCGAACTGGACTTGGGGGACCGGTAGGTCTGGCTTGGCGCGCGTTCGAGCGTTAATCCAAGCTCCTCTAGTATCCGCGGATATCGTACTCTAGAAGTTGCAGTTGATAGCTCTGATCATTGACTTCTCGGCCACTTCAAACGGGATAGATAGGACTGTATAGTCCCGCATGAACGTCTAGTTCGTTGGAGAGAGTATCAAATTCGTGTGGTATGCGCCTCGATGTAGTGGGAAATTGAAGAAGCAGATGGCAGTGTGTACGTAGATGAGCGCCGACGGGATCGAGTTTGGATGAATGCGGGGTGATTATAACGAGTGACAGCACAGCGAGACTTCTAAACCGGTGGTAAATGTATGATCACTGTCAGATATGCAACGAAAGTAAGGCAAGGCGTCGAGCGTTGCAAGAACAAAGCACACAGATGAGGCGCTGCAAGGTTTCTCAATGATATGGCGGCCGGTGACTCGAATGACGGCCCGATGCCGCAGTGCAGTGTAGATTGATTCGAGGCTTTACGGCGAAGCTGCGGACTGATCCGGAAGAAATTTGATATGTCTGCGCTTAGCCGCGAGGTTACAGCCGCGAGGTTGTAGTGATGTCCACACGGTATTTGTTCCCCGAAGGCAAGTCGAAGCGCGCTCGACAAGGACGCGGCCGTACCAGGGCTTCCAACAACTGATTGTGCGGGGTAACGGAGCAAAGTATATTTGTAATTGTAATGATAATTGCTCGTAGAGGACGGTTAGTTATTTCGACGCGACAGAAGTTTTTCGAACACAGGCGGGTTGCGACGGGGGTCAAGAAACCGGAGAGGTAGATTTCGATGGAGATAACGGGCGGGCGCCGCGCCGCGATTGACTCGGGAGAGCTTGGTTGAGGGTGCTAGCGCGATTGATTGGAATACAGGATTGAGCTGACTGCGTTAGCTTTGCGGCCAAACAGCAGAAGAGATGAATAGTACAATACAGTCGTTCCCAAGGGATCGGGTGTGGGAAATTGGGAGCAAACAGAGGTCGTCGAGATGCAGAGAAGAATAGGTAGAAGGTAGAATGTGTGGGAAATGTATTTCAAGGCGGCCCAAGGGTAGTTGAGTACTCCCGTGCAACAAGCAAACAGCACCAAAACCAAAGTTTAGCAATCAGAAGTAGCAACGGTAACGTCGTAGTAGGGCGACGATCAGATTGCGGGCTAGGGGGTCATGCCGTCAGCGGTGGGATTTTTATGGAAGGAGGGGAGGGGGAGGAGGAAGGAGGGGAGAGAGTGCACAAGCAGTGGAGGGGAGGGAAGGAGGAGGAGGGGAAGGGGGAAATTAATTTGGGTGGATGGAATTGGATCATGGTGCGCTGAGACTCACTGCAACTAGAGGATTATAAGTTACTTTTGGTAGTGGAGATGGGCAGATGTAGGAAGATGTGGACGCAACTCAACGCACCCACCTGCGCACGCACAAGCTACGGAACTATAAACCTAGCAAGCCACGAACAAACAAACCCGCAAATCCACAAAACCCACATGCCCAAGTTCCCCGTTTTATGATCACCGCCGTTGGGTATATTCCTCCCATCTGTCGATATGACTGGTAGCCCATCTAGTAGCCCACCGGCATCCACGTTGGGCACTTCAAGCAAACGTCCATGATAGGCGCATAATATCTCCGGCTCCAGCTACCACTGTTACAGTACAGTAGCAGTACAGCGATGTCCGGCTGGCTCCACTGCGGTTCAAGAACCAGGACCAACGACCAACGACCACTGGTCCCCTCGTACTCGTACGCATCACGTACGTATGTGCGACGAGTTACCCAGGCATACTTGCTTCATACATGGGCAAGCATACATGTCAAGCAAGCAACTGTGTTCCGCGGTGCGTCGTGTCGTGCATGGCCTGTGGGGGCGAGCGGAGAAAACCTCCTGCCCTCTCTGGTCGTCCGTGGCTCTCTGTGGCTTTCTGTGGCCCTCTCTTGCCCTCTCTGGCCCATGGTATTATGCAGGTTCCAAGCAGAAATGTGAGGTATCGTGGGTATTCCTCGGGCAAGTACTCTGCTCATTGCTGACGTAGAAAACAGTAACTATGGCCCAGAGTTCTCCTGGCAGCGCTCTAAAACTGACTTGGGCTTAGGGCCGTTGATGGATCAGTAACCCGGCACTCGAAACTTTTCGACAAATCAGCCTGATCCGTTGATTAGGGTTACATCACATGCCAATCACAGGGGACGTCAGAAAGGATACCAAGGGACAACGGGGGACAAATGGGGATCAAGGGACAAACTGCCACCAACAAGGGATCTGGCCGAATCTATAAGCTCCGGGCCGTATGGACGTTATGGAGTACGACGAACGACGTACAAAGTATGGTCCGCACACCTCTACACACCACCTCCTGTCGGCCGGTATGCTAGGATCGAGCTTAATCTCCGTCTTGTCGCCCTTCTCCTTGCATGGTTCCTCCCCCAGCGATCGCTCTGGCTTCTCCGCGATTCCGGAGCACGCCTACCCGGCGCTGTACTATACTATCCTGAGTCTGTGTAGTCACTTGTCAGTGTCAATGACAAGTAACTACAAAGAACAGTGGGCCCTCCCATCCATGTCCATCGCAGCACCTAATATAATATACAGATCAAGCGTTACAGTGGACATCATACGCTACGGGGCGACTGCGGCCGCATCCCAGGTTTCACTTCACAAAGAATTCTCTGCGAGACAAGCCAATATGTGATGCATTCCCCCATCCCATATCTATTATGGTATATACACAAAAAGGATAACTCCCCCCCCGCCAAATACGCCATCCGCGCAAGCCACTCGCACCGGCCCCTACTTCTCGTCCCCGAGACAGAGTCAGTACCAGCCCAAGCCTATTCGGGAAACGTAAGGCCGAGGCCCCCGATATCGAGATCCTGTCGATCCTGGGGTGGGGCGACACATCAGATGTGCCAGGGACTGACTGGAGCCGCATATGGGGATATCGAGAATTGCATCTCTCATGTGCATTGTATTGGAGTCGTTTTGTGGCTTCTTTGTGGCTTCTTCGTGCGTTCGATCACATGCACAAGCAGGTCCGTCTCTGGGACCAGTGCCACGTACCGGGCTTGCCAGTACGTCGTCAAGACGTCTGGTGTTTGGCAGGTTGCCAGGATATCGGAATCTTCCTTCTGCGCAGGCGGGCATTGAGTCCTTCCCGCTCGTTACTGCTCTGTATTGTTGGGGGTGCAGGGGCAAGTTTACCTTGAACCGCCTTTGGTGCCAATGAATGGGCCACTAAAGGTGTCCCTCCATTCACGGGCAGTCAGTATTGAAGGCATTGTTGCGTGCTGTCCCATGTCAGGTGATTTGTTACATGGTAGAGTAGAGTACATCAACCCATCTCTGACCTCTTTCTCCGTCGTCAACAACGGCAGCGAGATTCGAGTGTGTAAGTTGGGTAAGTTAAGGTGCTTTATAAAACACGTTACTTTAAAAATGCAGCCGTGGAATTTCTTCTCTATTTATTGTATGTTCTTGACGCTCTATGTCCTTTTCCCACCTACCTCATACTCAATCTTGTTCGTGCATCTCCCTCGATATTGCGTGGGGTTCTCTGCTGTGTGGACTGTGGCTGTTGTGTGGGGTGCTCCTGTTGCGTGGTGCATATTAACAAAATTATTCTTGAACCCAGCGAGCATTTTCAATAACGTAGGCGAGTGCCCGTTAGAAATGTGCTGCTTCCACTCATGCACGCATCTGCGTGTCACGTCTCGCGTCTCGCAGGATGAGGCTAGGATGCTGTTATACCTATGATTGGCGGTACTGCGATCCTTCACGAGGGACATAAAGCGTTGATCAACAACTGCCCCAATCCCTTCAATATTTCTCTCCTTCTTACTATTAAATCTGAAGACAACATCGTACACATTTTGATATCACACGATCGCGATCGTCGGTCTGGTCGTTGCTCGAACCCATATGGATCACGTTGATTTGTCGTCGTTGACCCTTGAACCACCCTCGCCCAGCCAGGGCAAGGCGAGGGTATCGACGCCTATAGTTGGTGACATCCTGTTCCCCGTAGGCAGGAGAAGGGATGTGGCAACAGATAAACCCTACATTGCACGGCCATCATCCCATAGGCATGGGGAGAACGCCGAGGCCAGATTTGCTTGCCCGTTTCACAAACATGATCCTAATTCGTTCAATGTGCTGTTCGAGCACTGTGGTGGGTCGTCTTTTACAGGTATTACCAATATATTGTAATGATAAAATAACACTGTTTGCGCTTCATTAAAGACTTACTTACATGGAATTAGGGAACACATTCGTTGTATGCACTCTGATGAGCTGTTTGTTTGCCGAGGGTGCAGCCAAACGTTTGATTCTGAACATGATTTGCAATCCCATCAAAAAGAACCAATGGCCTGTGGAAATGGTATCTACCCTCGGGCTATAACATCGTCAAGATTCGTGGCATTGATTAGGATGCGGAGGTTTCAAGGGACAGTGGAAGAACAATGGCAGGATATATACCAGCTGTTATTTCCAGATGATGATGGCAAAGTCTCGCCCTGTAAGCTAGTCTCTAAGAGATATTTCATCCCCTGAAATATATACAAAATCGAGATGATCTTGTATATTATAAGTTTTCCACTGATCAATTAGATCATGAATCAGAAAGCGGACCTTCGTTGGATGGAGCGCATACTTCACGATTCCCTAAGGATCTATCAATGGAAGATTTGGACAGTCCCCCAAATTATCATTCTCTCGAGGGTCATAGAATCTCACTTCCCGAAGACGGCAGCTCTTTTCGCAGAGATCCGCGCTCCCCAGTCATATCCTCCCTACGAGCAGGCGACGGCGTCGGCGCAGAGCTCTCTCATACAAACTCTAGCAAAAGCCGTTCAAGCACCAGCGGGGAAAGCGCAGAATTATGTGAAGAGGATGAGACACAGTGCAGTGACTCCGATGACATAGATACTAGCTATAAGGCTTTGGATCCAGTTAAGCAGGCACTATTCGACAACTCAACAAGGCAATTTTGGGATTTTTACAATGGGTTATCTGCTCCCAATTGGGTCGTCTTATGGTCAAAGCATGCAACCTACAAGGGAGCTGCGTCTTCGTCGCAGGGAACCCAAGGGTCAACACGGACAGCTCCAGATTCTCGGACACCATCGGAATGCCCATCAAACACCGCATCATTGCTAGCACCAAAACGGAAGAAGAGAGATGACGACGATGAAGCTAGCAATAACGGAAACCCTTCAAAACGCTCCAGCCGTATTTTACCTCAGAAAGAAGGCTTAAATCTTGCTTGCCCTTTCCACAAGCACAAACCGTGGAAGTATAACCATGGCATCCTCCGATTCCGAACATGCTCTACTACTCCTTTCGATGCTATTTTCCGCTTGAAGTAAGTTAACGAATGGCCATTTTCGGCATGTCCTAATTTATGGCAGGGAACATCTCCGCAGGGTTCATCCGCCTCCTCTCCATTGCACTCGATGCTGGCTGTCCTTTTCCGATCAGAACAGCCTAGTAAACCATGGGCAAGCTGATATTTCCTGTCAAAGGAGACAACCAGTTTCTGTTGAGGGTTGGACTCCCGAAATGGACAAAAAGATAACAAAGCGCAAAGACGAAACAGACGGAGAACGTTGGGAGAGGATATATCGCGAACTCTTTGGTAGTACACTAACCACCGTGCCATCTCCATGTAAGTCATGCTTTGGGGATATCACGCCTATGAATAGTGAAACTGAGATGGTCACTTCAGAGCTAATAAGCAAACAGATTTTGTGCCTTACGACCTTGCATCTGCCAACGAGGCAGATTTGGAAACACTCTTGCAGCAAGAAGTCCCACGAATAGTGCTCAATTCGCTGAGCGAGCAAGTCAATAATATGGATATCCCCGATGCGGCACGAGCTCTCTTCGACCCGTCAACCCCTTACTTCCAATTTGAGAATTTGATAGGAAACGCCATTAGAGAAGTATTTACGATGTATAGGTCGGCCACAGCAACAGCGAATAACTCTACAGCACCTTCAACTACGACGCAACCTTCATCGGATAATGCGTCTATTGCTGACGACAGTAGTGTTGCTCAGTCTACTTGTTGGGAACGCACAACCGTGAATTCATCACGGAGTTCTCATCATCAGTCGGGTAGTTTTGAATCTTTACCGACAGTGGTACCGCCCGTGTTTCCAGATACCACGCAGCGATGGAGCGACCCAATGCACCCGATCGCGGCCGGAGGGCCTTCGTACTCAAGGAGCATGCATGAACAAGTTCCTCCACCTTCCGCCGAGTTAGTTTCACGCGCCTCGGAAACAACATCGAACATAGTCCATCCAAATCCCTCTGGCCGGATGCACAGTGCAGGGGAAGCCATGCAGCAGGGTGGCCAGCACAATGTGATGAATGGTTATGGGACCAGTATGGATGAGTATATGTTTGTTGATTTTGACCTTTTGGGAGGGTTCGATGCTGAGGCGTTTCCAAGCGTGCCATCTAATACTTATAGCGCTCCAACGCGGTCTTAATACCCATAGCATATTTGTTTATATACGTTTTGTCACAGATATTTGCGCTTGGTTGATATGATTGATATTGATATTGTCTAAAAAGAAGCACAACCATAGTCCCTTGCGTTCAGACATGGGTTCTTTGGTAATCCCTCGCCCGGCTCAACCAATGCCTGTTATGAGGAGCAGCAGAAGAAATAGTGCCCAGCTCAGCTCTCGTTGGGAATCGCATACCCCTATCCGATCCGCAATAATACAGCCCATAGGCAAACACCTCCGACGCCCCATCCGACGCCCTGGCCAAAGTTTCAACGTCCCAGATGCTTAGTAATATTCATCATAATAATCATAGCCATCTAAAACCTCATTGCAAAGCTGATCAGCATCCTGGTTCTGCTCCCTCGGGATCCAGCGAATCCTAACTTTCCCCAGCCTTTTGAGTTCGTCATGATAGCGAACAGCATCTTTGATGAGATCCTGGTTCTTAACTGGCCTGCCCGCCGCAGTGGTCCAGCCATTCTCAAGCCATTTGAACACGAACTCATTCATGCACCTAACTGCGTAATCGGAATCGGAGAAGATCTTGACGTCCAGCCTGGGAAATGTGTCCAGGTCTTCATGTTTGTGCAGGGCCTGCTTCAGAGCGATGATGATGGCTGTAATCTCAGCTCGTTGGTTTGTTGGGGCTGGGTCGTCAGGTAGGCGATACTTGTGACTCTGGAGTATCTGGTTTTTGCCCCTCTTGAACACTGCTGCCGCAGAGCCCTCTGCGCCTGAATACCCATTATTGCGACATGCACCGTCGACAAAGATCCTCATGATGTACACCATATCGACGATGTGGGCTGAAATGAGGGAGGCAGCGCGCCTTGATGAGCTTAGATCTTGAGGATCTATCAACCTCGATGAACGTGGATCTTATGAGGGCTCCAGCCTTTTTAGCACAGAACTATCAAGAGGTTTACAAATGTCCAGGAAAGGCTCTGGGTCTTAAACTCACAACACCCGTTTGCACCGCGGCACGACGCAGATGATTCTGTGGGTAACGAAGTTTATATTTCATGTTACAACTTACAAGGTATATAATTATATACCTTGTAAGTTGTAACATGAAATATAGGCGTTCATTTATTAGTATGTACAAAGCCACTCCCCTCCTACCAGGCAGATCTGCGATGAGGTTCCTCAAAGATCGTGCACGGGAATACCTCCAAACGCAGGTTCAGCTACAAGTCCTGTCTCTCTAATGCGCTAATGGGGCGTTCTTTCATAATGGCAGGAGCGTGCGTGTTCTGTCACAAAGAGCGCGTTTGTCGTGCAGCTTCATTCCGGGTGGTTGGTTCCTTGGTCCGTGGGCGATCCCTTGTAGATCCCGAAGGTTAGTGTTGTGGCGGTGGCATTGCCGGTCGGCTGTCCGATAGTGCTGGGAAGGTGCAAAGTATGGCGGAGAAAAGGATGGGGATTCAATATGCTGGGAACTATCATTTTTAAAATAATTATAGAATTCTTATAACCTGAGAGCTGGGTATTTATTTGCCTGCAAACCAAAACAATCTATCGCCATTGCGCCCTCATGCCGTTTCTAAATAATCCCAATCCTCAATTCGTAGAATCTTCACACTCTTTCCAGCCCATCGGGTTTCTGCAAATGCATTAAACAGCCCAGCAGGCCCCGTCCTTCCAATCGGAAGTCTTCCTAGGCGCTGTACTGCATTGCAGTTATCACATATCCCAAATGTGAGAACCACCCCTGCAGCAACAAAGGCTCCCTTACACGATAAATGCCACATGTGGATGATGGCACACTCTCTTGTGAAATAACTGCACTCGTCCGCGCAAGAATATGCAGCTCTTTGATGCATCTTTGTGGGTAATCCAGCTTTTCAACCAGGCCACGTCCAAATCTCGTTGGGTGATAGTTAGCTTCATCGGTGCCCCAGTCTCTCGACCTTTCTCTACCTCGCATATGGGTCAATAAGACGCACATGTCGCGACATCCGCTCAAGCTCCGACATCAACCGCTCTTTAGTATATCCCCCTCCAAATTCTTCCACGTATTCGATCATTTCCTTCTCCGCCTCAGCCTTTACTGACGGGTCATTGGTTCCGATCCAAGCAGCCTGGAAACACAGCATCATGTAACTAGCGCCAAGAGGTCTGAATCTCTTCCCGTCCTCTGCGAGAGCCATAATTCCGCTTGAAAATGAATTCAAATCAGATATGAGCTCCATGTCTTCAGTGTCGAGAGCGCTGAGGACACAGCCGAGGATGATACCAACGGTAAGGGCAAAATTGTAAAATCGCTGGACGAGATAATAAGTCTGGGCATCGGAAGCTATCCGTTTAATATCTTCGCCGGTGGGTATCATAGAGTGCATGTACTGCTCGTAAGACGTTATCCCGGCCTTCAATGTCTGGTAGTTAGTCCTTAATTCATCAACAGCCTTCATGTCACTGATTTCCCCTTCGAAGAAGTTGCCGTGCCGAATCATAGCCGTGACTTGCGAGACGTAACGCATCATCTTGCCTGGAAACGTGCCTTCATCGATATGGTTGTCGACGAGAGTCTTCCATTCCAAAGGAGTAAACTTAATTTTAGGATTGAAAAGTCCTTCGAAAATCTTGTCATCTAACTTAGCTAATGTCCAGAGCATTTCATACTGGGTATCTTACCACGGGCGCCCGTAGAGAGAGATGCAGTTTGGATTCAAATTCATCATTTGGGTCATAATATCTTCGTGCCTTCAGTATTTGTGCCGCGCCCTCGCAGTGGCCAGTCCAGCCCATATCATTCAGGCCATGGAAACCCTGAAAATGTTAATAGAGAGTTGTTTAGACTGAAGTCTATGTAGCTCACCTGGCATATAAGTAGCAGCATCACTGCACACAGTGTCTCTGATGAGCAGGCCTTGACAGGGTCGTCCAAATAAAATCGGAGAGTGCGAAGTGCTGCCGAGTATTTCACCAAGGCTTCGGGGGTAGCTCGTTTATACAAACAGTAACTCGAATGTGCTGCTGTCAATGCCTTGACAGCTGAATCCAATGCTTCGTTTCTCCCAAGACGCGCGGGAATATCTTGTAGAAATTCTCCATACCAATAAACAAGGTTGAACCTCACAGCAGTGGACGTCGTCATCGTACCAACAAATTCACTCGTCGCTAGGGTCAATGCACTGCTTGGAGTATGCGGCACTGTCTTTAGAACATCCATGATGTTAAAGCTCATAAAGCCCTTATTGCGGTGTGGAATTGCAATGCTGTTCCGTGTCCCATGCTCCTCCTTAAATTTGAACCTTTGCTGTCCCGCGCCAACACAGGCCATTTTTAGACGGGTGCATCGTGAGCACGACGGTTTCGCCTGGTCACACTATGGCCAGCTTCAGAAGATGTCTTTATGCGATATGGATGCAAGGCCTACCTTTTTCTTCTGTATGCGACAGCCATCGCAACCACGTCCTGACGGCACTCCTGGCATAATTGAAGAAAGACGTTCACCGTCATGAAAATACTACGTCGTCAAGCTCTCAATGTGGGGGATGCAGTGGTATGTGCCCGTGGGCAGCTCCTTGAGCACGCCGTATGAAGAGCACCCCAATTCTAGATTCGGACAACAGCAGCAGCCCGCTGAGGAATAGCGGGGAATCCCACAGGGGTTGGATACCACGTGAGATTATTAATCAAAAATTAATTGCTTAAGATATATAGCATCAAAAAGTGTATTAGAAGAGACGTTGAAAGAAGTTTAAATGGAACATTGATGGAAGTTCTGGCTACGGTAATTGCCACAGGGCTGAGCTGGACTTAGGCACCATCAGCTTAGTGTGGCTTAGCTGCCACCCAGCCCCAGGGGTGGTGGGGTAAAATCTTACGTCATCGGACATTGCTCGGGGTCCAAATTTGATATCAGAAGAAGCATTATTCAGGTATTTATTTTGCAGACAAATAACTCCTGGTATTCTAAGTATAAGCATGGCTAATATGCGAACGAATAAAACAAATGAAAAATCTAAATCTACACGGGTTTCAAACGGCTCTAACAAACTCGGTCTGGCTTTCCGGCTTTGTGGCAGCATCTGCCGCGGGAGGATATTCCTCTGGTCGCAGCCAGTATTGCTCGTGGTCCACATTTCCACTCATCCTTCCCCTGATATCAAACGGATCAACGAAAGTCATCCACGTAGTTCGGTGATCCTTCCACCCAGGGCCAACACGCTCGACCCCGTTGTAGTCAAGGTAGACCTTCGTATTGCGAGGCAAGAATCTTCCAGGATGCACAATGTTGAGCCAGTAAGTATATAGGACCATAGGAGCCGCTTCGAATACGTAGATGTACCATTCGTGTCTCAGGACAGCTTGGCAGGTTCCATCACAAGTCCCTGAAGATATGACGCTGAGATTGCTGAAGCTTTCAATAGCACGGAAGATGCAGCGAATCAAGACTAATGTCGAGGTGCCGTAAAGCATGATGCAGATAGTGCGCACCTTAGGCGTGAGCATTTTGGCGCGTGCGCAGCGGATGTGTACTAGAGCAACAAAACTCATGAACAGTAGCTCCACTACGCCCTGGAGCACGAGAGCGATGGAGATAAAGGTCTCTCCGTTTTTCAGCAGATCCATATCGCCGTTCGCCGCCGACAGTCGCACCGCACCTACAGCTGTCAGACTTTCAACTGCGGCACCCACGTAGATGAAAAAGTAAAGAACACGGCTCGGGTTGATAGGTGAATGCATTGGCGTGTAGTGCATGAGTCGACCAAGGATGTTGTATTCAGCCGCGGAGTATATCGGGGGACCGGCGAGGACAAGGCAAGTCTGGGCGATATAGAGTTTTATGTTTCCTGGATCGTAGGATGAGGTAATCCGCATTATCCATCCCGCGGTAAAGACAGTGCCGCCATAGAACATGAAAAACGTGACCCTCCAGAAATGGTAGTGGCTGCAAAGGTGGAAATGTTAGCTACTGTGATTTTGATAAAATGGAGCAACAGGGCGACTAACAAGTTTTGCCATGTATGCATGATCAAAGATATGCCAATCAAGGCAGCAAATACAGCTGGTAGAACATGGCTAGGATCGTATGCGTAATACGTTGCGATTTCTGTGCTGGACGACATCGTTGAGTGTCGTGCTTACACGGTGTTGTTGCTCTTGGTAATTGACAGAAGAAAAGGAGTGGTAAGAGAATGATCTGAAGACTGAGTATTGTTCTGCATTCATAGATCTGGGCGCTGTTGACAGTATATATATACTATTAACTCTAATGTGCCATTGCACCCAGCCCTGTCGGATTGGCCGACCTGATGATATCTAACTCGTCACTGCACGTCGATATTTGTAGGAGGCTGAGGCATAATCCAGATGACGGCGGCACATGGGGACAGAAAGGGTTAGTGTTCTGTGCGGTTAATACAAAGGCATACAACGTGGCTCTCCCACTCTGTCTTTCTCCTATACAGTTTGGCCCATACCTTCAATCATCAGGCAGTAACAATCTGGTGGCGCAGCATTGGCAGAGCCCCCGAGCCTCAGAGTCATTGGCCATCGATCTAGTAGGATTTAGGGATAGAGTGGTGAGACGATAGTCATTTCCTAATTCGATGTAAACGGTGCGCTATGTGTACAAAAGATCCAGTCTTGACCCATCAAAGGATCTAGGAAGGGCCCATCAATGATCGGCGGGACGGGGAAGGCTGCGACTGAGCGGCACATTTGACCACAATAGGTTAGTCTAAACTAATTGTCCTGTTCCACCATCGGCCCGGAAAAAGTGTTGTTGCGCAAATCTCATGAGCGGCAGTTTTAACTACAACAAGTTAGCGTATTTCACCGAATTTGTCTTAGTCAGCCCTTAGTCAGTTTTCCGGAAAATAGTTATTGTGCTCCGATAAGTGGGTCGAGGCTAAGAGAATTTTTAGTGGCGGCCGCCTAGGGGCGCATGCAGGAGCGGACGCACGAGCGGGTTGGGGCGGATGACATAATTTCGTCGGCCGCTCTCCAAAATCACAATTACGGGTCGTAGTAAGCATACTCTAATGCTTTTTAAGCCGCTGTGAAGCTTTGTGCAGCTTTGTGCAGCTTTGTGTAGCTTTGTGCAGCGCTTGGTGGGGTAAAATAGGGTTTGAGTTTCTAATCTTCCAATTTCACAATCAAAGAAGCGGCACAATGGTGGTAGGAAGAGTGTCTCAGAGTCGACCAATTTCCAACCTCGGCTAGTGTGGTGTGGAAACGGCAAGGCTAATGGCGAAATATGCCATTCTCCAACCTACTTACAAATATCATATGAAGTGCTTTTCTTACAAATATCAATCCCCTTTATGAATTGGCTCTCAGGATAATTTCTATATAACATTGGAATTCTCCCAGTTGTCTCTCTATTTCACTCTACCCTCATCAAGAGATTCTCACAGGCCAATCATCACCCACTCCAATATCATCCATCCATCAATCTTGCATATTCGCCACCCTCCATCCTAACATCCACGATGGCCACCAAATCCAAAGTTCACGAGATCGTCATCTTAGGGTCTCATTTTTCAGGCCTAGGAACTGCTCATTCTCTCCTCCGGGACATCATCCCCACCCTCTCCAAGCAAACACCAAATGTCAAGTATCACGTCACAATCGTTGCCCCGCACACCGAGTACTTCTATAACATTCCCGGCCCGCGCTACTTGATTGGAAAAGAGTTGATCGACCCAAGCAAGCTTTTCTTTCCAATTGCAGGAGCATTGAAGGAGTACAAGGCAGACCAGTATGCCACCGTCCAGGGGAAGGCGACTGCTGTGGACCACCAGAGGAAGGTCGTCAGTGTTGTGTTGCAAGACGGGGCAACACAGGAGATCGAGTATCAGAGTCTCGTTGTTGCCACAGGCACAACCTCGAACTCAAAGCTCTGGCAGATAAACGACCACGAGGACGCCACCAAAGCCCTGTATGCCTCAGTTCAGGCAGCGCTTCCAACCGCAAAGCGAGTCTTGATTGCCGGTGGCGGGGCCGTCGGTGTCGAGACAGCTGGTGAAATCGCTACCCATTTCCCCAAAGCCGAAATCACCATCTTATCTGGTAACGACAAACTTCTCCCCCGTCTTGTTCCTGGAAACAGTTCCTCCGCGGAGGCAAGGCTGGGCGCTCTTGGCGTCAAGACTGTTCACAAGACCCGAGTCAGGTCCGCCGCAGAGACCGCAGCTGGCGCCACAACTGTGGTTTTCAGTGACGGAACCACTCAAACAGTCGACGTGTACATCGATGCCACCGGCGGCAAGCCAAACACCTCTTTCCTTCCGCCGGCGTGGGTGGACGCCAAGGGCTACGTGATTACCGACGGCGGCAAGACCCTCCGCACCCCCAGAGCAGGCGTATACGCTCTCGGAGACGTGGCCGACTACAGCAACGGATCGCTTATCGACGCAATGGCATCTATTATACCCGTGGCAACCAGTATCGGCGTTGATATCGCTACTGAAGCTGGGAAGGGGGAGCTTTTCAAGCAGAAGATTTTCAAGGGCATGAAGGGCACTCAGATTGTCCCGACTGGACCTAGCTCGGGAGTGGGACAGATTATGGGATGGCGTGTTCCGGGGTGGCTTGTTTGGTTGATCAAGTCGAGGACGTTCTTTTTGGAGAAGGCGGAGCCGAATTGGAAGGGTTTGGAGATTGCGAAGGCTTGAGAGTCGGTCGTGGTGGGAGTTCTAGGCGTTCTACTTACTATGCTGGGGGTGTTGTCTATCTGTTTTTGTTCAGCGATAGTTGGTGTGTTGTAACTTGAATAATCGCGCTTCTACTACGGTGGAAATAATAGAGTCTACTTTGTTCACCCATACGAATCAGTATCCAAATCCGATCGTGTACTACCTGGGATGAGTGATTTTGATTCGTGCACAGTTCCTTGTGATGATAGCTCCCTGGCAACAATGCCTTCATTTACACGAGTGATTTTACTCGCCCGTGGCCATTTTCTAGCCAAGGTAGGCATAGGAAATACTGCGGGCCGTCCCGCACATCGCTGTACATCCACGATAATCTTACCCCTTTCCCGCCAGAGTACTCTCACTTCACACAATACTTCTCAGGCACACAAAAGTAATCAGATGTCCACCCATTCATTACTAACAAAGCAACAAAGACTACGCGGCTAACTTCAAGGGAGAGACTGATCGAATAGTATCTCGTCATCAACATCGCTTCACATTTCCCGCAAATCACGTTGGCATTTTGTCCCCCTTTCCTTCCCCATCTCCACTCCGTCTGTCATTCATCCTGGGGGACTCGCCATGATACGGACCAATCATAGCTTCACTTGGTCCCCGTCGTGTCTGGTATTCTTTGCCTCTCCTCCATTACCCTTCTATCGAGCCGTCACACCGGCTTTATCCATGCTGTTGTCGTATCCTAGTATGACTAAAGCAAAAAGCTCGAGTCATCCGAAGCTATTTTCCTTTCCTGATGAAAAGTCCTGTTTGCACCCCCCACTCCGGTCCCCACCGAAAAACAAAAACAAAAACAAGCTAATTTAGAAATATTGCTGAGCACAAACCTCGCACATCCGGGCCAAGTATGGCCTTTCCTGTTCCCACCCGTAGACTCCGTGTTTTCTCATTCCGATATTCCCATTTTCCCCCTACTCCTTTCGCCATATTGCGTATGCGCAAGCTATTTGCCGCGTTTTCCCCTTTGATTTGTTCCATGTTCAATGTTTTCCTACAATCCGATGCCCAGTATCATAGTTGCGAGAGAAATGAGATTTCGATCTGCTGGATGATATGTAGAGACGCAATAAGAACGTAAAAATAGGCAAGAAATAGTATATTTTTCAAAAATCCGCCGCTGAAGCAAAGTATGAAAGTGCCATCGAACCGTGTTGTTGAAGTTGTCGTGGCATAGAGCACTAAAGCGAGCGGCTGATCAAAATACATGATAGTACTCGAACACATCCTCAGGGTCCAAATACAAGCCAGGGATGCCGGGTTCGAATAGATTGGCCTGAGAGTCAGGCAGTTTCAGGTCATCCGGGATATCACCTCGGTCATTTGACCTACAGGCCATTTGTGAGACATCATGAAGTATTTATCTCGGAGTGCACTATCGAGGTACTTGGATAGTAGCCCCTGGAGGTTGGCACGCCATCGAAGCGCCCGCAGTTGCGCCCAAATGAGTCTTGTGTGCCATTCGAGAGGCTCGGGAGACTGAAGCCGGTGTGGTGCTCCTGCTTTACCCGTCCTGGGTAGCTTGGGGTTGATAAATGGCTGCGATCATCCCGGTGAGGTTGGTAAGGCGGTAAAGCGTGAGAGCGCAGAGTGCTGCCAATGCTGCCTTCGTGCACTGAATGTGGGTAATAATAGTACCCCTCAAGGTCGTGAAAGGATTTTTCCTCGTCTGCACCCATCATCGGCTCATTGGAGACATCGATGCCTGCGCTTGACAGATATCGCCGTGATCTGGAGGCATCATATGAGTTGCCGTAGCCACCGCCTGACATCAGACTAGACCCTCCAGAAAGTGATATATCGCCAGAGCGTCCCCCAAGGCTTCCATTTGAACTATAACCGCCAATACTACCACCTTGGTCATTGGCGCCCCCTGGGCCTGCGCTGGAATTGCTACCTCTTCTGTCTGCATGGTAATGGCCTGGCGACCGACCACGAACGACCATTTGTGCGGATACCCGCCGTGCAATCTTAGCCCACCTCCGGTCACCGTGTTGAGAGCCCAGGTCGGCATACAACTCAATAATTAGATGATAGTATTGCTGGCGAGCTCGTCTTTTGCCATTATTGGCCGTTGCCTGCTTGAACTGAATACGCTCAAAGGTACATTCTGTAGGTGGGCGGGTTGAGACCTGGGCGTAGTTTGGGTCGAAAAGCGGGCGCCCTCCACTTGAGAGGGTACCATCGGCATTGATCCCATTGTATAGTGTGGTATTGACAGGGCGAGGCAACAAAACGACGCGATCTGGTTTCATTTGAGGTCCTTTGTCGCGCTTCGGTGTATGCTGAACCAACTCGATAGGCTTTCCATGCTCTCCGTCAACGACTGCAGATATCGACATTGCAAATGCTTGTATTTGTGTTGATTGTCCTTCTTGCATAAGATGCATAGTAGTTCCTGTTGGCACGCTTGGGTGTAGCGTGTATGAGCAACTAATTTGGAAATAATTACGCCTGTAGCAAGTCCAGTCGTTCTCTGCCAAAAAGAAGCCTTTGTCTATCTTTCCAATGATTTCTGGTCGGACCTGTTGCCCATCTGCAGTTTGGATATTTTGGTATAACAGCTCTGTCGGGTTCAATGGAGGGGGGCCGTTTGGATTATTTGCGGGTTGTGGGCTCTCCATGCCTTGCGGGCTAGTAAAACCACTACTAGATGTAGGTGACATCTGCATGTTCCTCATTGAGCCAGCTGGCGGCGGCGAACGAGTTAACAGCTCAGAGTGGCGCCGCAGTTGCTGGGAATTAGTATTGTACGGATCTCGTGCCGACATGGACGAGGAAAGTTGCGGGAGATGGGGAGATCTAGACGGTGGGAGCATATCTGGGTTTGAGCTACAAGTTCAATTTATTAGCTTTGCTCTGGATTGGTTAAAGTATAAGTGGCAATATTTGGGTAACGTACAAGGAATTGAAGTTTTGCTTGATGTCGGGCAGGCAATAGCTCGAGAGGTTTGAGGGGAGGTACGAGGGAGAAGTGTTAGAGTAAGATGAAGAGTTGGTCAGTGCTGGTGGGAAGACGTTCGGATAGAAAGGTACTGTCGAGGGCGTCGATGAGGCAAGGTTTGGTTCACCAGAGTATACAGGACTATGCTGCGGTGTACCTTCGGAAGTAAATCTTGACGCACGGGTTAGCCCAGGGCCGATAAAAAAGTATGCAGTTCACCAAAGCTTTCATGGACGAAAATAAAACACCAAAAATGACAACTACGTTGGGTTCGTGATACGACACACAGCCTTAGTCTCTGTGCTCTCCCGCATGACATACGTGGCTGCATCAGACTGAAAGCGAAGCCCAAGCTGTGCAACAAAGGGGGTGTAAAATGACAAGTTGCCTGGATAGAACTCGCTGTCAATCCTAACATCTACCAACTGCGGGAAGTCAGGCGGCAGCCGGATGAGATGTCCTATGACGGGACAAGCCTCATGAGGCGGAGCAGGTAGGGGTAGGAAGTGCGGGAATATCGGCATGTTAATGCCCAATGCCAGATCTATCAGTGTGATTCGGATCGTGGACAATAGCAAACGAGGGTGATAAAAGCCAATCAATCAGCGCGCTTACCGTGCATCATCTGAGGCAGGGATGCCCATATACCGCAATCCCATCCCGGATGGCGCTGGTTGTTGTTGGTGTGTAAATTCGTGTCTGAACGTGCTGTCAGGCTCAGCGTCTGATCCGATGATAAATGATGAAGATTGAAGGCCGGGATAAGCGTTAAGATCTTGTATATTACCAGATTGCGTAGACATGAGATGATCGTATGCCAGTGCAGCCGGTTGAAGTGCTATATCAAGAGGTCAGCGGGGTTGCGACCGTGGCTTATAAAAATGCAAGGCGAGATGGTCGCGTTGAGCTGGAGCAAAACTCCGGATCTTCAGCAGCCACGTGGAATATCACACCAATAGACCCAGCGACATGAGTTCTACTCCTCACGGAGCTTAAAAGCAGACTCCGAGCCCTATTGGCAACACCCGAATGGCTATGAAGCATGAAAATACCGCTGCTAAAAAAACTGATGATGGAGAGTAGAAAACAACCAGGGACGGGTTACCCAAATCGGCAGGATGCGAGGTTAAATCTGAGGATGCCTAGAGACCCATGCGAACGAAAGCAAGAGGGCTCGAGAGAAAGTACATTGAGTGCGCATGGGCTGGGGGGTTCGTTCATAGGAAAATAGATCGTTAACTACTCACTTTCGGTCATTTGAAGCCCTGCTAACCAACGTGACCTAATTCCTGCTCGTTCCTTGTAGAAACCCAGGCGCGCCAATTTCAACAGATATTGTTTGGCTTCGAGTCAAGGCGTACCGGGCCGTAATGAATAAACGGCGGCGGTATGGGTGGTGTTTGAGAAGTGATGGTTGTCACCGGTAGGCCGCCAACCCGTAAGCCAGCCGCCTTGAGTGGCTGGAGCCCGGTCCTCTATGGACGGAGGGAAGAAATGTGTTGTATTGTTGTGGTTTGCGGGTTGCTTATGGACGGCGGATGAGAAGAAAACAAAACAAGTGAGACGATTGGCGGGCCGCGAGGGAGTGATATGAAGGTGGTGTGGCTTCGAGTTTGACTTGATATTCGCCCAAGGAAACCCTGAAGAGGTTGTATCGGGGCGTCACTCGCGTATTTTGAGGTTGGTCGACGACCTCGACGAAAAGGTGACGGCGACGAGCCCAGAGGGAGGGGGGCAGCCAGGTCACTTTTTAAGAGTACCGGTACCAGTACACACACACAGTTATGGCAGCTAACCGTCTAATAGACTTGACAGCCCTGGGTATCAGCAATGTCCCTTATTGTCGCAATGTCACGACGTGTTTGGGTGTTTGGGTGTTTTTGGGCGGCTAATTGGCTGAACGAAGACTGGTCGGAAAGTATGGGATCTGGGCCTTCGCCTGTAGCTGCACAGCCCTTCAGCCCAGGTTATCTTGTTGTGTGAACCGGGTTGCCAGAAAGGGGATCAATCCCAGCAACTCAAAGGCCCCCAAGTACCTTTTGTTTCCCCGCCCCGTCGAGTATAGGGCCTCGAGAAGGGAACGGAGCTCTCAAGAGCTAGAGAAGCAAGCAAACTTGACGCCAGCTTTCGTTGCCGTACCTTTGGCGAGAAGATGATCGTAGTCGATGGGTTTTAAAGCCAACCCGGCAGAGTATGTGGCGTGTATGTTAATCGCCCCTTCGCATGTAGTGTTATCCGCCGTGGGAATCTGACCTGTAACTTAATCCTATGACCCTGGCTTCTGTGCCTTTTATGGCTTCTCTGGCGAGAATGAACAGCCCCTCAATAATAAGGAATGGACAACGATGACGACTATAACTCTTCCTCTCAAAGGTGAGAAGAGAGATGGAAGATGCGACAGTGGGTCCTCTTTCTTCTTCCCCCTCCACACTGGTGGCGAGATTTCCCCAGCGTAGTAGGTTGGCGATCGACTCGATCGAGAGATTTGAGTGTGTCCGATGCAGTCCGTCGCACAAAAAAGCCCTCCCTGGGTTTATACCGGGTTTATACCGGGTTTGTTCAATTTTGGGGTTGGGTATTGGCCCCGGGCGAGGTCTAAGGCTGGCGAATCTAATGGCAGCGAGCGAGTGTGGCTGCAAGGGTTGGAGACCCAATCGTACGTGCTGCAATGTGCGGTACTGTATGCACGTATGCAAAATACCAACAGCGGTGTAGAGGTTTTGCTTGCTTTGCTTCTTAAGTCCAAGGCGTAGGCGTCAATACGTTGTTGTTGTTTGTTGGTTTTGAACAGGGTCGAATGAGTTGAACTGGGTTGGACGGGTTGGGTGGGTTGGTTGAATCCAAATGAAGCCAATACCACCCTTGAGCGATTCGACGAACAGAGGCTATGGTATAGAGAGTATATAGACAGAGTATGGATAGTATGGAGAGGGCAAAACTCTTTCCACCAAAACCCGGTCTGAAGGCTTCCGAATAGTCCTCAGATCATATGTTGTTGCTGTAAGGCTGCGAGTGTGTAATGTGCAATGTGCAATATGCAATATATGCGCCAGCAACACAAGCCTGATACAACAGTGCGTTGGTGAGAAAATAGATATTCTCAGCCACAAAAGACAAGCGATGGCAGAGATCTGTTGCAACAAAAAAGCAATTGATCAATATCAAGGCGAATCTTTTGTGCAGAATGGAGGATGGCCGTTGACTTTATGTTATCCTGGTGCACATCATAAACATCCCCCCCATCCACTAGCCACCCTCTCTCTCAAAAGGCTGCAAATCATAATAGAGGCTAAGCACGTGGAGCACCGTTCCGTAAATAAATCTTATGCAGGCGTGCGCTTATCTAACTAGCCCCCTTTCTCCAGTCTGAGGGGATTTTATCCATCCCTCGCTCACCGACTGCCTCAGTTGCGGTGAATCTTCTCGCAATTGGGAAGTCCGACGACAGAAGGGCACAAGAGCGGCAGATGAGACAACCTGAAAACAGAAAACAGCACTAGACCGTAACTACGATCTAGAAAGCTTCGTTGCGCAAGATTCAATACTGACACCCACAAATACTGACTGAGACACCGTTTTGAGAATGAGAGTGGATGGGAGGGGAGGGAAGGGGTTGGATGGATGTGAGCTGAGGCTGAGGGCTGGGGGTGGGGGGGGAGGAGTAGGAGGAATCTGACTGAGATGTCCGTTGACGTTGAGGGTGATTGAGACCGAGGGGGCAAGGTCGTCTCTTTGCACCCATACCCATGCCATCCATCTCCGATCCACATCCACAGCCTCACCAACGATGAAGCAGTAGTGGTACTGCAGCGCAGAGGTATCTGATCTACAAAGCGTAAGATCGTCTTTTGACTGATGCAGGACGAAAAGGCGCGCATGGGGGAAGCATGGGGGGGAGGGTGGATTTCAGGGTAGCGGGTGCCATCATCCTTGCATTTCGAGTGGATTCGTGATGCCTCCTCATACACACACACCTATGGGGCTAAAAGATCCAAACGCCTGGTGTCGCTGGCCACTAAGAAAGCATGCACTGTGCTGTGCATAACAGGGCAATGACTCCCTGTACGTGCTGGTTCTGGGAAAACGGAAGGTGAAAGGGGGGGTGGGGGAGGAGTGCTAGGGCCAACCTAACAGCGGCAACAACAGGTGCTGCTGTATGAACCTTATTCTGGGACTGTATTTGAAAATTTCCATGGGTTCATTGTTACCTCACAGCAGTTGGGTCAAATACCAACATTGCTGAGACCGTTAGTGAGCAGTTCAGTGGAAGTTCAGTGAGAGAGAGGCCCTTTCTCCAATTTGTGCCCTCGAGCACTGGCCAGCTCAACCCTCAGTATTCAGCCCTAACTTTTGATCCAGGTCCACAAAATCTATAGATTCTAGTGTCATTGATCTATGATCTACGCCTTGCCGTCGCCCACATCATTATTTCCATTTAAATTGCTACCTGGACGTGGGAGTAAAATGGTGGCGCCACTGCCCACGACATTCCATCCTGGGAGGAAAACTAGGCTATTACTTACCCGTTTTTCAACCAAGCAAATGCCGTGTGTGCATCAAGTGTGCGTCAAATATCCACGTATGCCTAACAACCCGGCAAGCCCCAACGTGTTCTTTCTCTCTCTTTTCTTACTCCTTACGTGAAAGAATTGGTCGGATCCCGGTTGATAGGCGCCCTGTGAAGTGGGATTTGCCGAGCAGAGAAACGTTTCCAGGTAGGATCAGACAGGGCCGATTGCTACGAGCCATATAATCCATACGCATATGTCTCTCCCGCTCCAAACTATCTGTTCATTGGCTAACTCTGACGGCTCCTGCCAAACTTGCAGGGAGTGGAAAGCATCAAAATCATATCCTACCTGACATGCCTTGACAGATCCGGCGTCATCTTCCAACCTAGGCCCATTCCAGTCTCTTCTTACCACACATCTGGTACTGATATCTGTGGAGACAGCCCGTATTAATCACTACCCCATTTTTTAGCAGGTATGGCTGCATCTTAGCCACCCTGATAGATTGCTTACGTCCTCCACTATCATTTCTACTATTGCAACTGGTTTTCCCGGCTACTGGATTGCACCCACATACTACTGAACCTGCAAGAAGTGGCATTGCGCCTACTATACTTCACAGGGTTTGATTACCGGGAATAGCTGTCGGGTGAGCCTGATTGCCCGGTTATGTCTGAGACTGAGGGAGAGCTACCCGCACGCCACACTCGTTCTCGTAGTCTCCAGATAGCAAGCTAGCGATTCCAGCAAGCTCAGCAGTTGCCAGAAAGGACATACCGTCCCCTACACCGCCCTGGTTTGAAACCTCTCCCACAATAGGCGCGGCAGGGTCCCGTCAATGTCTGCATAGTAGCCACGCCAAGATTACAACTCTCAACGATGACTTGGTGCTGTGTTCTGCATCTCCAGCACCTGCTCTTCGCTGTTTATGCACTGGGGTGGAAATGCACTGCATGGTGTATTTGTTCGGGTCTTGCTACCATCTATCATTGTGCCTGTCTGTCTCCATGAGGCCCAGAGCAATTTCCTACACATCGCTCACCTGCTTGCATGATGTTTCTCAGAAGCTTGCCATCCACTGAATGGCAAGACATAGCCACCGCACAATGAAACTACCACATCGGTACTATACTATACACTCGGAATGTATTTGTGGTGTTCGGGTATGCGCTGTACCTCAACTCGTCCTCCACGTGAGCGATAGAGCTGTGACTTTCCTCTCCGCATTCCTACATTGGGAAACGCCCAGCTGCAAACACAAGCACACCAACACATTCTTGACCGGTCGCTTATAATGATTTGTATACGTTGATAGACAAACAACGGGCCATCTAATCAAAACAATGTAATTCATCAGGCAGAAAAGCGTGGATTTGCAGCCAGCCTTCCGTCCGACTCCTGTACTCGGTAAACACCCTTGCCTCCTTGCTTACAGGCATACTTACAAAGTACATTTGGCCTCGAGTATGCAGAGAGAAAGTAAGCAGACGGGAAAGACATACAGACAAAGCCGTCTACAGACCGGACCCGTTGCCCCGATAAAGGCATCCCGACGGGACTACATAGTACTCCCGGCTTATCACACGGAACGGACCGTGAGTCCTGCTCATAACGTGGATGTGGTGAGTGCCATGTTAAGAGACTTGGAGGGATTTCAAAGCATGAAGGGTTGACGTGCATGTTATACTGTCAGATCACGATATGTTCAAATCAGCCTTGGAACTTATTCTGGAATTCTGAACGTCGCACTGCGCCGGCACACTCTCCCCAGCCTCTCGTTGACTTCATTTAGACCTGTAACCTCAGATCTTGTATGATGCGATCCATCGGAAACTTGCCCCCAACAAGTCTGGTGGACCAGCTCATGGGCCATCCTCCCCCACAGCCATGCCAAATCACGACCCAGGGATGTTTCCAATACAACGGTGTTTTGGTACAGCTGGAATGCGACATACACACCTCTGCGCGGGCTTCATTGCCATCCAATCGCAATACATTAAACCAACTCAAGGTGAGGGGGTCTCAGTGCTAGGCTCGGGCGCACCCTTTCAAACAAAACGTCGGGGTTGGCTGCATATCAGCCTACGATAACCCTGGCTGGTCCAACACTGTTGCGTGCCCCCGTCCTAAATAGGTAAATCCGTCACATATAGTGGACATTCCGGAGATATTATTATTGAATCACAGCGGAGCAAGCCTAGGGGATTATTTAGCCAACTGGAGCTTGTGATTGAGAAAAAAAAATGCGGCATGCTACAGGAGATGAGCTATGCAGTGAGCCGTTAGTTTGATTGATTGTACCGATGTAAATTCCCACGGCTCTGGGACACCTGTCCATAATGCCTGCGTGGCTTCGGCAGGTGAGTTGCACAACATTTTCTAGCAGGATCAACCAGCCACTATGGTGGAGGTGATCTTCTGCTGTCAGCGTTGCTCTGGTACACGGCAAATCACTGCAGGTCTCCTGTGTGATGTGTGTTAACTCGGTCCTAACAGCTTCATACACAAAATTAGAAATGCAGAGGCATCCTATATTCTGCACGATGGTTGCCTGGATGGCCCGCTGTCAGTGATTTAAGGTAAATGCACAGTTCACTTCGTGCACCTCTCATTACTGTCTGTGTTTCTCATACCTGTCCGTGTCTCTCATACCCGCCTGTGCATCGTCATACTGTCCTTATTCGGGGATTATGGGCACAACATGCTGCTCCAGTATAGACCAAGGCATGACGCGTATCTTGATGCAATTTCCATCGCTCAAGACATCTTTCGGTATACCTGCTTTGGCATACGAATAGATGCATGTGTCTCTCAGTGGCGACGCCCCGCGCGTCGAAGGTTCAGTCCAGCCTGACGCGCGGCTGGACGTTGTTTCGAAATCTCGAACAACTCTTGTTCCTTGCCTCTCAACAACAGGGTTTCTGACGGGATAGGAGGGATTGGGAGAATGGCTAAAATGATTGGTGGGAGATGAATATCGGAGCAGCTGTGTTTATTTGAGAGACGTTTGCAGACGTGTTTGTACGCCCCTATCTACTCCTTTTTCGTTTCTAGTTTTCGTCAGGGGCCCGAGCATGGACAAGTCACTGCCAAATGCATCAACCGTCCCACAGCAGGACTATATGTGACGGCACTTTCCTTGCTCCTCGAAAGGCAGGTGCAGCCGCCAGAGCCGTGGAAATCATCTTACTCGCCCTGAAGCTCCATCTAAGGACACTCCTATGGTCTTCTACAAATCGCCAGCCAGGATGATGGCGAAATCTTCCAACCCTAGCATGAGCGCACAAGATAGCGTTTATGGAATCGAGATTATGGCGAACCCTCGGCGAGAAACCAAGCTCAGTTATCGCCCCCGTGTATCCTACAGCCACGAGCAATGGGGGTGACGGACAGATGAAGGTTTACTAGACAGAGTACAACGATATAGTTGCATTGTTAGATACGCCGTGTCCAACGGGCGCACTGGCCTCCAGTTCGCAGTTGAACGAGACCTGGGCCTCAGTCATCGTTGCTTGTGTCCCCTGGGTGATGATCAAATCCCGAAATGGTTCACGTCAGCTCCACCTTAGGATGCCTTTCCAACCGCTCATGATAACCTGCCTTCTTTGGATGCCAGTGGCGCTAGTAATCCAACAATTACCAAAGCACGCTCTATAAGCAGAAAGTTGATTCTAGGCTGCGACCGAAATGGCTCGCATGACACCCTACCCATCCTTCTACCCGCCACCCTTCCACTCCGAAACAGCATCAAATTGCATCCACTCAGGGTAGTCCCTCAGCCCTCCTTGGTTGTGGACATCGGGTATGTTCTTGGACAAGGCTCCCACTCAGCGCGTAAGGGTGAGCCCCTCCAATGCGTCTCGAACACATCACAGGTCGATTCTCGTCTCGGCATCATTTTACACACGTCATGATTCTCTTTCCTATTTGATGAGGTCTCGATCACCAATCCAACATGATGCCCGGCATTGCGAACCAGCTAGTCATGCACTCCCTGTCTCAACTGCCGGATCTGACACCTACCCGCGGTTGTGTTACTCTCGCTCTTTCCCTGCCTTGCGTGAGTGATTTGTCAATCTTCGAGTGCTCCTTCCCGTCCTATTTGTCAACGCTCGAAACCCCGTGTGCTGCTGCTGCAAACGGATGTTGTCATGTGAGGCTAAGGATTGAAAATCAAGAGGACCCATGGAACCCAAAGATCTGGTAAGCCCGGGTCAGTCCGAGTATTGACCGTTGCGCTGACGACGGAAACTCCCTCTGTGTTATTCGGGGAAGCTCCAGCTTAGGGCGCTTCTTCGGGCAAATTGGGCTACTGATGGGGATTTTTGGTTACGGATCCATCACTGTAAGGGAGTTCTGGACTCGATCGATGGGCGTTGCGTCGCGGATGTGTTGTTGGGGCGACCCAGGCTTCGAAGATTCGTCGGGGATCAGTTGTCGCCGAGATTTAGTTTTTGAAATAGAAGCTTCGTTTTTTCAGGTCGGTCTGACTCATTCATCTGCTCGAGAAATATGTTTCTTTATGTATATCCAAGTTGCTGTACCTTTGTGGCTTCTTCCGTTACGATTCCCGGATGATTATCACTCGGCGTAATATTCGGGCACAATCAACGACGCTCTGCTGGGAATATTTGCTACCCCTTTTATGTTCCTGGCTTACTTGAACCTCGCTGCCAAATAGTTAGGAACCATGAGCATGACCTGGTCTTTGCTTTACTCCTGGTATTGTGCCTTTCGTGGCGATAATTGGTGCTGTGTGATAATTCATGGGCAAAAGATCTATATACCCGGCACGACCCTAGACAGATTCGTTTGTCCTGCAAAAATATATATATACACCTTATTACCATGATACCCGTAGTCCTTAAAACCTCAGAAATAGTCTTTCTACCTTCACTGTCGCTATTCCCATCGCTATCAGTCCCCCCAAACCTCATTACCATCGTCCTCGCCCTCGCCCTTACCATCATCCTTACTATCACGTATGTAGTTATGTAGACCATTTAGATAGTTAAGTAGTCTAATTTACTCGTGTATTCTATATTACCTTACAAGGCCTTAATACACGAAAGGGCTCGTTATTACCTTATATTATATATCTAAAAGTCGTCGTGAGCGAGTATTCTAAGGCCTCATAAACACGTCAATGGGGAGGTACGTACCTACTTACCGACCAAGCCCGGAGAAGCGCATTGTTTCCAATAATAATCTTCCATTTCTCGCACACATGCTTCGCTTCCGCCAACCTTAACCGAAGCGAAATGTTGGTCACGACGATTACTGGTTGGCACTATCTCGTTGGTGTTGGAGTACTCATGGTGTTGGGGACGAATGGAGAATACGGCCGCGTTTCACAACCAAAAACGTGGTGATAATGCTCGGTATCCCGAAGAATCCCACAGTGCGAACGGTGCCGACGAATATCACAAGTAAAAACAGTATACAGAATATATAAAACCGATTGAATTATCTACCTATCTTGATGGGCTACATGGCTATACACTGGATTTCTAGGGCCTGGCCAGAACCCTGAGTTTCCTGGTCGCTGCTGTTGGTTATCAAACCAGTGAGCCAATGGGATAGGCCTGAGCGCCCAAAACAGACTTATTAGTTGGTAAATCCCGCATCATCCCCGGAATCTCCAACAATATTGACTAGATGTAAGATTAGAATGCACTCGAAAATGCCCGGTAAGATTAAAATGCACTCCAACTTATCCCCTTGACCCTCCTACAAATAGATGTCTTTGCCACTGCATAGCCGTTCACCTCATTACACCCGAACAAAGGTGCACGCTGAGCCTCAATTGCACTTAATTGACTTCACCCTATTTATACGGAATTATTCCATAAAACACGGCTCAATATGGTGTACGCTCCGATTCGTCGTTTCGCTAATCTCCGTCATGACTGTCCTGATATTTCTGATTCTATGCTACTGAACTCCAATAATCAAACCGAATTTACAGGAGTTGCTGATGTTGTTGTTGCTGGTGCTGGGATCATTGGGCTCTGCTACGCAATTCACCTTAAAAACATTTCCCCCCACTTGGAGATAAATGTTTTTGAAAAGAGCTCCTCACCTACGCAGAAGATCGGAGAGTCGACACTCTCTTCTTTCTCGAGATTTGTCAGTGGAGATATTATTCCTCATGACTACTTTCTTCGTCTGTTTGGCTTGAAAGATGGATTGCAGTTTTATTGTGTCGATGAACGTGGTTTATCGGTTACATCAGAGGATATTGGAGGACTTGACCTGTCGTTTCAGCTTGATCGACGAATGTCTGAGTTGTTTTTGACCATGTGGGCTCAGAAGATAGGAATCAACGTATATCATGGTGTTGGTACTGATTTCAAAGTAATGCCTGAGGATGCATTTGCCATATCTGCCAATGGTGATAAAGACGGCGTTGCTGCCCCCAACCAAGAGATTGGAACAGCAATGAATCATTTCACGGCCCCGCAGGTCTTGCTAGACGACGCTTCGCAATCTCTTGCGACTTCTGTGAAAGCCAAATTAGTTTGCGATGCAACCGGATTTTCGAGGAGATTGACCTCCAAGTTTGGAAATCGAGAGACGTTTAAGGGGGGGTGGAACTGTGATGCATATTGGGCATATTTCCAAGAGACGGACGTTAAGACAGAGGATCGCCTTGACCATTGGAACTATCCAGCAACCAAGCATATTTGCTTTCCAGAGGGCTGGGGATGGTTCATCAAGCTCATCTCTTGGGAGAAATCGCCACTGAGTAATCTTATGGATCTGATTTCCTATGTGATCGACAACGCCAAGCGTAATGTTTCTGCGCGCGACATCCCTTCGACGACGGTTCTATCCGAAATGTTTGATTGTCCTTTCGAGTTTATAACTTCTATTGGGTGGGCGGTTAGGAACGATCACAAATTCCCCGATAATCTTGAAGAATATGGGGCTACTGAATCCGAGAGAAAATTCACCTACTTCAAGAGGAAATACCCAACGTTGGAGCGCCTTATGGATAACAGCTACGCTATTCTCCCTAATTACTACGGGAAGAAGACTTACTTTGTAAGAAAGTCCATGGCTTTCCAGAGCCCAGTAGTAGCCGGGGACGGGTGGCTTGCTATTGGAAATTCTGCAGGTTTCACAAATCCCCTGATCTCACCTGGGATCAATGCTGGAATTGGTGGCGCATTCTATGCGGCTATGCTCACCCAAGAAATATTTGCTGCGCCAGAGGAGAGCTCGCGGGCGGTAATGAAGAAAAGTGCCAACGCATTCCAGGCTTATCATCACGATTTCATGATGCCTCGGCTCAATCAGATGAATAGGTTCTGGTACAGCATGTTTCGAGACCACAGACTATTTGAGGCCATGATTCCATCTTTCTGGGCGGTTGGAGTCCAAGAGATTGACCACCTTTACGGAGCTAGTTTTGTAGCTGAGGACGTCAACTGGGTTGTTGGTGCTGGAACCGCCGACTTTCAAACATACTCCAAAGCGGTTTTAGATGTCTTGGAGCCGACTTTTGATGGTGTTGCTCCAACTGAGGACGCTGTGGAAAAAGTTCAGGCTCTCAGTAAGCAATTGAGACGTCGTTTGCATGACAGGTATCCAGGGAATAAGTGGGGATGTTATCTTCGGAAATACGATGATAGTCTTCGTATCGTACCAGGAAAGCATGAGAGGGACATAGGCGGTAAGTACACATGTATACAATGCGTTGGATGCAAATATTGGATGCATAATTTCAGCGATTTCTGCCTCATCTGTGGGACTCCCAAGTAGAATTAAATAGACAGTATTGCTTGCCGGTAGATTAGTTGTGTTGTGTTTGCCTAAATAAATATTGGAAATAACCCAGAAAATATTAATTCCGTCCAGCCAACTTAACTGAAAATAGCAACTTATGGTTGTCCTCTATAACGAATCTGTCGTAAATATATACTCATCAAAAGCCACTCCAAGACCATATGCACAGCATTAATGCTACCCCACTGCCGTGAAATGCCTTATAATCATCAAGCCCGCTTGTCTCCACAATTCGAGACTCTATCACGATATCATAGAACAGGCAAGGCTATGACGCAGCCTTGCTTACAACCCCCACCATCCACCTCGAAGACTGAGTCACTGGCACCTCAATACTTATACTCGAGGATATAGAAACGGAGCATCCATTATCTTGACACCAAATGACCAAAAAACGGCACCAAAGCTTGTACTCGAAACCCGCCAGCACAGCTCCTCACTCCTTCTCAACATCCACTGGCGCAACTGGTATTACCCCCACAACCCTTCATGAACCCCCCATAGACCTCTCACAGCACAGCTTGACCTAACTGCCGATAGCAAGCGATGCACCATCATCTGTCAACGACCTCCTGAAGACGCTGCGGCGATCCTACATCTCCCCCGAAACCAGCCATGAAACAACCGTCCAAACACCCACACTGCCACCCTCCCTTCGAAACCTCCTCGACCTCCCCAACACCCCAACGCCGAGGCCTCGTCGGCCGCAGCGCCTAGATGCAAATGGTCGCAGACTACCTGCTGGTCCTGCAGCCCCGCAGAGCTGGCTCGATTCGTCACGACACGCCCCCGAACCCGAGACAGAGAGCCATGTCATCCAAAGCAGCTGCCGGCCGGCACTGCACCACCTCCCTGGCATAACACGAAAGCCGCGACCAGGGTCGTTGGTAGACTGCAGCTTGCGGCGCATGGCGGAAGACTGGGACTTCCAGAACGAGTACAACCAATACCATCTAGCGACCCTACCGACGCGACTGCGCACCTTGCTGCTCTCTTATATCGCCCACTACGGACCCGTAGACGGGGTGGGATATCTTGGGCTGGAGCGGCTTTTGCAGCTCCCCGAAGACGACGATAGTGGGCAAGAGGTCAACAATGAGGACTTCACCAGGCTGGATCTGGCATCCGCCGTTGGAAGCTCTGTCAGCCTTAAACATGTTATGCGCCTCATACATCCACCGATCAACGACTCCACTTCTGCGGCAGTGAGCTGGGATGCTCCATCACTACCTCAAAGCATGCGCGCCTCGCCACTCATAGGACTCACGCACGTCTCACTCGCCAACCCCGGCCTCGCCGCGTCATGGGTTGCCCTACTGGCGTTTGCAGCCGCAACACCGACGCTCACACACGTATCCCTTGCGTCCTGGCCAGCGCCAAACCTGACTCCGAATGCAACGGCGGTTAACGCGAAGATGACAGCGAGGGGCTCACCGGTGGTGAATCTCGCGGCCGAGGACAGGTATGCGCATTCTATCGACCTGGACTACTCAGCTGCTGCGGCGATATTGCGGAGGCTGGCGAGGAGGTGGTATAGCCTTGAGTATCTGGATGTGGATGGATGCGCGGAGTGGTGGAAGGCTTTGTATTGGGGCACGGAAGAGGAGGGTATTGACTGGGCTGGTGACTGGGTGAGAGTGAGGTGCATCAGTATGAGGAATGTGGAGGGGAGTCGGAGGGTTCGTACGAGTAGCCCGTTCGGCAAGTCAGCGGCGGCAAAGACGTTTGTTAGAGAGTTTGAAGCGTATGTGAGGAAGCATAGGGGCTGGATCGATATTATTAAAGATGAGGATAATGTGGTATGAGGTTGTTAGTATGGGTATGGTTACAGCCGTAGGCTGTACCCGGAGTGTGGCATGGAACTCTACGTTCATTTTGTCGGAACAGTCGATAATAATAGCATCAGCGGGGTGTTTGGGATAAGGGGCGATGATAAAATAGGGCTTTGACTTGTGTAGAATATGCATATAGTATAGTTTGAGCGGCATCACTCATATTCTCCCAAAATAACTCCTGCTATCGATACACAAATATCCTCATTACTCGTTATAATATACCCCATCCCAAGCCTTCGAATGCACCTTCCCACCAATCCAACGCCCAAGAGCATGCCAACTTTCCAGGCTCTAGCCTTCACACCTACTTGAAATCCGCCGCAGTCAATGCCTGCACCACACTCGTTCCCTCGCTGAAGCGCGTCCTGAAAATACGGTTCGCGTTTTGAAACATGCCGTCCTTGAGACTGACAACAATGAATTGCGAGCCCTTGAACCTAGTCTTAATCAGACGCCCGATGTTTTGCGTGTGCGACAGATCCAATGCGGCGTCAACCTCGTCCAGAATGTACATCGGCGCAGGTTTGAACTGAAGTAGAGCCATAATGAGTGAGAGTGCGATGAGAGACCTATTCTTGAATTAGTGACTGTGTGGCGGATAGAGTAGAACATGTGAGGGATAACATACCGCTGACCACCAGATAACTCTGTTAGGCTCTGCTTCCATACTTTCCCAAGGCTGACCTTCACCTCCAGCCCCTCGTTAATAGTCTTCCCCTCGGGCGGGTCCAGCTTCGCAAAACTACCAGGTAGTAACTCTGCAAAGATCGCACCGAAGTCTCCATTAACCTTCTCCCATGTCTCCTGTAGCGCCTTCTTCTTGTACTCATCCAGACTGATGATAGTCTCCTCAATCTTCTTCTTGTCTCGGATGACAGTCTTCATCATGTTCTTGAGGGCCACTTCTTTCTTCTCGACGGAATCAATCATATTCATCACCTTGGGGTTGATTTTCTTCTTCATTCCCTGGAAGCGCTCGGTCAGGTTCCGCAGACTGGCTTTACATTCGGCAATATTCTGCCCTTGGAAATCATACGGCGTGCCGCTGCGTCCGAAGTTTGTCTTTTCATCCGAGATCCAGTCATACTCCTTCTCCATGTTTGAGATAATTTGGACTGCTGCTTGCTGCTCCTTGTTGAATTTCTCAATTTGATGGCCGAGTTTCTGCATCTCGAGGCCCTCTTCGGTAATCCTTGACGCCTTGGACCGAGAAGCGTCTTCGAGAGAGCGCAGCTCATCATCGAAGCCGGACAATTTCGCTCGTTCATCATTAAGCTGAGCCTCCGCGGCATCGTGATCGCGTTGTGCTTGGCGGCCTTCCTTCATAAGTGCGTTGATTTCCTCGTCTTGGGTCTTCAATGCCAGCTCGGATTCTTGAAGTTGCTCCTGTGCGGCAGAGAGTTCTCCACCGATCTGCTCGGAGTCTAACCTCGCCCCCTGGAGTTCTTTCTGCAAAACCTTGACTGCTGCCGAATCTTTAGTCAACGCTTTCCTTAACGAATCGAGGCTCTTCTGAAGTTCCACAAGCTTCCCATCCTTGTTATTGTCAAAATCCTTCATATCCTTTTCGATGCGCTTGACGTCCTTCGTAGCCGTTTCTTGGCGTGCCTTTGCTTCTGATAAGTCGGATTTGAGTTGGACAATAGTTTCCCTCATGTTCTGTACTTCTTGAATAATGGAGGAGGAAGAATTGCCACCAATTTGTTCCTCGGTGAGCTTAATTTCGTGGCTCTTCAAATCTAGCTCTTGTCTGATCTTCTTCGCCTGGTCGAGCTTCTTCTGCTCGCGCGCCATTATAGATTGAAGCTCAGCAAGTCTTTGCTCTGCCATCTTCAGATCCCTGGTCAACTCATTGAGCCTCTGCAGGGTCAGAAGAACGCCACTGGAGTTCGGAGCGCTTCCACCGGATAGTGTTCCGGAGGGGTCGTAGGAATCTCCTTGGACAGTGATACTCCTCATTCGTACAGATGGGTCGAAGGTAACACGCTTGGCTGTCTCGGCATCTGCACAGATCAAAGTATTTCCGAAGACATACTCCATTGCCGTTGACACCTCCTCATCATATCCGACCAATGACAGAGCGAGGTGGACCTTCTCCGGCGCAAGTTTCTTTGCTGCGCCAATTTTCTCTGCTGAGGCTTTGAACGCCGCAATCTTATTGAGGGGAATGATCGTAACACGCTTCTTGAGCTTGCCCTTTTGTAATAACTGTGTGCCCGTAACTTCGGTGTCCACGACAACATTGTATAGGCGGCCACCAGCACAAATTTCAAGCGCAGTTCCTGCTTCAGACTTGTCCTTATCCAGAGTAAACAGTTGAGCAACTAATCCCTTTACCTTGGAGCGGTCGAAGTTGGGCGCAGGGTCTGAATAGTTGAAGTCGATATTTGCTACCTTCCGCCTCACTGTATCCGACTGCTGACGAAGAGTGCGAATTGTTTGCTGAAGCGAGGATTCCTCCTTGTACATCTCGTCTTCCTTGCCAGCTTCGAACCCAAGTTTGTTCAGATTTGACTCTAACTTTTGGGCTTGGCTCTTCAGCCCCTCGAGATCGTTGAGCAGACCTGCGTTCTGTTCCTTTGCCTTTTTCGCTCGCGGTTCTTCTTCCTTAATCCGTTTCTCCAGGTGGGTTATCTTGAGTTTTGCCTGTTCCTGTTCAGTCGAAGCAGCACTAGCTCTATTCCTGGCGTCTTGGATTTGGCCTTGGTATCCACTCTCCTGGCCTTCTTTCGAGGCAACACCAGTCTGCAAAGTCTGCAAGAGCTCCTCCTTCGTTTCTACTTCTGTAGACTGCTTCTCTAGTGCATCCTTCGCTTCCACGAATTGGAGTTGTAATTTGTCATAAATTTTCGTCTTCTCTTGCAGCTGTTTCTCCAACTCAGATACAGTCTTTTGCACTGACAATTTCCGTTCTTTCTCTTCTCCCATGCTCGTTCGCTTCAGCTCGATCACGGTTGACAGGCGCACAATTTCGTGAGTGTGATCTTTGACTTCTTTTTCGAGTGCTTGTGCCTTTCCACCTTTGCGCAGTTCCTTGTCGCGCTGGCCCTTTACTCTTTTGATGTCTTCCTCAAGATTTGTGATTTCGGTCTTCATCCTCTCTGCCCCCTTTTCCAGATCTGTCATACGTTGCTTCTTTGCTTCGAGGTCAGATGCGGATAGCTTCAGTTTCTCCTGGTTCTTGATGTAATCGTGGGCAACAACAACCCTGGTCAGCCTCTCCAAGTCGTTTTGAGTTTGCTGGAAGTCCAAGAATGCCCGCTTCTCTGTCCGAAGTTTCTCTAGCTTCGGTTCGATTTCATCCTTGAGCAATTCCGTAATTTCCTGGACTTTCATCTCCTTCTTCGCCATAGTTTTGAAGGCTTTGTCCCTCCTATCCTCAAACATTCTTGTCCCAGCCGCTTCCTCGATCATAGCTAGAATCTCCACTGCCTTCATGTTCAGGACCTTCGTGATTCGGCCTTGCATAATGAGGAAGTTGGGGTTATTGATGTTGAGCTGGACTGATTGGAAAAGGTTCTGCACCGTCTGCTGCTGCGCTCGATGGCCATTGATGAGGTATTTGCTGGTTCCTCCGAGGACAATCTGGCGGGTAACAGAGATCTGCGCATATTCTTCAAAGCCGATGGGCGACTTCTTTTTGTCCTTATTGTCAAATACTATCGTCACACTTGCCTTGGTGACACCTGCTTGTCCTCGCTTGTATATAAGATCCTACAGTTCGTAAGTTTCCAGTTCCGACTGCTATGCTGTGTCCCACTGGGTGCCTACCTGTAAATTTTGGGCTCGGACTGTTGTCATGTTGGTGATACCCAGGACAAAACATATTGAATCGAGGATATTCGACTTTCCACTTCCATTTAGACCAGTGATGGAGTTGAAGCTCTCGTCCCTATAGGCTATCAGTATATTTGTTGAGGAAATAGTGTCGGTTGCCATTGTTTACCATCCCGAAATGACTGTGCGTACAGCGTACGACTTGAAGCCCTGTAATGAGGTGTAAGCATGCGCATTAAAAAATCAGCAACGCAAAATAACATACATCTATGATAACTTCTACGACCCTCATTCTGGCGACTTCGTAGATGTCGTGGGCTGCCTGGTGGGAATGGCTTATCGGGTCGTTGATGGGGGGAACGCGACTTGGAGGTAAACAGACGCGACGAATTTCTGTAAGGCTCAAATTAAGGCACCAATATTACCCCAGTATACTGGGGTAATGCGCCCTTAACGCCCAATATCAACGGCATTTGGCAGTTTATGATCAATGCACATATCTATAGATATATTTTCAATCTTTTGACTTACATATAATTTTCTGATACTATATAAATACAACTCTAACCCGTTATCAGATTATTATAGTGACGATAGTCGAACCCAGATCCCCAGAGTACGGTAAGACTAGAACAGGGGTACAGAAGGTACGTACCAAGCCGCGGGGTTGCGTCCATAGCCTCGGCCTTTACTGTTTGCAGGGAAGGGGTTGGTTCGGACCTGTCAATCACGGCCCCATTCCTACCTCTATAGTCCATCCTGCCAGATGCGGCTGAACAAGATAGACATCATTTTTCTATATCCTGTGTATTCTGCGTATTCTGTATATTCTTTTATCATTTAACGCTTCTTGTAATTCGAAATACCCCGGTTACCAATGGCTAAATCCGATACCTCGCCTTTAGGCGCCAATGCTGCGGCTGATGAAGAGCACCGCCTCCTCGTGCAGGAATTCTTAAAGTCGGCTTCATCAACAGAGTTGGGGAATGTAAGCCATTATTCTTAGTCTCCCAGCATCTCCCACCCCGCCGGGGGTCTTAGAGAGGTTCAAGAAATGCCCGGCTCCCAAGCTGTGCCTGAACCTCTACCACGCATAGTATTCACATGACTGATTATCATCCAGGTCTGGGGAGAGTCAATCTGCACGACAGACTTGAAAGTCATCTCCGCCACAGCTAAGCCAAACGGAAGAGTGGTATTTGAATACACCTGCCAGGCCAGCCACGCCAACCGCCTAGGAAACCTGCACGGCGGATGCGCCGCCACCATCTTCGACATCGCCACCACGGCAGCGCTGGTTCCCGTCTCGAAGCCGGACTTCTGGAAATTCGTCGGCGTGAGCAGGACGCTGAATGTAACCTACCTGAGGCCTGTCCCGGTGGGCGAGACGGTCATTATTGAGTGCGATGTTATTGCCATTGGGAAACGATTGTGTAAGTGAACTCGCTGGCCTTGGATTATATGGCGGTATGAGAAGCTCACTGTGGTTGTAGCTACAATAACTGGTACTATGAAGCGCAAGTCTGACGGCGCTCTTACTTGCATATGTGAGCATGGAAAGGTCAACATTGACCCGAAGTTGTGATCTGCCTTATATGGTGTCAGAGGTATTATACGGAGTATATAGACGCGCCGCAATTCATAGAATTTAGCGATGATAAACGGGCTTTGTCTGGGTGTATTTAGATATATATTAGAAATATATGAGTGTGACTGTTGTTACATATATTCTACAGTATCTCCTCGGGTTGCTTACATAGCGCCTTGGTTTTATAGGCTTAAAATATTACAAATGCGGCAATTACGATTTCATAATTGCATGTCACGTGGTTGTGGTCCCGAAATTTGACTGTTCGCGGTCAATTTTTGTGTACGATCCAGATTACCTCCCGCGGATATCTCGGAGACTCAAAATTCTCTTCGTTCAATTCAATGTTTTTCTATCTATTTCGTGCGTTCCTGTAACCTCGTTCTGAACTGCTTGGGAACTGTGGAAAACATACCACGCCAGGTCCGACAACGGCCAATCGATCCAGCAATACCCTGCCAGGTGCTTGTATAGCCCTAGGGGCTCTATTTCCGGTTGAACATGTCGTTCCTAAGTTTCCATACCGATACTCTCGATGTCCTTAATGTCGGCCGCTTCTTCAATCCCCAAGAGCACGATGGCAACTACTACCGGCAATTACACTCTATAGTAGCACGTGTGCCAATTCCAGCACTTTTTATCACGCTACTCTTGATATGTGCGCCTCTGGTCATCGCTCTTTATGTCTATCAATCCAACGCCGCAAAGGCACGAGATGAACAGCCTGCGGGCTGCCGGAAGTTGGGAATAAAGACCAAAAGTAACTTATCCAACGAATTCGACGAGAAATTCGCCTCGGGATGGCCACTATCCACCACTGCCGCTCCTACAAAGCGATGGACTGTACAGAGCATGTGGATTTACCCCATCAAGAGCTGCAGAGGCGTGGAACTCGATCATGCAGACATCATCACCACCGGCATGAAATACGATCGCCAATTCACCCTTGCTCAACTGAAGAACCCAGCACCGGCCGCCGAGACGGAGGAGAAAAGGCAGACGGTACGGACGTGGGAATTCATCACCCAGCGCAAGTTCCCGAGACTCGCTACTGTCAAGGTGGAGGTATGGGTTCCTGATCAGAGCAGTGCGGGTTACCACCCTGAGGGTGAGTATGTCCAGGGAGGCGGTGCTGTTGTTATACGCTTCCCCTATCAGAAACCTGGGTGGAGAGGAAAGCTCGAAAAGCTGGCCACCATACTCAACGGATCAGTCCCAGAGAAGCAGTTCAAGGTCCCCTTTGACCCAACACCCTCACAGGTGCAAAAGTCTGGGTATAAATACGAAAACGTGATTATCTGGAAAGACACCGTCAACGCCCTCAACCTCGAAGTGGACGTCCCCAAAGAGCTACAAGAATATCTCGGCGTCAGCAATAAACTGAGCTTAATCAGAGTCGACAACTCCACCCTGAGAGAAGTCTACAGATGCGCCCCTAAGGCCGAAGACCTGGGTTACCAGCCCGTAACAGGTTTCCAGGATGCCTACCCTCTGCACATCATGAACCTCGCAAGCGTGCGAGATCTCGAGGGGAAATTACCCAAGGTCAAAGGCGTGCCTAGTTTATCAGCCAAGCGATTTCGTGCAAACATCATCGGTGAGAAAGAATCATCCCAAGCAATCCCCTCCAACCATAGGATAGGACTAATTGATATGCCCAGTTACCGGACCAGAACCGTACGAAGAAGATACCTGGAAGAGAGTCAGGATCGGCTCCTACGAGTTCGCCTTCTCCTGCCGGACAGCGCGCTGTAAGCTCCCAAACGTCGACCCTGTTTCAGGGGAAGTGCATGCCTCTGAGCCAGATCGCACGCTGCGGAAACTCAGGAATGTGGATGCGGGAGCTGGGAAGTATGTTGGTTGCCTTGGTATGCAAGTTGTTCCGATAAGTAAGGAGAGTGTAATGGATGTTGGGGATGAGGTTGTCCCGCTGGAATACGGAGAGCATGTATACATAAACCAATAGCTTGAATAATGATAGAAGTTTGTTAGAATGTTAGAACTGCAAACTATCATAAGACTTGTATTTTCACATGCTAATTGTTGATGTAATATATGGAGTCTGTGCGCGCATCAGATTTCATTCAACGTCGCCAATGTGGGGTACCACAAAAATCCAGCAATATTCATTCCAACACAACACAACCCCATACATTCATTGTTGAAACCGTATTCGAGTACATCCCTTTCCCAAAAGTCTCCACGGAGATTCAACAAGCTCTTCTGGTTTCTGTTGGGAGACCAGGGTGGAGGAGATGGATTATGGATGATGCGGCTAGACGCGTGTGATGGAGGGGCATGTGCCTCGGCAGGAACCGGATTTTGCTTGTGAGAGATATTGAGCTCGCTCAACGACATGGATGAGCAACGACGTCAATATACTCCACGCATCGTATATCGCCAAGTCGTGAATAACGATCTGAGCTAAGTATAGGGGCATTATAGGGGAATAAGTTGATATTGTTACAGTAGTGGGACAGGGCCCGAAGGTAAGGTTGTCAGTCATGAACATCAATGAACACATGCTAGGTTGGTCTTCAATATTGTCATCAGTGGTGAGATATGGCGAAGGTAGGGTTGTCTGTCACAGTAGTGGAAATCAAGTGATACACGCAATGGTTGGTCTTTCAATTTCATATCATTTTTTGATAAGAACCTATCTCTATTTGAAAGGAGAGTCAACTATTCGCTGCTCCAAAGCCAGCCCGCCACAACCCATTCAAAGGGGATAGTGGTGCCGCCAAGTCATACATCTAAGTACAAGGATTCAATATTCGTGAATTAGCCTTTCCCGAAACGCCTCCCAGTTCTACGCATTCCAACGCTCAAAACAAATTGTGGGGCCACCATGAGTATCAGTTTCTCAAGTTTGTGCCACCACGTAACTCCTCGCCTCGTTCGTCCCTGGCCGTTGTCGTCGTTACTGTAGCTCCGCTACATGATCTATCCATGCCGAATATAATCGGTGTGGCGTCTAGGCGGCATCTGCTGATGCTACCGGCTCCGCAATGCGGGTAACCTGGCTGCCAGCGCGGATGATCTTCTTGCCAGCGGAGTCGCTGACGAAAGAGATATCCTTGTTCTCGCGCTGAGCCTGCTTCCAGATCTCGACCTCAGATCCTCCACGGAGGACACCAACACGCATCGTCGACAACAGGTTGTGTGCCGCGTTGGAGTGGTTGTAGACGCCACCGTTGAAGATAGCCGTGGCATCCTTTCCAATACCGGAGTTGATCAGAGCCTTGCCACCAGGGTGGTCCTTGATGAAATCGCCAACGTCGTGAATGACACCGGCAACAGCAACGAGGGCACGCCCATCCTTGGCCTCCTTGACGTAGTCGTCCCAGCTGATGATGGGGAGCTGCTCGAGCGGGATGCCCCAGTTGAGAGTGGCGCGCTTCTGGTCGAGCTTCTTCTGGAGCTGTTGGACGCGGCCCTTCTCGATCTCGTTGGACTTGAACTGCTTGAGGTCGTAGGCGAGGCCGAGCTGCTTCCACATCCAGATGCTCCACTTGGTGGGATCATATTGGTGCCAGGTGATGGCATTGCGGTAATCGGACGGGAACTCGTGGTGGAAGTTGTGGTAACCTTCGCCGAGGGTGACGATGGCAGTGATGAAGTGATCACGCGGAGAGTTGCGGTCGTCGAATGGCTGGTCACCGAGCCAGTGAGCAAGAGAGTTGACGCAGAAGGTTGCCTGCTGGACGACGAAGATTCTGAGAATTCCAGCGTAAACGAAACCGCCCATCCAGTCACCCCATCCGAGGCCGCAGACGAGCATGGGGAAGATCATGCCCATGGTGATCACGGTCTTGATGTAGTTGCGGTGTTGCCACACGACAATTGGGTCCTCGTTGAGATCGGTGATGTCGGTACGGCCGATACGCTTGGGGTTCTGCTTCATGACCATCCAGCCGAAATGCGAGTACAGGAGGCCCTTGCGGACGGAATATGGGTCCTTGTCGGTATCGGTGTATCTGTGGTGAGCACGGTGGTCCCTCGCCCACCATCTGATGGAGCCCTCTACGGCACCGCCACCCATGGCAGCGAGGAAGAGCTTGAGGGGAGTTGTTGCCGAGTACGAGCTATGGGCCCAGAGACGATGGTAGCCTGTTACCTGTTAGTTTGGCTGCCCGACCAGAACGGATTTCAACGCTCGTCAAACTTACCAGCAGTGATGCCGAGACCGGTCATGAAGTAGTAGGCAAATGCCCAGACAGCCGTCTTCCACTGAAGCGGAGTCCAGTATGCCATGACCATGCCGTACAGCGGGATGCCAATGATCATGACAACATTGAGCCAGTTGATGTGCTTGTACCAATTGGCCGCAGTGATGGGCTCCTCGGTGATATGGGGCTTCTTGGGGTCATATTTGGAGTTGCGGACAGGCTCCGTCGAGGAGGATGCTGCCATGTTCGAAGGCTGCTGATCAGCGGCCGTCTGAGATGGTTCTGCCATGGTCGTTTTGAACTATCCCTCGTCGGTTGGAGTATCGACACAGGTGGTGAGGTTGAAGGAAAGAGAGCAGGAGGAGTGGCGGACCCTCGGGACCTATATACCAGGGAGCTAAATAGTTTTTTGGCGGTGGTGGCCCAATGTTGAATGATACGCTAGCGGCGGGTGAGAGGAAGGAAGTACTTTTTGGTAAGGCAGAGGAGGAGGACGCCACTTGATTCGGACAAGCAGGCCACGGAAATAGAAAAGAGGGGAAAGAATTGGGGAATGGGTGGCGATTGGGGGTGTGTAATGGAATTTAATTAAGAAGCCGAGAAGCCTAGGTTCATTTGTGGAATTATACGTGTACTGGTATACGGATGAGACGTTTTGGTGGGTGAGTGAGTGGGAGTATAGAACATGGATGATGGATGATATGGATATGAATGTTGGTGAATACATACAAGGCATAAAAAAGAAGGGCCTGGCATGTGCATGTGCAAGTGTAAGTGTGTGTGTGTGGATAGTGGTTGGATGAGTCTGAGTCTGAGTCTGGGGCGGTATTTGGTGGTATTTGGTGGTATTAGGTGGTAAAATGCAGGTCTGAGGGGTCAAAGTATGATAATTGTTGAGGTTTCGGTGAGGAACCATATGAAGGACGTATGCGGTACAGACTAGCACAACCCAGTCTCATAGGGTTACAGGATCGTGGGAGTCGAGTGTACATGGGCTGACAGCATAATTGGTGTGTGACTACAGGTACTATTACTTTCACCACTGCTAGAATGAAAGTGATTTGCTCATTGAATATAGTCTAGTTTTTGTATATACTTGCAGACAAAGTATTGACACAGCATTCTATGTGTCTACTTGTACTTACATGCTTGTACCACTCCCCTCGATCGTCCCACCTCCCGCTGCAATGCCGACTCTCCCTTCTCTCTCTCACTGGAATGTTGGGACCTTCTTCCCCAACAATTCTTTCCGCCCCGCCCCCCGCTCCTGCTTCTTCCGCCCCGCCCGATGACCCTAACACTGGATCAAACCAGATCAACGCAAACCATATAACTGTCCGCTGATTGGCCACAGCCACACGACAACTGCCAAGATATTCGAGATATCGTCGTTCAATGCTTCCATTTTGCATATACAGACATACACTGAAATACACTGAAATACACAGGCATGTACAGACACATACAGACACATACACCGTCGCGGTACACATATATCCTCGTGGTACCCTTTTTGTAAGAGCAGAGCCTCAAGTTTCTTTTTGAAATTTTGTAACCCCCCAGGATATGCTATACAATTATACACAATAACAACACAATAAACGCCCCGAATAACGCCCCGCCAAATAAATCAAAAGCAAAAATCGCTACTAAATACAATGTGGCGTCCTGTAGTATCGTCCTGAGTATCGTCCTGAAGTATCATCCTGAAGTCTCATCATGGCATGTCGGTCATTAAATCATCGTCGCTAATTCCCTGAGGAATGTCAGAATGCTCTAGGGTGCTGTGTCCCCCAATACCTGTCAGGTCGCCAATCGCTGCCTCCGTCTGTTCCAAATTCTTGTCCTGGTGCTGGTGCTCCAGGGTGGCGGTGCCTGTAACATCACGTGTTGCTAATACTCCGTCGTCGTCACCATGCTTCGTCCCCAGACCCAACATCACAAAATCATCGGTCGTGACTTCCCCACACTCCTTGGCTTCATCACGTGGGATGGCTGATTGCCCCACAGCTGCTCCAGGGGCAACACTATCCCCTGTGATCTTATCGCCCGTGCTGTTGCTTGCGCCTCCAAGAACGGTGTCGTCCTCAATTTTATCCTCTATGGCGTTGTTTGCATCCCCATCCGTGGTTTTGACGGCAACGCTGTGCGTCTCTTCGATTCCGTCTCCAGCCGCTATGGCGCGATCCTCGGTCACATTTCCAGTAATATAACTGACATCTCCGCTCATAATCTCAATATCGTCGCTTCTATACCCAGCTACAGTGCTGTTGTCCTCGGTTGCACTTTGGGCGTAACCTGAATCGTTGCTCGTAGCAATAGTCGCAGCGTCGAAGGTACTTTTGCCATTATCAGGAGTAACCATGTGATTTTCAGTAGCATCCTCTCTTTTGTCGCCGTCATCTTCATTTGTCACTGTTGCGGTGGGGATTTGGATATTTTCGTGGTCCATGGGAACAGTAGTGTTGCTTTCGGTAGCATTCTCGTTTCCGGGAGATCTGAGCACGTCTTCGCTTTTTTCCGTTGGAGCAATAGCGCTGGTCTCAATTGCATCTCCATTAATTAGGCTTGCACTCTCAGTTGCAACTGCGGTGGCGATGTTTTTGGTGGCCACAATTCCATGTGCAGGGGAGGTGGTGACATCCTCGGCCGCATTATTGATATGATCCATATCCTCTGGTGAATTTTCCGAAGCGTCGATGGCATGTCTATTCTCCCCTGAGTTAGTATGCTCATCATCTCCAATTACATCCTCAATATCAAAATGCACAGTCGCTTCGCCGCCACCAATGGCATCGCTGTCTGCTATGTCATGTGGCACTACAAAATCGTCGACCACGTTATCTGGCACGCTTTCATTGACCTGGTTTTCATCCAGGTAGTGCCTTCCTGGCGATACGGTGACAATTCGAGGCTCAAACTCAAGCTCTCCAATGGCACTTCTCGGTGGAGATCGGCCTCTCCTGGGGAAGAAGTAAGCCTCGCCGGACATGTCAGTTGGTGCATTCACATACGTGTGTGTACCAGTTGATGGTGCTATTCCGCCTCGCTCGGTTGTTTGCGAGTCCATAAGTCGGAAATTATCAATATCATCCCTCTCCACAGCATGGGCTGGGTCGATATATTGGGACTCGGCACGGTCTGATGGCTGGTTGCCGTAATCCCTTCCGTGGTCATCGCCCTCCATTTCCGGGAACATGCTCAAAAGCGACGTCGTGTGACACCGGGTTCTGGGGTCATCGCTAAGGCATATTCCAACCAAGGCACGATAATAACTCGGGATTTCTTGCGGGGCAGAGGCAAGCGTAAGAGGCCTTGGTTGATTTTCAGGCTCGTCTTGCTGCATGGCCAGAGCCCATAAAACCATACCGAGCTGAAATATGTCAGACTTGACGCCAATGTACATCGAAATCCTTTGTTTGCTTTCGATTAGTGCGGCAACTTCAGGTGGTTCCCATCCGACTGGGCATCCTCGTCGGTTAATGTCAATAATCTTCGCATTATCATCGCCGTCAATGACAATATTAGATAGTGTAAAGTCTCCTTGTACAAAGCCAGCTAAAAGCAACGTCAGCGTCAGGCGCAAATGGGTTAACAGTAGCTAAATACCTTCATGAATCTCTGATAATCCCTGGACGATTTGTTTCGCCCAGCGTTCACGTCGCGGCCATGACAATTCGTCTTTACCATCATAAATAACGTCGATCAAGGCTCCTTTCTCCGCAAAACTAATCAACAGACCTTTCAGCAGCGATCCATCATTACTTGTAATGACGCCTCCAAATTGGATAACGCTGTCCGAACCGGAAAGGCGATGAAGGGCATTGACTTCATACAAGAATTCTTCCACCGTGTCAGGCCCCGGAATCTCCTTTTTGATAAACACACGCCCGTTAACCGTGACTTTGTAGACAAAACCCGAAAGATGAGAATCAAACACAAGGTCCTGCTCCTTGACTCTCTGACAGTACAGATGATTAATGGCTGAGACCGGTGGAAATTGGATGACCTCGTGTATGTCTTCCGTGACGTGCACATGCAGCCTATCGCTCTCCGTCTGAAGCTTCAGATTCGTGACAGTATCATAAAATTGGATATCAGGTAGAGACTCCCGAATTGCGTCGTAGATCCTGGCACTTTTATCCCGTTGATACTGAGTCTGTTGCAGTTCTTCCTCCAATGAGCCTGGTGGTGCATCCCGATAATCAAGGGATATTGTGACTCGGCGCCAGTGCGTCGGAGTTTCGGCATACGTAACGAAGAATTTTTCTCGGTTCGATCGATCTCGGAAGTGCATACTAAGATTGAGGATCCATTTCTTATCGAGCTCCTCATCGAGGAGTCCATCGGATCCAGCAATCGAATGTGGTGCAGGGTGCTCAGTAAAATCGTCTCTCGGAATTTCCGGCTCTGCTAATTCAGATATCGCCTGTTGCTCCTCCGTTGTAACATCAGCATCATCAGTAGCCACTCCTATTAGGGTCGGTGCAGAGTTTCGCGGCAGAGACAATGTGGAGGTTTTCGGCGAATCGCAAAGCTGGTCGGCACGATGAGGGTCGACTGAGAAAGCCCGCCTCTCATTCTGTTTGGCCTTCACCGCCTCTAAATTATGCCGGAGTTCAGACTGCTGCCTCTTGAAGGTTCCCGGTCTGGGTAGGCCTGGTATGGCCTTCCTTGATATCCTCCTAGCAAGATTGGAACGCGGTGCCGCTGCTGCTTGCTCATCGGGCCGCGGGGTGAGAGGCTCCTCCTTCGCAAACCACCTCTTCCATGGCCAAACTGACCGGTGATCTGTGTCCAAGGTCTCGTGCGGAAGCAGCATTTGTGTGGTCGCGTCTTGGAACGGCAGGAATTTGGCCATTGGACAGCCTCACCCGTCGGATTCTGTCAGAAGAAGCTCTAGTACTCCAATCATGAGTAGTTCCTGTCGTTCAGGCGAGTATCTGTAGATGTCGTGAGGGGCTGGCGGCTGTCGGTTTTTGGCTGTTTCGACTATCTCTCGGCTCTGAGCACGTCGTATTTTTCGGAGAATTCCCAACGCGCAGGTAGCTCCACGAGGACTGCAGACCCCGCGTGGCGGAGTAGAGCAGAGGCCTGGTGGTGGGACTTGATTTAGCAAGCATCGATGTTCGATGGGCGGTGAGTGAGGCGGCTGTTCTCGTGTGAACTTGTTCTGTGGACCTAGTTGCGAGCCGCTGCAGCTATCCGATCTGTGGCCGAGCGTGAAGAGGTTGGAGTGAGATGTCTACAAAGTTATGTAGGAGGATTGGGGGGGCATTATAATTTGAAATTCCGTCTCACGGCGAGCAGAAACGGCATCAGGGCTTGGGAGGAGAATGGATGACAACGAATTGATTATGGCAGTAGCTAACCGCGAGCCCAATAGACCAAAAAAGAGGCGGCAGCCCTGTATATTTTGAATGGCTAGTGATAGAAGAGAGTCACGGAGCTACTGTAAGAGCAGATACTCTTACATGTGCCGCGCATATTGGAGGTGGTTGGGTGTCAATAGTAAAATACTTTCAAGGTGGCAGGGTAGCAGGGTCCGAACCAAGGGAAAGTAGCAGCGGGAGGAAACTAGAGGGAACCCCACACGGTACAAAACATGAAGACACAACACTAAGGCCGTTTTGCACTACTCTTACCGCTGTTACCCCTTACCACTACCACTACTACTTACTACCACTCATCACCGCCAGATCTAGTCGTGTGTGTTTGCGTTGGATATGAGTATGATTGTTTTTGCTGTTTGTACTCTACATACATGCGAGTCGTTATGAATACGGGGGACATTATATTGTGAGCCCATACTGCAAATCTATACCCTAAATACACAAACAGGCTCATACTGTGCATACAAAGTATCATCTCACATATCCATATCCTGAACTCCATACATACTAAAGAGCGAAGACCTGCACCGTTCTAGCTGTATCTTCTCACTATGTCTGCGCCTCAGCGGGGCACGTGTCACCGCTGCTCTGGGGATCAGCGCCATGGGGATTTTACCCACTCGAGTATCTAACTCCGTAACTGCTCTTGGTCGTCCCTTTGGGCATCATCCTACCCGTTTGGGTGAACGGTAGGTGGTATCATTCATCTTCTAACTGCTCCGAGACCCGCAATGCTCAAATAGCCCCCGGCTTGCCACGTCTCCCTCCCTTCTCATCTCGGGTCTCAAGCCTCAACTCGGCGGCGGCTCTACTACCCTCTCCTCACCAACGCCTCCTCGTGTCACGGACGTGTATACAATAATGCCGCTCTTTCCTTCTTCTCTCCCCGGCTACCCTACTACTAGACGGTCTGTTTCCTCATCCAGACACGACCGCATCTGTGCAAGTTTCCACCTCGCCAGGTAACATCGATATCGACCTGTAGATCGACATCAAAACGCCAACGATCCAGTCCACCACAGTATGAAACAACCTGTAACCAAAAACCGTTCAAAACATGCTCACCCCAGCATACCTGCCTGTCCAGCGGTAGAAAAAAGAAAATGGCGCGCGCGGCTTCTCCTTCCGCCCCGTTTTCCATCACTCAATCTAGGGCCATGTGTAGAACCATGCTCCCAATTAATTACCCTGTGATTGCCACGACGTACCCAGATTACCGAGCTCAGCGGCAGGACAGGCGGAAATTCGCTCTTTCCTGAGGGGATTAATTTTTTCATTGGATAAAGTCTCTTCCTACATGGGAGTATTGGGCAGCGATGTTGATGCAGTGTACTTCCCCCAGCGAGGCTTTCGTCTTCCATCCTTTGACGTGTTGTTGTTGCTAAAACCCTAGAGTCGTGCTGCGCTGTACGTGCATGACAAGGCTCATCTTCCCCGTGAACCCGGAACCAACCACGCTACAGAGAACCATTCGCCTCGTAAATCTCGACGGTTTGACTTACCTTCTTGCATTGAACCCACCTGATCATTCTCCACAATCACATCAACACACATTTTTCGTTTTGGTTTTGGTCAAGAAAAGTCTGTGGAGCGCGGGATGTTTGTGGTAAGACGAATGGATTGCACAGATAATATGTCTTTTTTTACATTGGCGAAATGGGTAAACCAGCTGTGGTTGACTGGTCCGCCCAACACCCCGTTCTAATGGTCTAGATAATACACCAGTATATTACAGAAATGCTACCCACGCCATATATATGCAACTCCAAGAGGTGAGGGGGTACTCGTTGCTGAGTCCGCGACGCTACCACGCCGAAGCCGATAGGCGCCAATTTCCGTGCGCCAAATTTGTCCATCAAGAGGACATTGGTCCGATCATCGAAGATCCCTCATTCAATCATCATCGCCCGAGTCTTCGCTCTTATCTTCCTTCTTTGGCTTGGATAGCTGCTTCTTCCAGACGTTGTTCGCTTTCTCAACGTCGAGGTCCGCGAACACCAGGCCGAAGACATCCGAGTACCACTTCGCAGGGTGCCCTTCAATGCCTTCTTTGATGTTCTATAGTCATGTTAGCTTTAGCAGATTGGTGGAAATGAAGGAATGATGCTTACCTCTGGAAGTTCCAGCCAGTCAGACAGGTTGTCATGAGGGAATATAATCTTCTTCGATCCAGCCCGGCGTGCTGCTACAGTCTTCTCGCGGAGACCTCCGATTCTCAGGACCTTTCCAGTGACAGTAAGTTCACCAGTCATGGCAATCGTTGGGTCCAGCGGCGTGTCCAAGGCCAAAGACAACATGGAAGTTGCCATTGTAATACCAGCCGATGGGCCATCCTTCTGAACGGCGCCCTCGGGGCAATGTAAATGTAACTTTGCCTTGTCGAAGAAGTGGTTTTCTGGGAACTCCTTCGCCATAACCGATTTCGCAAACGAATAGGCGATTGTGGTGGACTCCTTCATGACGGCCTTCAGGTTACCGGTTGTGGCCAACCCAGGTCGAGACTCTGAATTTAATGCACTCTCCAGAATCGACTCAACGTACAACGCCGCTCCGCCCATCTGTGTCCACGCAAGACCCATGGCAACTCCGGCCGGTGTAATATCGTAGAGCCTATCCGACGTAAAGACCGGAGCTCCGACGTAGTCCTTGAGGTTCGTTTTGTCGATTGTGATGTGAACGCTTTCAGGAACAGCTAGGCTGACACGAGGCACCTCAGTCGTCTCCTTCTCAATGTTGCCCGACGTCTCTACTGTGTCCGTAGTATCCTTCTTCGAAGCCTCCAGGGCTGCCTTACCCTCCTCGGTAAGGGCCTCAGCCTCGGGGAGAGCATCTTCTCCCAGATCCTGAACGATTTTCAGTGCCGATTTACGGTACACCTTCTCAATCTGCTTCTTCAGGTTGCGGACTCCAGATTCACGGCAGTATGATTTGATAAGCTCTTCGATAGCTTCTTTGCTGAGGTCGACATCGACATCCTTCAGGCCTGCAAGCTCCTTGGCAGCAGGGCCGAGGTATCGTTGTGCGATAGCCATTTTCTCGTCGGAGACGTATCCAGATAACTCGATCATCTCCATTCTGTCGAGTAGGGGGCGAGGGATCGTGTCAGTCATGTTTGCTGTGCAGACAAAGAGCACCTTGGAAAGGTCAACCGGAACATCCATATAGTGATCCAAGAATGAGCTGTTCTGCTCCGGATCAAGTAACTCCAGTAGCGCTGATGCTGGATCTCCTTGATGACCCCTGCCAATCTTGTCGATCTCATCGATTAATATCAATGGGTTCTCGGTTTGACATTTCTTCAGCGCCTGGATAATGCGTCCAGGTAATGCTCCAACGTATGTACGTCTGTGACCCTTGATCTCAGCAACATCCGTCAGTCCACCGACACTGAATCTGTAGTATTGCCTATTCAGGGCTCTCGCAATGGACTTTCCTATGCTCGTCTTTCCAACACCAGGAGGCCCAACGAAGCAAAGAATCTTTCCCTCCACAGTCCCTCTAAGCTTGCCAACGGCAATGAACTCTAGAATCCTATCCTTCACATCCTTCAGGCCATAATGGTCCTCGTCGAGGACAGTCATGGCGTTCTTGATGCCGAAGTTCTCAGCGCTACGCTGACCCCAAGGAATTTGGGTCAGCCAATCCAGGTAGTTTCTTGTGACGTTGAATTCGGACGCAGCAGGCTCAAGATGGGCCAGCTTGTTGAGCTCTTCGTCGAAGACCTTCTTAACCGCCTCTGGCATTGCCAGTTTCGAGGCCTTGTCCTTGAACTTCTCGACGAGCTTATCTTTCCCATCGGACTCAATTCCAAGTTCCCGTCTAATCCCCTTCATCTGCTCCATCAACCAGTATTCCCGTTGGCGCTTTTGAATCTTGTTTTCTACATCCTTGGAGATTTTAGATTGTAATTGGGCGTTCATTAACTCCTTCTTGAGCACAACGAGGGCCTTCTGCAGGCGCTCCTCGATGTTCAGTGTCTCGAGCACGTCTTGCAGCTCGGCAACCTCACCCGAAGACACAGCAGCGGCGAAATCAGCAAGTTTTGCAGGCTCTTGCATAACATTCCCTGCAGATTGGCTCATGGAGAAGGTGGAGATTTGGTCCCGGAACAAGCTGTTGAGACTTGCGACCTCCTTGAAGACATTGACAATCTCGTTGGTCACAGCGCGAATAATAGGGCTCTTGGGGTCGTGGGCCTCCTCAACAAGGTTTTCGACGTTGACCAGGCTGACCGGGTACTTTCGTAGAAATGCGGTGGGCTCATACTGAACTGCAGATTCGTCGACGGACTTCGCCTCGGGGGGGATCTCTTCGAAGCTCGCTATGGCGTCACCCTTCTTCTGGGAAGGTTCGGCGGCCGCCTCCGGCTTTGCTGGAATAACATCCGGAATAATAGGTTCAGCCACTGGAGGTTGTTCTCCAGCGGCCTTTGCATCGGTACCTGGCCGGTTTGGCGTTACCAAATCCGAGATTCTGATCCTTCTGTGCGGGTATAGAACTGCCGTCAGGGCATCGGGCTCGCCGTGGACAGGGAATGCGCTGGTGATCTGGGCAAAGACTCCGACGTCGTGCACATCATCCATGTTTTCGATAATGTCCCTGTCCGCGTTTTCATCCTTGAAGAGGAATGCACCGATATAAGGTTGTCCCCGCTTTATCATCTCTTGGATTGCCGCCGCAACGTTGGGATCCCTTATAGTGACTGCCTTGTAGAACCCAGGGAAGAGCGGTCTCTTGGCGATCGGAATCGCCATAACCTGGGGGTATATTTCGGGAACAGTCGGTTTTTGTAAAGCTCGTTCGTTCGCAGACTTGCGACCTTTGCGGCCGCCATCGCTTCCGGATTGCTCGCCACTGCCGCCAGTTGCACTGCTTCCCTTCCCATCTACTGGCCCTGCCCCTGATGCGCCGGCGGCCGGCGTGGAATCGGACCCTTTGGTCTTTGTCTCCGCCACATCCTCGCGCTCCTTCTTCCGCTCCAGCTCTGCCTTCTCCTTAGCTGCCCGAGCGGCAATCTCCTCAGGAGATATATCTTTCGAGTCGTCCGAGGAGTCTTTCAGGAGACGGGAGAAGGTTGTGAATGTCGACGTAGAACCTCGGCTCACGAGGGGTACGGCTTGCCTCCGCGAGGCCGACAACTGCGTCCCATTAAGTGACAGCCACCGACCGCCTGAGTACGGCCGCAGGGCAACGGTCCTGCTATGCTGTGCTGTAGCCCTGTATACATTCCGAAGCGCAGGCCGCCATGGCAGGTTTTGGCTGTATAGCATACTCAGCCGAATGGAATCGCGGTCGAGAAACGAGGGCGCTTGTGATCTCGTTTGAAACTATTTCAAACCTCGTAAATGGGCGCCTCCAGTCCGGCAGGGGTTGCAGGACAAAATAAAATAAAAAGATAATGCGAATATGCGAATTATGGAAAATTAATTGAAGGAGGCGGCTACCGAATCCCCAAGGCACGCGCGAGGTGTCATCGAATGGCTTCTTTTTGAATTTCCAATCACTAATCCCGATCGGCGCTTGTACGGATCTGGGCTAGTTTAGGAGCTCCCAGACCCGAACAACCCGCCAGTCACCATCGGCCTTCCTCCGTATCGGCCGAATTGAAGACAGCGTCAACGTAGAAAACATCAGCTTTACAGTTACTATTTGAAGGCTTCTACGTAGATAAATAATATATATTTATATGTAATTATACCTGGTCGCTAGAATTTTGTTACTTAATCCAAGAATACTCGTTTTACCAATGCGAATGCACAATTGCAATGTTAACGTTTAAATGCAGCTTTATATTTATCATGTAATCTAACCTATTTCCACGAATTCAGCCCCGCCCATGGATCCTGCGCACCGGACTGCTGGCTCATCCTGGATTGAGAAGCAGGATACCCATCTCGGCCGTTACCCTGTTGATACACCGATCCTGGTGGAGAAAACGTCTGTTGAGGACCAAGAGGAGGTGGTCCAGGGGGTGGTGGAGGTGGGACGTAGCCGGCTGGGACGAACTGTTGCTGTTGCATTGGCTGTGCAGTGTGATGTTGCTGTTGCTGGTACTGGTATTGATTAGGGGAGAAATGCTGTTGAGTAGGAGGGGGCGACGTGGGTTGTTGATTGTATTCACGGCGAGCAAATGAACTTGGATCATAGCCACCCTGCTGAGACTGTGATCCCGGCCTGGACCCTCCTTGATTCCCATATTGGTCGGTCCTCTGGCCACCTTGCTGCTGATAATAGTTTCCTGGCGGTGGGCTACTGTATTTTGGGAATGTCGGTTGTGCTTGCTGTGGAGGAGTCGCCGACGGGACTTGATATTGGCCGGCAAAATTCGTCGGTGGGTAGTGTGCAGAGGGCGAAATAGACGGTTGACCTCTTGACGAAGGAGGGTTCGCGTTGGATGGGGATGTTGATGGGTCCATCGACATCCTCTCCATCAACCCTCTCAAACGCTCACGCTCCCTCTCTTGCTGTCCCCCGGCATTGGCAGCTCTGTCTTGCTCAATCTGGTGCAGAAGCTGCGCTCCCTCTGATCGGCGGTTGTTGACGAAAGTCTCAACATTCTTCTCAAGACTGTTTACAGTATCTTTCATCTCCTTATACCACGTCTGGGCGTCACTGAGGCCGGTTTCCAGCTCCAAGAACTCTTGGTATACTCGTTTGTACTTGGCAAGAACAGTGCCTCTTTGCCTCGTGATGGCCTCATATTTGCTTTGCTCGGATCGGACTCTCTTGTCTTGCAAGAGGCTATTGAAGCTGGTCGTGAGTTCTTTCATTAAGGATGATTGCTTGTGGTTTGCTTGGAGAAGTCGTGTCTGATATGGTCGGAACTTTTCTAGTTCTGTTTTGAAGAGCTGCGTCTCATGGCTCGAAACAGCCTTTTTATTGAGAATAAGGACCTGCGAGATATCGTCGTTGTGCGCCTAAAACAACATCAATTCCTATCTTTCTCTGACAAGGGATATTACGTACCTTCTCCTTCAGATCCTTAAGAACCTGGCCTCGTTCCCGCTTAATCAGGTTGAGTTTCTTCAATACGTCTTCTACCCTGTTAACTTGGTCCATCACACTGACGTCGTCATCAGCGAAATCGGCGTCCAGAAGATTGCCATCTAGTCCCCCAGATGCTGGGCTTCCAGAATTATTCCGCTTGCCGCCTACTTTGATCAATGCTCTTTGAAAGAGCACATCGGCCTCGCCAGTTTCACCCGCTGACCTCATCTCATCAAAGTCGACTTCGTTCTGTCGCATCTTGGAATATAAAATGTTATCACTCCTTCCTGCCTCCTCCAAAGCATCGCGGTAGTTCTTGATATCATCCCTTAGCGTCATGGTCAACCGCGAACTTGGTTGTTGTGTCCACTCTCCTTCGTATTTGGAACGCATCTTTTCGCAAACACTTTCTTCCATATCAAGCTGCTTCGTGCTCTTCTCGAGTACGCCCGTTATGGATTCTCTACTACTAGTTAGGTAGTCAAAGGTTCCACCATATGGCTCATGGCCAGCAAGCTCGTCGCACCACCCCTTAAAGTCGTTGTCCGAAAACACTTCATTATCAAAGCCACCCTTGATAACCTGCAATGCGCCTGGTAGTCGAAGGTAGTCCAGGCTCGCAGCCATCTCGGAGTTGGCGATTTCTACCCGCTCTGTCTCTGCACGAACCATCTTTGCCTTCTCCTCATCGTACAGACTGGCGGACTCGGTGACAGACATTGGTATTATCTTTTGGAAAATATCCGGACCCGTGATGCGCTGGATATCTTGGCCTGCGTACAACTCGCTGACTGGAATTGCTTTTGCCGCAGGGAGCTTTAGAATAGCAGTCAGACCTGCCTCTGCGGGCACTGTTTGATGATAAATATAGTCGTTGTCCTTTACCAGCCCTTCCAGCTTCTCCTGGACGGTTGTGAGATGGCGTTTGGTAATATCCACCAAACTGGAGCCTGTTTCAGAGCTCAGGTTCGAGTTCGCGGGTACGTTATTAGGGAAGCTGTTCGCTGCCCGTTGTGCGTCTTTGGCCATGGTTTCTGCAACCTGAAGTCTAGCGATCGCAGTACCGTGAGAATTGGCGTCATCATCAGCTAGGGCCTGGTAATATTGCGCCAGAGAAGCCATATAGTGAGATTTGATCTAATTCTGTGTCAGTCCCAAAGCAACATACTGGCAAGAGCACCTGTTGCACAGGGCTTATGGCAACATACCTGTGTGACAAGCAGCCAAACCTTCTCAAAAATAGCTTTATTCACATTCTCCTGAACACCCTCCACTGCTTGAGAGTATAAATAGCCAGCTTGGCTTGCGAGCTTAGCCAGCAAACCTACTTTCTTACCATCCGCAATTTGTTTTTCCAGGAACACCTCTTGCCCCTGTGCAAGCATAATCTGTATAAGCGTCTTCACAGTGTCCCTACTGAGATCCGTAGATGGCGCGTGGAGGAAGTTCTCGTTTATATATGTGAACATTCCCGCGGATGCTTGGAAGGAGTGGTATGCCGTTTTCAACCCCGTATCCTCAGATCGGGACTGGTGCGCTGCGTGGCATGAGAGCACGGCAGATATGTTAAAAATAATTGATGCCTTTTCGTATGCCAGAGAATATTGGGATGTCGGCTTGTGGGTGAATGCATCGAACCTGTAATTACAATGTTAGAAGTGACTTTTATATGAGCGTATTTCCGCAACATACCATGTAAACGATATCTTGATGTGGTTTTCATCCACCGGGAATCGAAGGTCCAATAGCTCCAACTGGCCATAATATCTGTATAGTAGGTCCCTTCCTGCAGCGCTATCCTTCCCAGCACCTCTCATATCCTGTCGCAGGCGATTCAGCGTGGCGCATTCTTCCGCATATCTCTCCGGGTCATCGCCATACGTCTGACGAATGTAATCCTTCAAAGGCGGCACCCAATCTATTTCATTCGTAGCCTTTAGAGGAGCTGAGATCATGGGCGACGAAGCCATCGTGGTTGCTCTGCGTGGCGCTCGCCCTGCTCCTCAAGTGTTGCGACCCGCAGGTGAGAGTGGACGTTGAGCTACAGCCGGAGCCGGTGACGACGGTTATGACTTAATTCGCGCTTGGCCGCAGCATCTGCCTCCGCGGCTAGGTGGGCTCCCCTCAGGAACTAGACTCTGCAAGCAGCATAAGTTTATTGAAGGTGTGAGCGGATAGTCGACGATTGATGTAGCCAGTCCTTAGCTTGGTGCTTATCGAACTTCAGCTGTTTGCTGGCGGTGGGGGCCGGGGACAGCTGTTGCGGAGGGCCTGGGCCACGTCGGTGGGCGGGGGATCGAGTTGTTCGAAACCCGACACGGACAACGCAGCGATGGGATGAGGCAGCAATTTTTCGCTTTGGGATACGGAATCGAGGATGTTGGAAGCTCTGAGTGTACGGACTTTATTGTGGCTGGGCCAAGATGTGGTTTTGGGAAACCGGGGGTGGGGGGGAGGGGAGGGGGTGTGGATGGAGCCAATATCGATTGCTATCGGGTTTGGTGGTTTGGCGCTGCGGCTTCCAGCGAGTCTCGTCATAGCACTCTAAAACCTACAACTTTTCTAAAACCACCATGACAACCAGGCATTATACCCAGTCACTGTTAAAAAACTAGTTGATTGGGCATGAGCAAGGATTTATGCTCAAAAAGAAAGTAAATAATCCTAATATGCCGTACATAATAACTCCACATATGTATCGCCGTTTACTCTTGAACAGCATGTATGTAATGCACCACGTATGCACCATCTTGCGCACCCACTTAAGGGGGATATTTGCGCCATATTTCACTGTCCAGAATCACATTCACAGTTAATTCCAATAGATATCAAAGTGGCACTCATGCAAAGTGATGGGTTGTGATTACTGTCTTGGAGCTGACACAGCATACGATTGGGTGTATCGGCCTCGAACTACCAGCATGGCAACCACACTGGGAAACAAGCCTTGCCCGTATGACCAGGTGGGGTTGATTGAGAAAATATCAGGGGGGGCTTTCTAGGAAGTCAACCCAACCACACGAGGATTCATTCCGCAACGTTCGTTTTGCTTGATAAATATATTTTGGTGGTGATTTCTAGGAGTGTCCGTCTAGTTTTGCTACATGATATACATACATTGTTATATACAAGTTATTACAGTGAAATGATGGGATGCGACTTGTACGACCGCAAAACCATCATCTTGACCAAGAAAGCGTGCCAGGGAGGCTTTCATGCCCAACCAGCCAATTGCTCTGGCACGCAACTAGGGCTGCCCACGACTAGAAGTCATAGAGCGCAACGGGTGGTGATCTATCTCACAACCCGGAATCGGAGCCCTTCTTGGGCGACTTTCCGTCTTTTTCCTGAGCGCCGCCGTCTTTGGGGGCATCTTTGGGTTTGGCATCCTTCGAATCAGACGCAGTGGTGGTACTCGACTCGGCGGGTTTGTCAGTCAACTTGTGCCAGATCGACTTGAGAAACCCTTCATTCTTCTGAGAAGTTTCGGTTTCGGAGGACCTATTGATGTTAACAAGGCTACCTCCAGGAGTATATCGGGAACTTACTTGGAGCTGTTGACGTTCATAACCCGCTTCGCCGTCTTATCACCCATCTCATCCGCGAGAATCTCTAGAATAGTTCGCTGCTTCGCGGTGAGAAATTTTGGCACCGCAATCTTGAACTCAACCTTGAGATCTCCCGTGCCAGCCCTACGCGCATTAAGCTTTTTCATACCCATGCCGCTGAGGGTAATCTTGTCACCTGCCCCGGTCCCCGTAGCAACCTTGACATCAACGTGCCCATCCAGAGTTGGGATTCGTACTTCACCACCAAGCAGGGCGGTAGTCAGGGGTATAGTCGCGGTATAAAGGACGTCGGACCCAGATCGGCTGAATTTCGGATCGGAAGCAACCCGGACGTGGACGTACAAGTCTCCAGGAACCGCTCTCGCTCCAGGAGGTGCAGCAGCACCTGTAACTGGTGCATCACCCTCCTTGTCGACACGGAGCCTCATTCCATCTTCAATACCGCCAGGTATGTCAATATTAATCGTCTTGCGCTCCCGAACAACTCCGTCGCCATCGCAAGTCCCGCACTCTGATCCTCGGGGTATCGTAACACCGCGCCCACCACAGGAGCCGCATGTCGAGGCCATCTGGAAACCTCCCTGCATGAAGTGAACGCGTGTCCCAGTTCCATCACAAGACTTGCATTCGGTGCGCTTCGTGCCTGCCTTCAATCCATTTCCGGAGCATGTTTTGCAAGTCGTCATAGGCGTAATAGATATCGTCTTCGTAGCTCCCTTGGCTGCTTCCATAAAAGATATGCTGGCCTGCACTTCGATGTTGTCGCCAACGAGAACCTCCTCCTGGGAAAATGGCGAGCCGCGTCCTCCTCGCCCCCCTCTCTTTCCAGCTTGTCCACCAAAGGCCTTGAAGAGATCATCGAATGAGAAATCTGCCCCAAATCCTCCAGCGCCACCGAATCCAGCTCCCCCACCACCAAAACCGCCAAAGCCACCTCCAAATGGGCTGCCTGCGCCTCCGAAAGGGTCTCCGCCTGGGCTTGGACCGCCGCCTTGGTTGAACGCAGCTTCGCCATACATATCAAACGACTCCTTCTTCTTCGGGTCCGACAGTAGCTCATACGCAGACTGAGCTTCAGCAAACTTTTCTTTCGCGGTCGGGTCTTTATTCGTATCGGGGTGGAACTTCTTAGCCATTCCATAATAGGCCTTCTTTATATCGGAGGCCGAGGCATCCTTGCCTACCCCAAGAACTTGGTATGGGTTCTTCGCTTGAAGGCTGCGCGATGCGTGGAACGCCTATAGTTTACATGTTAGTAAAGTGCATGATGCTTCAAATATCATAGCTGTCAACGTACCCTCCTTGGCGATGACCTCAGACGGGCGTTGGCTGAAGCTGCCAAGTCCCTCCGGACATTTTGCCTGGCGGTGCAGGTTGTATAGGAGCGCACAGCGGCCTTGTCTAGTGCTCCATCTGGGTATCGTGATCGCCTGCAGACGCGGCTGGAGGCGCGGTAGCGGATCGAAATAGGTGCCTTCTTCAAAAGGCTGGAAGTGCCAGAGTTCATGATGATGCCCAAGCCGAGTGCATCAAAGATTGCCGCGCATTCGAGGATCCGGCCGCGAGTAGGTTCTCAAACTCGTAGTAAATATGGCGCGTATTTGTGAGATATTAATGTGTAGCGGATACCAAAACTCAGCTTGAAGAGACAGTAGAGTATTGAATTGTCCAAGTTCGAGGTCCGGATTGTCGCCCTTTTTTTTCGGCTGTACGGGATTGGCTGGATGTTACTGTGGAGCCTCGGAATTATCGTTATCGAGGGGCGCCCCAAAACCTCCCAAGGTTGATAACGCATCATCGGTGCCTGTGAACATACCATAGAACAAAAGAAGTAGATGTTAAATTGAGATTCTGTCATGTCAAGTGTAATGCTATTGTTTACTACTTAAGCCTGTTTCAAAAATATATAGAATGTACAGCCAGTATTGCCCCTGCGACAACCAAGCTTATCACAACACCAGACGCCATTTGGCAGCGACCAATTCCAAGGGCGCCGCTGCGAATTCGCAGCTATTATGCCTCCTTCCAAAGTATATTATATTATACACGCAATGTAAAATCAATTGGTTCCCTCATTGAGGGTTGGGTATTCGCGGGGTTGCCTTGTTCATCGTGGTTTGTTTGGGGCAAATCGCATGCGAAAGTTTTTGTCTGGACGCTTATCAGCTCTGACCACTCCGTGGAAGCAAATTACCACTTACCCTGCCACTTCACTTTGTATAGAAACTCAACAATGGCCTCGTTCTCCTGAATACCCAAGCCATTGAAGTGTTTGCGAACGGTATTCGACAGCTGGTCCTTGCTCTGTCTGCGCTTTTCTCTTCGTCGCGCCATGGTAGGCGAAAAGCGACCAATGCCGGGTCCCGTAAGCATGAGTTGATTGTAATCGCTGATAAACGCCGGAGGAGTGTTCAGTTGATAGGCGTGGCTATATGCTTGCAGGATTTCTGGATCTAGAGTCGACCATTGCATCTGAGGAGTATCAGCACTCGAGCTCTCATCGCGAAACGTGAATAGGAAGCGACTTACCCCCACATTGGCTTCTTGGGCAGCTCCATTCGGGGCAGACGTTACGCCCGTCACTACTGAGCCGGCTGTTGCCACATCTCGTAAAGAGCTGGAGGCAGCACCGGTCCCGCCTCGTCGACCCTTGGTGATCGTAGTAGCATTGCCTGAACCTCCATGTCTCTCTCTAGTGCTAGACGCCTCAGACCTCGAGTCGTCTGGGGCGGCGCGTGCCTTCGAGGGAGCCATTGCCGTGTATGTGTTAAAGAGTGGCGGACCGCATTCGTGACATTCGTAATTGGGTCGTTGAATGCTGGTGATGGGGAGAGGGACGAGGCTATGGGTGAAGCGGATTCGTGTTGGACCGTCCACACGACACGACTACCTGAGTGCCGAGGGCGCGGTATCTCGCCATACTCTATCGGCTACATTGAGACTAGTTCATTTTGAGCTATGCCAAGCCATTGGTACCTTCTTACTTGTGTGTGTACCTTGGAGACGGAAGCCACCTTATGTAATACGACAGCACTATTGGCAGCAACTCAAACAGAGGCACTCGGAACTGAGCACTCCACTACAGATATATTGGTTTGGAGAAAGGCTCATCGTCTGTTGTGTCGGTATAGCAAACAATACCGAAGAGTACGGAGTATGACGCACTTCTACTTGTACGGGTATTCTGCGGCAAGGACAAACTGGGGAGCCGGAAGAGTCTCCGGTCTGTCCTATCAGCCAAGATGCATACATATCAGCTCCCATCCTCTCATACTCGAGTAGGAGAAGAAGAAAGCGGATTACTGAGAGGGGCGTGAGGGGCGTGAGGGGCGGCGAGGCATTAATAAAGCAACTTAATAACCACAGCCTTCTGTTGGAGTGGAAGAGGAGTGGAAGGGGAACGAGTACACCAACCAAAAGTACTCAAAGCCGATGTTGCCGCCGACAATCGACGGAGGCGGGGATGGGTTTGGCCGGGGCGTAATCGTACTAGTTCCATCAAGGCGTAGCGTCATGCAAGGCACTGTACCGGGGTACATAGGAGTGGACTGGTCTGAGCGGGCCAAAAGCACAACAACACTCGCTAAGGCATGTACAAAATACAAAGTACAAGATCAGACATCTCCACATTCTCCAGGTTTCCCTGTTGTGTCTGGCCAATAGGAGTGGAGCAGTGCCATCTGTGAACACCCCTTTCTTCCCTGCGGTTTTCTGTAGCGACGCAGTAGCGACGCGCAAGGGGATAGATGATGATGGGGTGTAAGAAGTGAAAGACAGGGCAGGCAGACCAGGGACAGGCAGGGCAGGGCAAGGCAGGGGAGGGAAGTGAGAGAGTCCGTTCACCGAGGACGATAATACTTCGGTGTCTTACGGAGTTTTTGCCGTACGCACGTATACGTATACTAGTAGATTTGAGTAGAGAGTAGTGTAGTGTAGAGTGGCTGGTAGTGTAAGTGGTCGGGGTGTGCGGCCGATGCCGCAAATTGCATGGAAAGTAGAGTGAGCAAGGCTATCTGATATACAGTAGTCTACTATACAGTAGTCTACTATACAGTAGTCTACTATACAGAAGTCTACTATACAGCAAGCAGTCGTCTGCTATACGTAGTCTACTAAGTAGTATCACGATGCTGCACCCTCACCTCACCCACCAGGCACGGCAGTACAGTACTCTATATTATTGAATACTTTGACTCTCGCCGGGAATGTAGATGTGCCTGAATCACTTTCTGAATGTGCGTCCCGGGGCGTTGGGTGTCTGTTACCGCCGCCGCAGGTAGTGGGGTGGAGTTTGTTTTCTATTTGCCACCAAGACACCAAGACAAGACATCTCCAACATCTCCAACATCTCCGCCGAGCGAAGGATCTTCATGAATTCCCGCTTGCGTACCGGCGATGATTTCCCGCGACGCCTTACTTACTCACTACGATGTCAACGTACGAGTGCGTACCATAGGTTGACACCTCGGCTGAGACCGAGGGGTCCAGAGAGACGACCAGCGAGCGAGTGAGTGAGCGAGGGAATGATGCTGAGTTGCAACAGTTGGTGCAAGTACTATAAAGTACTGTGTTGGTTGTAGTCGTATGCACTGAACTGCACTCCCGCACTTGCCGTACCCAGTACAGATGGGTCCCATACTAGGAGGCTAACTAGGAGGCATCTGCAGGTCAGTACTAGGGATATTTTGCTGTAGAAGAGCTTTTGCCTCGCTCCGTCCCTCGTCGTTCCCTCGTCGCTCCCCTCGCTCCTTCTCCCTCCATGTCCCCAAGCCAAGCCACAACATCCCATCCATCTAACCAACACTAACTAACACTAACTAACATCCCTCCTCATATACCCCTGCTCTGCTACTTTCTTCCCTTGCCCTCTCTTCCCTCCATCTCTCTCTCCTCTCCCTTCGCTCCCCCCACCTCCTCCTCCTCTCCTCGTCTCCCCCTCTCCTCCTCTCCTCCTCCACCCACCACCAACTCCACTCCACCACCCACCCTCCACCCACCTCCACCAAAACCCAAGCCAGTTAGCTGCGGCAAAAGTACTTCTCCGTAGTGGCTGCACCACATATGTACATGGGGCACGCACGGTTCTAACCCCCAAAATACGACTCCCCCCCCCCCCCAGTTTTTGACTCTGGCAATAGTGCGGTAGACTCCAAGTAGTCCATGTAGTAGAAGTAATACCATGTAGAAATGGGCAACACTTGGCCAAATCTGCCAATACTAGAGGCGCTATTATTATTTCGTCGGTGGAAAAGATGGTCCCCCTCTGAGCCTTGGTGGTGGATGTCAGTGGATGCGGTGGATGTTGACACGCGGGACGACGGGGAGGCCTAAATATCATCAAGATAGTCCCCACCTCCGTTTTTGTCAAACCCGCCCTCCCTCTCTCTCCCCCCCCCCCCCTCCCCCCCCCCCCCCCCCCCCCGCCCCAATCCCTCAATCCATATCCGCCTCATTCTCCATCCTCTCTTCTCCCCATCTCCATCTTCCCCATCACCATTCCCCTCCTCGTCTCCGTGAGATGAGCGCCTAGTTACATCGTCTCGCCGCCAAAAGCCATAGCTCCCCGGACCCGGACACGCACAGTCTCACTACTGCTGTACGCTCCCGCCAGCCGCCGCCCCTCACAATAATTGCTCCTCCATCTGATCTACTTTCGCCAGGCGCCCTTAGCTTCCTCCTCTCTGGCCGCGACACGCGACCTCTTCTCTGTCGCCGTTAGCGGATCTTCTTCTATACTTTACCTTTCTCCAGGTCCATCTATCATCTACTGTACTCTGTATAGTAACTCTGGACGTCCGTATACTCCCAAGGCGCTACCGACGTCGCCTCTGTACGCTTCGGCTCTGCATCGACAATTCGATCCACCGCCCGCTGCTAACTGTTGCTTGAAATCCCCACCATCCGTCCCGTCTACGATAAGAGGCATCTATCACAGCGATCTCTCTCAATTACTGCTGGCGCAGGCAGGTCCGTAACAATTCACATCATACCTCTTCTTCCTCCATCATGCTGATTCTGTATTTAGGCGGAGATCCGATTCATAGCTCCCCCCGGAAATTCTCCGGCCTGTAACATCCCGCGCGCGACGTTCCCCGCGCCTCCGCCCTCCGATACTCGACCTGATAAGTTTTCCCCCGCGCCTGTGAAACCAACCTATCGACCTTTCGAAGCGGCTACAAATTCTGGATGAGATGCAGCATCTGATCTGCTGAGTCGACGCCGTGGTCGCTCAAGCGCACACTTTTATCGCGCTGCCAGCTCTATCAGATCTAGCGTTGACATTGTATGCCTTCGCTGTGAGTTCGGCTGGTTTCTTGGTTTGGTAAATATATTTCATCTGTTTGAGCGTCCTTTAACCAACCAAGCTTCACACGCACGCAGCATACTCTTTTGCGACGGCGCGACAAGTGTGATGCGTTGCAAAAGAAACACCTGCGATGCGCCCGATGCGCCTGTCCGGTCTCCTGCGAGAACCGGAGGTTGCCTCGTTGGTCGCGTGCCGTCCAGGCATTTTTACTCCCCCCACCCTGGAGAATCAAAGATGTTTTAGTAACGCATTATATAATGTTTCTCTCTCAATCTCCGTGTTTGATAACCTGGCGCACTTGGGCAGAGCTGACGAAGGACAGTAAATGTAGCCTGCGGATAATCTTCGTCGCCCAACGACTAAATATACTTGCCGCTTTTTCGGGGTAAAGGACCCTTATATCAGGACCCTTCTTCCACATACGCATCGAAAGAGCTATTACCACTTGTGATAATTTAAAATACCTGTCCCGGCGACACAGATAATGACTTCGATTGTTGCCCAACCGATCCAGATCCACCCTGCAAACGTGACCCAGTCGTCCGTGATAATGGACATACCGCTGGAGTCCCCTCCGGTTCTATCGAAGATCAAAACAGAAGGCGAAAAACCGAGGGGAAGGCGGCGAAGCCGGACTCAGATTACGTCGAAAGACAGTAATGGATACGGCTCCGGAGCTGATGGCGATGAGGGACAGTCGTCCGGTGGTGATGGAACTGATGGACCTGAGGGTGCCAGGAAGAGACGAAGAAGCCGAAAAGGCCTCGACAAGAAATTTGAGTGCCCCCAAGGCGGATGCGGTAAAAGCTATTCCAGGGCAGAGCATCTGTAAGTCTGAATCCTTTGGCGAGCGGCGCACGGTTTCTGTGTTCTTGACTGACTAGGCGTGATCATAGCTACCGTCACCAACTGAACCATACTCCAAAGCAGATATACAGCTGTGATTTCCCCGACTGTGACCGCACGTTTGTCCGCCAGGATCTATGCAACCGCCACAAAGAACGCCACACCGCTAAAGGGTCACAGCTTCAGAGAAAGGATGCCATGCTGAGCAACGTTTCGCCAATAACTAGCAACAACACCAGTATGGCATTCAAAGGCTCCATGTCCCCTGAAGTCGGACGGCCTGGTAGCAGCGGCTTCAAGCCAAGGACTGCGCAAGCGCCATATCAGTCACCCGCGGAAACTTTGTCCGGCCCATTCTCCCCTGTCGGTGCCCATACAACGTCGGCATATCCTCGCTCAGGGTCACTATCGGCTACTGCCGACCCCAGCAATGCTTATCCACCAGCGGGTAGCCCCTATAGGCGTTCCAACAGCGATAACAGCATCCAGTCCGCTCATACCCTCAATGCAGGCTCGATGCAGCAAAATTCAACCGGGCAGGGGCGCCATGCGGGCATCGGTGGAACGGATGGTAACATGCAAGATAATACTTTGTACGGGAGACAATCCCAGCATTCGACGAACCCTGGCTTTGATGCGCTCTCCCCGAACCAACGGCAACAATCATACGTGAACAATCATAACAACGGAATGCAGGTGCCTATGCAACAGCCATATGTCAATGCCCAGAATTTCACTCCGTTCTCGTTACCACCGCCAGGCTTCTCACCTGTGGCTGCACCAGCATCAACGACAACATCACGGGATACTGAATCCTCATATGTCATCTCCCCACCACAGACTTCCATGTCGATCGACTATCAAGGCCGTGATACTAGCCATCCACAGCAATCGGGCCCCGATATGATGCTGCTGGACCAGATGGCTGCGGTAAACACCATGCCTGTATTTGGCGGAGAAGGTTATAACAGGTCTCCTTTTGCAATTCCGGACGACTTTGTTGCCTTTCTATTCAGCGGACAACACCTTGACAATTCATCGCCAATGTCAAATCCGGCACTTGGGACGCAAGGCTACTCAAAGTAAGTTCGATACCTTATTCGTTGAGAGGTCACTTTACTAACGCCCATATCCAGCTATCCTGATGCCCAGAACCAATATCAACCGTATTTTGCAAATGAGATAAACCTTGGTGGTTACTTTCCGCAAAATCCGCAACATCCAATGGCAGTCACAAGTCTGCTAGATACGTCTACTCCAGAGATGATATTGTCGGAAGACAAAAGCCAGGAGATTATCGACCTGATCAAGGAGAGGTTCAATGAGACCGACCATGCACCTGTTGCAAAGCAAAAGGAGGCACTGCTTGACGGCGACCGCAGCAATGATTCTCATATGATGAGCAGGAAGATGATGCAAACTTATATAGGGAGCTTCTGGTGGCATTTCCATCCTCAGCTGCCAATCTGTGAGTTTCATCAAATCTACTTTCATCCTAAGAAAGAACGCTTTGCTAATTTAAATCCAGTGCATAAACCGACATTTTCTCCTGAAAAGACTCCAAACCTTCTTCTCATTGCAATGATGGCCATCGGCGCGTCTTGCCTTGATAAGATGCACGGGTATAATGTCACCCAGTCGGGTGCCGAGCTTGCAAACTTCCTTGCTTGGCACTTGAGATGGGAGATATTCAGTGACGTCCACTTTCGTCCCCCAGCGAAATTGTGGGTGTTCCAAGCACTTCTCCTCCTCGAGATTTATGAGAAGATGTACTCTACCCGAGCGCTCCATGAGCGCGCACATATACACCATGCAACTACCATCACATTGATGCGGAGAGGCAGTTCGCTGATTGGAAGATCTGCATTGGATTCTCCGCCAAGCGTGAGAGACGAGAGGCAGGGTCCCAATGACTCCAAGCAATCGTCAACTTCAGGGGCAAATACGCCAGATGAATGGTGGAACCACTGGATCACAAATGAAGCGACCCGCCGAGCGGCTTTTGCAGCCTTTGTGATCGACTCTGTACATGCTACTATGTTTGGTCATTCAACGGTTATGGTCGCCCACGAAATGCGACTCCCGCTACCGTGCGACGAGGCACTCTGGTCAGCGACCAATAGCGCCGAAGTTGGTAGAATCGAGGCAAGCCTCCACGCCAATGGCGTCAAACCTGTATCGTTCCTCGAAGGCCTGAAGAGGACATTAAATGCGCAGGAAGTTCGAACAAACGCCTTTGGACGAAGCATTTTGATGGCAGGATTGCTAAGTGTGAGCTGGCATATGAACCAACGAGATCTCCAGGTCAATTCGCTGGGAGTCTCTCAGGTGCTCGGAGGACGTGATAAGTGGAGGGGCTCTCTAACACGGGCGTTTGATCTATGGAAGCAAGATTTCGACAGGTCGCTGGCCCACAATACGGAAACCAATTCGGGCCCCTATACGTACACTAGCAAGCAAGATGAGGATACTGTCTTCGAAAGTAGAACGGTACTTCATCATCTAGCACACATGGCTATGCATGTTGACATCGTCGACTGCCAAATATTTGCGCGAGCAAAACGACTCCTCGGCCGCACTATTGGCACTCAGGATCTGAACTCTACGCAACGAAAAATGAAGGACATCTGGGCTCCAACGGCCAAGGCCCGAGACGCTACGTACTACGCAATCCGGTTCTTATGCACAGTATTGTTACCGGAAGACACATCATCTGGTATGCACATGTATGACCAGGACACCGATTTCGACTATTCAGCCCGCGATGATGTCCTGATGAACCGCTCATGGGTCCTTTACTTTGCTGCTCTGATCGTCTGGTGCTATGCCTTCGCCTTGGAAGGTCCCACGCAGGAGGAGATTCCATCAGCAGGCGCATTCCAAGACCAGGTTTTCGACATGCGCGTGTACCTCAGGAGACTGAGCAACGTCAAGTCCCCTGAAGAGCTCAAGTCCGTCAGCAACCTCAATGGCTGCACCGGCATGCTCATGGTTCTCCGCCACACCTTCGAGAAAACCCGCTGGGAGCTTCTTCACGAAGCTGCGAACCTCTTGACGAACTGCATCCAGCTGATCAGCACCAACAACGTTTAAAATTTTACTATACATATACGTACATATGGTGAGGAGGGTGGATCATCTTTGACATTTATCATCATATTTTGCATTGGTTTGCGGGCGCCCTGTTTTTATACACATGTAAATTTGACCTCGTGTCTATGGGCATGTAGATACGAAAATGGTCGGTCGGGTCGGTAGTTAACATACTACAATATCGCGGCCCTGGATGGATGTTTTTGAAGCGGACGTTTTTTGGTGTCCGTTTTTCTGCGGGTAGACTTTGGCATACCGCTTCCGCTTCATCTTGTTGATTATACCATGCAGCTTTATTAGATACTTTTTATATACCCCCAAAATAAATACATGAGAATTGAGCATTTTAACATACTACGATGATTACTGAATGAACTACCTGCTAGTGAACTGGTTTCAATTGTGAATTAACTTATAAGAGAGCTGCTCGTGGATTAACTTGCGAAATATAAGGATCAGTTCGGTTTTTTGGTGTAGGATGTGGTGACCCAGGTTGGTGATTGACCCAGATTGGTGAGTGACCCAGATTGCTGATTGACGAAATTTCTCAAAAATATTTTTATAGTTACTGTCAACACTAGCTGACATGTATAGTTCCACTTCACTTTTTTGGCAAGTCCAAATCCATAGTTGCGTATGGTTCTGCACCAAATCCCCTCTTCGGAGCCGGCCGGGCGATTCGCATGTGTCTAGTCTATTGCGCGATGCGTCGATCAACTTGCACAATCATATACCTCCGTAAGTTCATTTCATTTTATTTATTTATATATGCATATATATAGTTATAACCCTGCATATTTACTTATTTCTTTGCTATTATTGGATTCGTTTCGTCCCATCTTTCCTTATACACTCACTATGAAGTTATTTACTCAGACGCTCGGAACCGTTGCTGCCGCCACTATCGCTGTAGCATCGAACAGCGGCGGGAATCCTCTGGCAACATCAGACCAACGAGATCTTGATGCGCTCTCCATAAAGATAAATGAAGACCACGACTTTGGATTTCTTAAGGCAGAGGCCAAAGCTACTTTCCAAATAGCACATGGGCTTCCCATAAGCCAGGAAGCCAATTCGAGAATCGATGCCGCTATAGACGAGCTGGCATTTAGTTCTATTCAAAAAGCAGTGAACAATGACCCTTACTATCCGAAGGTTTATTGGGTAGATGCCGGCCCTCGGAATTGGTTTGGACTAGACGTACCTGGCGGACGATATTCTTACGATAATCCGGATTGCATATATAGAACGATTCCAATCAGCAGCAAACTTCGTTATGTCCTAAGAGGATATCGTCACCCGGAGGGACCGACGGATGTCACGTTCTCGCTCATCAGCGATCCGAATTCGCAAAATACGGTAGCAAGCCTGGCTGGTGATGACCTTGTTGTAGACGCAGATGGATCCTACACGATTACTATTGACAGCTCGTCTGGTGAGGGGCAAACAAACCACATCAAATCCTCTTTACTGGCACAGCAACTCTTCGTTCGCAATAATCTGGGCAACTGGCAAGTCCAAACAGCTGATAACCTTACGGTTGAGCTCATTGACGATGCAACGGGACATAAACCCATCGATGAGACGGCTATCGTTCACCGGGCTCAATGGAACCTTCAGGAGTCCATCATTGACTATGGCGTCGGTGCCCTTGGATTGAAGACAATGATCAACCCCGTCAACACGCTATCCAAACCCAGCCAGTCAAGCACCCTCGGCACGCTCACCACGCAGGCAAGTTCATTTGGCCACTTCAATTTGAAGGCCGGCGAGGCCATCGTTGCCACCCTCTCCATAGGAGAAGCCGACTACTTCGTCTTCCCCGCCACGGACCCCTGGCTTATTACTGTCGATCCAGGAGCATATCAGCTCAGTCTCAACAGCGAGCAGGCTGTCGCTAATGCAAATGGAACGTACACGTTTGTTGTGTCCCGGACAGATCCAGGGGTCAGTAATTGGATTGACACGGCTGGGCTTAATGAGGGCACCATTATGGTTCGCTGGCAGGGACTGCCAACGGACTCGTCCGATAAGGACAATGGGGTTGCTATTGTCACTCAGGTGGTTCAGATTTCCCAGCTTGCTGATGTGCTTCCAAGCGGGACGAAGTATGTGACGCCAGAGGAACGCAAGGAGCATCTTGCCCAACGTGCTGCGGGATATGCTCAGAGATTTCAATATTGAGGTTTTAGGTAACGCTGGTAAGGTATAATTTGATGCTAAGTACAAGATAGAATCTCTATCAGTGGAGAAAATACTCATGGTGGGAAGAAACAGAATACTCGTGTTGTCCGAATGTGTTTCATAGACCCTGTGCATGGCAATGAGCAGGACGTTGGCAACTATACCCCTATATAGATAGAGTATCTAGAACTTTAATAGGTTGCTTCAATATTTTAATACACGGTATATGGGCTCCTGGGTTTGGCGCCGATGGCTTGCGGCCGCTTTGAAATTCGATAAAAGAGCAGCTCCTCCAAATCCCTAGTTCGAATTCAGCAACAAAGCCCTCGCCCGTTTTTATTCACCCCCCGAAGCTCATCCCGTCGAATTTCAGTATTTATACCGGGATGTCAACCTTACAATATAATCCAAGGGTGCCTTACTAGCGTTATCCCGTCACTAGGCGCATGCCTTCCGGCGTTTAGTTTTATGTCCATCTGCAGAGTTGTGCTAACCCGGACATTAAGCTATAGGTCAGCTAACTCCGTCATCTTGAGGTGATAAGCACCCATATAAAACTAGATTACCCTATAAGTCATGTCTAGTTAAATCGGACACATAAATTGGACATTAAGTTAGATCCTGGCTTTCTTACGCATTGGCGCATATTCATTTACTCAAGGCAAAGGTTGGTATAGAAAAAGCAGGGTTGAACCAACCCGTAAAACTCGAAGCAGCAATGTCTACAACATTTACCATGCCAAATAGGCAGCTTGCATGGCTCATCACAGGCTGTTCCTCGGGATTCGGTCTTGCCCTTATCAACATAGTACAGTCACACGGACATAAAGTGATTGCAACTTCAAGAAACCCTTCCCGCACCCCTGAGCTTGTCGCTGAAGTTGAGAACAGAGGTGGGAAGTGGCTCAAGTTAGACGTAGAAGATGCAAACTGCGCGCATGTCATCAAGGTTCTCGAAGCGTCAGGCCAGCAAATCGATGTTCTAGTCAATAATGCAGGGTCTTCTATTCATGCCTGTGTTGAACAATTCACAGAAGAGGAAGTACGCCGCCAGATGGAGTCATTGTATTTCGGGCCCGCCAGGCTTATTAGGGAGGCGGTGCCACATATGCGCAAACGAAGATTCGGCGTTGTGGTGAATATGAGTAGTGGAGCGGGATTGGAAGGGAGGGAGAGCATGGGTGCTTATGCGCCAGCTAAGGCCGCGCTTGACGGTGGGTATTTGTTCCCAATTGTGGTATGTTTCCAAAGCTGATAATAACCAGGCGTGTCAAAGGTTCTAGCAAAGGAAGTTTCTGAGTTCAACGTCCGTGTCTTAATTGTCTCGCTCGGAGCTTTTAACACTAACATGGTAAACGCCGTCACCACTAGCAAAAATCCCATGCCAGAGGACTACCAAGGCACTATTGTTGAAAAGACCATTGACGCTATGGGTAGCGGGAGCTTTAAACCCGAAGGCGATAAGGATAAGGCTGTTAAAGTGATATATGAGGTTGTGATGGGGGAGGGTGTTGGAGTAGGACGGGAAGGCGAGAGGTTCCTTCCGCTTGGTAGAGACCTAGCAGCGAGAGTCAAGCAGGTGCAGGACCAATACTCTCATAGCATGGAAGTATTTGGAGACATATGCAATAATGTATATAGAGATAGTTGATGCATACTCAGTTAGTATCGCAGAACAAGCTACTGGTGTAATATTTTCGATGATTTGACTAGCAACTCTGATATTTACCGTAGTTAATACACAAACTGACACCGTTAAATCCATTAAACTATGCAAAGGGGGAACGCCTGCCTAGCAATAGTTCTCAGGTCGGTATAAAAACTCCAATAGCAACTATAGTTTCTATAGTTCCCTACAGTCCCTTTGGCATGACGCCACTACAAGTGGATATGTATTTCCTAGATAGAAGCTTTGTGCTCAACTTAATATAGTATTTGTTATATATCAATTGTTTCTATACCTCCCTGTAATTATTAGTCTTCTCATCTGGAACCCGTTGACGAATAACTTCATCCTCATTACTGCCAGTGTTCGAATCCACTTTACTTCCACTAGAAATTTCCTTGCCTACAACATCGTGCCTAGCATCCCACTCCGCAAGCTCGGAATTGGGAACCTTGTTCAATTTGTGGGTTTGGGCGCCGCTGTCCAAAACGATAACTGTTTGGCGAAGGGCATAGTTTCCTCGCCTAGGAAGGAAGTGCGTCCAGATCCAGTAGTAGACACCGCAAGCTGCGAGACTAGATAACGTGTTAGTAAAATATTAGAAGAGATGACTGGAGCAAACCTACATTCCAATACCAGTAAAACAATATGTTGCATAGAAGAAGCTGACACTTCCCGCATTGATTCCACCTGCGGGAGGAACCCACTATGAGACTTTGAATCAGTGGTAGTTCAGTCTTGAATAAGGGAGAAATAATCACAGGCATCACGAGAAGTATAATTTGAATTGCGATGTAAAACAGTAATACCACGTCCCAGGTTTTGAACTCGGGTCTTTCGGCGTTGATGCGCTTACGCTGGCGGCGGATAAGGAATACTCCTACTGCAACACAACCGGCGAACACCGCATCTGGGTACGATTTCAAGTCGACAACTGGGGTATATGTTAGTAAAGAGCAGAAAGTAAGGGCAAGATGAGTATTACGGAAATCAAAAGCGTCTCCGAATGGAGGGGCGAGAACCATCAATAGTGTGAGGACGTATTTGAAGGCATATGGCCCGAGTGGCGTTCCGAATGGTTGAGTCGATGCCCAAAATGCTGGATATGGCAGTACACCTTGTCTGAATCAATGTTAGTGAGAATAAAAAATACATTAATAAATGCTAGGAAACTTGCCGTCCACATTCACGGATAATACGGGAGGAACCAATCAAGTTTGAAACGAGGTTGCCGAACGATGATAGGAGAACAAGGAAGTTCAATCCTCTAGCAGCATTGCCTGGCCCGAAGACAGCTCCAAAGAAAAGAGCTGCGACTCCAGTGCCCGATTCGAGGACGTCTTGTTTGGGAACTATGGTTTGAGGTTAGTATCGTAGCAGATATGTGAAGGGCTATGTAATTGATTACCTGCAGCAAAATATGCAATGTTACAGAGCATATAAAGAACAGCGACAATTGCAAGTGACAGAGCACCTGCCCATCGAATTGTTTTAATAGGTTTCTAATAATTTTAATCAGCTAAGCCCTGATACCAGAGTGAAAGACCTACCTTGATTTCATTGACCATGTTGAATGAATTAGACCATCCTTCATAAGCATAGTTTACTCTGACAAGAGCTCTCACCACACCAGAAGCATCTCCGGTGGCACCTGCGAAAGAATCGCGGAAATTTGCTCCTGGGTCAGGAATAGATTTGACGCGTCCTCCAAGAACGACGAAGCCAGTTATGCTGATGCTGCGGGAGATCAGTCGCTGTTTTGAGGCAGATCTATTAGGGAGAAACGTACAATACCAGGGTGAGGACTTTGATAACACCGATGACGTTGGAAAAGCGAAGAGACCATTTGTTGGAGATGATGACCACTACAATTCGAGAATCAATATTGAGAAGCAATTCTTTGTGCCACTGTAAGACTAACCAATCGTAGCAAGAGTGAAGCCAGCAATCGCAACACCTTTGGCTTGCCATTCAGTAGGCTCGGTGCCAGCAATGCGGAACGTGTAAGTTGACAAGACTGTTTGTGAATTAGCTGATATTGAGTCAAGTGAGCCCGGGAGCGCCACATACCAATCGCATTACTGCTGCTAAATGCCAGTAGGATGTTCAACATAGCATAAGCTGTTGGGAAAAAGTATTTTGGTCGAGGGTAGGCTTGCTCGAGATAGACGACTTGTGCCCCGGAACGATTAGGAAAATAGGATGCAAGTTCAAGATAAGTAGAGAATCCTGCAAATGCGATCAAAAGGCCAATGAACCAGAAGAATAAGCTTAATCCTACGGAACCAAGCCCGCTGAGGATTGACCCCGCTACCATGTAATTAGCAATTGTATTTTCAATATTTAAAAACCAGACGAAAGCATACGGGTAGAAAAAACTCCTGTTCCTATCATTTGACCAATGTTGAGGAAGATGACAGTGAACCAGTTGATTTCATATCCAAGAGGTGATTCCTTCTCGACGGGTGCGCCAGACGCTTCTTGGTAGGATGGCTGAGATTCATTTCCAGCAGTTTCTTTGGTGTATTCGAGATTACCATCGCGAACGACTGACTCTACCGACTCGGCATGTTGTGTAGCCAGATATTGCTGTCCCGACTTCCTGGCATCTTGCCAGAACGAAGCGAAACCCATCTTCGTTGCTGGTGTGGAATTGTCTTGAGCACTGCGCTTCGAGCTAAAGATCATGTCTTAGACTTCAGGATACTCTCTGCATTTATGACCTCTCGACGTGACACCCTTTGGCAGTCTTCGCCTCATCGCGCTATCGCTCAGTAAAAGACGTGATCTAATGTTTTGTTTGCATAGCGATGATATTGACTAGAGCAGCTAATTATACATTGAATGCTTCAGATCGAACTGCCTGTTTAGAAGGCCAAGATAGAGCTGTAGGCATCCTGTTAGGGCCAAGGAAAAGTAATTGGCAATGGATTGCAATTTAATCTTAGCTGCCAGTGCTGTTGATAAGTCATAGGCTCGATTGTATTGTTACCTTCCCCATGGGAGTCGTGCCAAGTGCTGCGAAGTGAATGGGGCTGACTATTCGCAATAATTATTACAGATTGCACCATAACACCTATCTTGAGGCATTAGAAACTTCAAATTCTTCCTCGGCTTGAAGATATATCCACAGAAGGGTGATTTCTCAGTTAGACAATCACGAAAACAAGAAATCTCAAAATAATATGAATTCGCACTAACCAGTCTTCGACACAATTGCAGAAATCTCAACAACTAATTACGGTAATAGGATACAGGCGCTCTAAATTGCACTTTAAGCCTCCTGGATTCTCTAGACGAAATCTCTCATCGAGAACTTTCATAATGGCCAAGGATAAACTAATGACGTGTTTCACATGCGAGTGAGACATACAAGCTAGTAACTTAAGAAAACACCTAAATATCATCTTATAGCTGAAACCTACAGATCAGCCCATAACGTAGGTCATGGCCTAAGTGCTGCCATGGTCTAAGTGACAATTTAGCGGGGTAGTGGTAGTAACGTAAGTCGTGGTCAGACCGGCTACATGGCCAGACCGGCTATTAGTACTGTTACATACAAATTTATATGTAGAGGTACTTATGCTTACGAAAATTAGAACATTAATAGCTCCTTTAATAAAAGTGCTAGAGCATATTCCTCTTTTATATAAAAACTTTAAACAGTCCTCTACTATATGTAAAAACGTTAATAGCACTAGCGTCTTTTTACGTAAGTTATTAAAGATTTTAACTTTTGTCATATAAAAATTTAGTATAGTAAATCTAAAACTATTAATAACTACCTTATAAGGCTAGCTTACATACTAGTGTTTTTAATTATAGCGTATAAGTATATAAATTATCTAAGTTTAAGAGTATTAGGCTCTAGCAAGTCAACTAAAGTAATTATTACAGTTTGAATTATATATCACGTGATGTGAATTCGCTTGTGAATTTACCTGTAAAATTGAAATAGCCGGTCTGGCCATGTAGCCGGTCTGACCACGACTTACGTTAGTGACCCCATCAAACCAGCCGACTGGTAGTTACTACTTCTACTATATAGTTAAAAATGGTGAAACGTAAGAATATTAAGGCTCAAGAGCTTGATTTACGTGTTTCTAAGGCAATTGAAGGAGTTAGGTTAGGAAAATTTAAATCAGCAAATGCTGCAGCAATTGCTCTAGGCCTACACCCTAATACTGTCCTTAAGCGTCTAAGAGGTGGCTCTACGCAACGTGAGGCGCGACAACAACAACAGCTCCTGTCAAAAAATCAAGAGCAAACGCTCTTAAAGTGGATTAAGGAGCTTACTGCAAGCGGCTACGCTCCTAGCCATTGGATATTACGAGAGGTTGCAGATGAAGTCCGGTCAAATAAGTGTCGCGTTTTTCAGCCTCAACTACAACAACAGCAACAACAAACACAACAAACACAACAACCTCAACAACCTCAACCTCAAATACCTAACTTACCTCTTGGGCAAGAGTGGGTTCCACAATTCATTCAAAGGCATCCTAACTTACGTGTTAAGTTAGGACGTAGAGTTGAAGCACAAAGGATGAATGGGGTCACAAAGTAGGTGTTAAGGGGGTGGTTTGACGCGTACGAGAGCCTTATAACAGAGCTAAAAATCGAAAACTACAACACCTATAATATAGATGAAACTGGATTTTCGATTAGAACTATGCAATCTACACGAATTATAGTCGATTCTACACTCTGTACACGTTTTCAAGCTCATCCTAGCCAACAGGAATGGGTGTCTGCTGTTAAATGCATTTGCATAGACAGAACAGCTATCGACCCCCTTATTATTTTTAAAGGACAGAACATACTACAGAGCTAGATTCCAAAGGAGGTTATACAAAAATGGCACTTCTCTACAAATACAAAAGGATGGACAAGCAATCTTCATGGATTAGAGTAGCTAAAACGCGTTTTTGAGCCCTCTACAAGAGCAAAAGCAACACAAAATGGACGACTACAGCAACGGCTCCTAATTTGCAATGGCTATGATAGCTATATAAGTAGAAGCTTTATATCACACTACATACAGAATCAAATATCACTCCTTATTCTACCTCCTCATACATCTTATGTTCTACAGCCACTTGATATTTCGATTTTTGGACCCTTAAAGCAACACCTTACAACAGCTCTCTCGCACCTTAATGAGGCACAACTCCTACGAATACATAAGTTAGAATGGATGGATGCATATATTACTGCAAGAGCAGCTGGATTTTCGACTTCAAATATAACTTCTGCTTAGAGAGGGAGTGGGCTACAGCCATTTCAACCACAAATAGTCATTCGAGCAGCTATGCTTCCTACTATAGACGTTATAGTAGAACGACTATATACTCCTATAGAGCATGATATTTTTAAGAAGGTATTCTTAAACAGCAGTCTACCTGATTTTAATACTCTTCAAAAAGCGAATTCTATACTCTCTTCTACAATAAGTCAGGGTGTTTTAAATACTCTTACAAAGCAATATATTCATAAGTTAGCAGATGAGTCAGAACGCCTTAATACACGCAATATCCTTTAAAAGAGAGAGTGTAATAACTTACGTTCAATTATCTAAAAGCGAAGAACACAGAATAAGGGTAAAAGAGCAGTTTTAAAGGGTCAATTCCACATTTCTACAGAAGAACTCCAGTTGCAAGTTATAGAAGCAGAAGCAGCAACAACAGCAGCTTCACAGAGGCCTAGAACAACGCAATAACCTATAAACGAAGCTACAATTAAGGAAATAACGTAAGTCATGGCCTTACCGACCGTATGGCCTTACCGACATAGTGGGGTTGGCCACCCCATCAAACCCATTAACACCAACCTACTACCACCTTACAATGGTGAAGCGTAAGAGTAAGAGAGCTCAAGAACGCAATTTACAACTGTCTAAAGCAGTTCTAGGAGTACAGACTAGAAAATTTAAATCAGCGTATGCT